AGGTGCCGTTAGGACACCCGCATCCCACATCAGAGTGCCTGGGCTCAACTGCAGATCCGGTGTCTGATTCCAGTGCCCTACTAAAGAAGACAGTGCAGTAGTGATAGCTCCGGCAGTTGGGTTTCCGATATCCACACGGGAGACCTGGCTTGAAGTTGGCTCAGTTCTCACTGCTGTCGTGAGCATTTGGGGTATGTACCATGCCATTAGATAGCCTCTCACCCGTGCTTCCTCGCTCTCGCACTCTCTTGCTCCTTCCCTTCCTCTTTAATTAATTATGTCTTAAAGGAAAGCTGATTCTAAACATCAAGGATGAGAGAATTATAGCATTTCATAATGCTTTTACCCCACAATGCATCCAAACGTTCTCTCCACAGTAGTCCACAAATATGTTACGAAAACAAGTTGAGATTGTTTTGACACCTCTTGTTCTTAGGGTGTGTCCTGCTGGGGATCCATAATCAAATAACTAAATTTTAAAATCACTTGGGGAGCCGGCGCCGTGGCTCACTTGGTTAATCCCATATGGGCGCCGGTTCTGGTCCCGGTTGCTCTTCTTCCAGTTCAGCTCTCTGCTGTGGCCCGGGAAGGCAGTGGAGGATGGCCCAAGTCCTTGGGCTCCTGCACCCGCATGGGAGACCTGGAGGAAGCACCTGGCTCCTGGCTTCGGATCAGCGTAGCTCCAGCCGTAGCGGCCATTTGGGGGGTGAACCAACGGAAGGAAGACCTTTCCCTCTGTCTCTCTCTCTCTCACACTGTCTATAACTCTGTCAAATAAAAAAAGAACAGAAAAAAATCACTTGGAATACTTTCAAGTGTTCTTAGGTTAGTTTTTATTTAACTTTTTATTGGGAGGGTTGCTTTTTAAATTTAAATGTATGATTCTGTAAGATGTTATGAGCTAAAAATAAAATCTATACAACTAAGTAGATTCAAAGAATTCTAACCTCCATTTTTGTCTCCTTTGCCCTATCCCTGCCTTTCCCCCTTCCCAACCAATATTTCAAAGCATGTGACTTGTCCTCCATTTTTTTTTTGGTAGAAGATATGCATATGTGTGTGTGTAAGCCCCTCCCCCCCTAGGTAAATGAGAGGGTGCTTTCTACACCAGACCCTGGAGAGAACCCCTTAGTTGGATGTGGAGAGATTCCTGGCTTTGTGTTGCAGTTGCCTTGCACTTCCCTGGAGGGGGCGCCATCGTTTGTCTAGGCAATCCTCCTTGAAAGGATGTTTGCCGTCCCAGTCTTTGCTATTATGGGTAGTTCCATGAATGGCCTTGTGCTTGTGTCTTTTTGCGTTTGCCGATACGTCTTTGAGATAGACTCCTAGATTACTGGGGAAAGGATAAAATGGAAGTTTGCAAATTTCTTCCCACTGAGGTTGTAGCACTGTGCCTCCCCATTCTGCACAGCCTTGCCAACAGCATGTGTGATGAAAGTTCTGGTTTTTGCAGTGAGAAATGGTATCCCCCTGTAATTTTAATCTGCATTTTTCTAGCAGCAAGCGAAATAAGGCACTTTTTTTTCTTTTTTTTTTAACTTTTATTTAATCAATATAAATTTCCAAAGTACAGCTTATGGATTACAATGGCTTCCCCCCCATAACGTCCCTCCCACCCGCAACCCTCCCCTCTCCCACTCCCTCTCCCCTTCCATTCACATCAAGATTCATTTTCGATTCTCTTTATATACAGAAGATCAGTTTAGCATACATTAAGTAAAGATTTCAACAGTTTGCTCCCACACAGAAACATAAAGTGAAAAATAATAGATGATTTTTTAAATGATGATGAAATCAGATCAGACCTATTGTCATGTTTAATCCCAGTGAGAGTCAAGTTGGGAATTGATAATTTCTTCTTTTTTTTTTTTTAATAGAAGATCAGTTTAGTATACATTAAGTAAAGCTTTCAACAGTTTTCACCCCCATAGAAACACAAAGTGAAATATACTGTTTGAGTACTTGTTATAGCATTAAGTCTCAATGTACAGCACGCTAAGGACAGAGATCCTACATGAGGAGTAAGTACACAGTGACTCCTGTTGTTGACTTTACAAATTGACACTCTTGTTTATGGCCTCAGTAATCTCCCCATGCTCCAGTCATGAGTTTCCAAGGCTATGGAAGCCCCTTGAGTTCTCCGACTCTTATCTTGTTTAGACAAGGTCATAGTCAAAGTGGAGCTTCTCTCCTCCCTTCAGAGAAAGGTACCTCCTTCTTTGAAGACCTGTTCTTTCCACTGGGATCTCACTCACAGAGATCTTTCATTTAGTTTTTTTTTTTTTTTTTTTTTTTTTTTTTTTGCCAGAGTGTCTTGTCTTTCCATGCCTGAAATACTGTCATGGGCTTTTTAGCCAGATCGGAATGGAAATAAGGCACTTTTTAACATGTGGTTTTCCTGCTCTTCTGGAAGAAGTTGAGGCATTGTATTTACTAAAATGAATATGTGATTCTTAGGCACAAGCAGAACCAAGAACCTATAATGCAGAGAGTTTGAAAACACCTAGTGCCAACCTGTTATGGGACAAACCTCCTGGTGGTTAAGCAGAGCCTCACAGTGTGTGTCTGAGCGCTTAGGAGGAAGTTTATAAAGATGACTACAGGGGGCCGGCACCGTGGCTCAATAGGCTAATCCTCCGCCTACGGCGCCGGCATCCCGGGTTCTAGTCCCGGTCAGGGCGCCGGATTTTGTCCCGGTGGCTCCTCTTCCAGGCCAGCTCTCTGCTGTGGCCTGGGAGGGCAGTGGAGGATGGCCCAAGTGCTTGGGCCCTGCACCCCATGGGAGACCAGGAGAAGCACCTAGCTCCTGGCTTTGGATCAGTGCGATGCACCAGCTGCAGCGGCCATTGGAGGGTGAACCAATGGCAAAGGAAGACCTTTCTCTCTGTCTCTCTCTCTTTCTCACTGTCCACTCTGCCTGTCAAAAAATAAAAATAAAACAAATATATTAAAAAAAAAAAAGATGACTACAGGGGGCCGGTTAGCTCAGCTGGTTAGAGCGCTGTGCTGATAAAGATGACTGTGGAGTGTGGAGCTGCACAAGCCTGGGTTGCAGCCCCTGCTCCACCGCTTGCCAGATCCTGATCCTAGTGAAAATACTTAACAGCTGAACTTCTGCTCCTCTGTGAAACAAGAGTGGTCATAGTACTTACCTTGATGAGGCTGATGCGAGGTGAAGTCTAGTGCTTGGTACAGTGTCTGAGACACAGTAAGGGCTAGAGAAACGTTAGCTGTTTTGTTACCATTTCAATTAATGAAGAGAAGTATCAGGACTTTAGAACTTCTAGATCATACCCTGGAAAATCATTAACACTTCCTGCAACATGGACCTAATACTGTCTTAGGAAGAAAGACCAGTCTTCACATGGACTGAGAATGGTTTGGCTGTGGACCTGAAAGCCGTGCTTACGATTGAGGGGAGAGAAGAGGAAGGAGGCCCAGGTGTGGCGAGGGCCTGAAACCTCCTGGGAGGCCAGGCTTCCGCAGAGGGCAGGGAGGAAGTCACTGCCGAGGACGATGTACCCTCGGTGGATGTGGCCTTGGTGTCAGGGAGCTCAGTGGAGCGTGCGTCATCGTGTCGTGAGCCGCTCAGCAGCGGGCGAAGGCTCACCCCCGTCTGCCCTCCCAGATCATGGTTAAGGGAGAACATGACCTCAGGGATGGTCTGCACCCCTGCCTCAGCTTCCCACATCAGCAGGCACTTTTATCTGCCGTGCCTGATGTAGCGCTTCCTAACTGACAAGACAGTCGCACCACTGCTCACAGGCACCATGACAGCCCTGAAGCTTGTCTCGCGTCCCCTGCTGGTGGAGTGGGTGAGGACAGGGCCCTGGACCAGTGTGGGGGCTGTTTCCCTTGTTCCTGGAATCTGTTAAAGTGTTAGCTTTATTAGCATTGTTATAAAACTAAATTTTCAATTTGCTTGTTCACCTCTACTGTTTGTTTTATTCTGTTTTGTCCTGAATTTACTTCTGCTTTTTAACTCTCAGTCCCTCTGTTCTCATTTCTTTGGGTTAATTTTTGTTCTTTTTTTTTTTTTTTTTTAAGATATTTGAGTGTAACTTTAGGCTCATTGAGTTCCACCTTTCTTAATTTCCACTAAATGTAGTGAAGATACTGATGAGTGAGTGCTCTCTTTCAGTTCTACGTATTTTATCACTTGTCTTTTAATTCTTTACCTGTGAATAACCTTGAAGTTTGTTTTATAAATTTTCAAGAACATGGATTTTTCTGCTGTAATTTGCATTATTGATTTCTTATCACATCATATTATAATTGTGAACTTGCCTTCTCAGGTATCATTTATCAAAGAAATCAGTGGGAAGCTGTTTTATGATCTAAATTCCAGATGTGTTCATTTAAAAAAAAATACATGTTTGGTAGGAACTGATTCTTTTTTTTTTTAAAGATTTATGCATTTATTTGAAAGGCAGAGTTACAGAGAGGCAGAGGCAGAGGCAGAGAGAGAGGTCTTTGATCCACTGGTTCACTCCCCAGATGGCTGCAAATGGCCAGAGCTAGGCCAATCCAATGCCAGGAGCCAGCAGCTTCTTCCAGGTCTCCCATGTGGGTGCAGGGACCCAAGGACTTGGGCCATTTTCTTCTGCTTTCCGAGGCCACATCAGAGAGCTGGATCAGAAGTGGAGCAGCTGGGACTCGAACCAGTGCCCATATGGGATGTTGGCACTGCAGATGGTGGCTTTACCCTCTGTGCCACAGAGCCGGCCTCTCTCTCTATCAATCGTATGGGGAGAATGCCAACTTGCCTTTCAGTCTCAGAGGGTTGTGGTGAGGCTATGCCAGGATCACAAACAATTCTTTGTCAACTGTAAAGAGACCTTCCAATCGGAAAGGTGCAGGTTAAGGGTGCCTTGTGAAGATGTGGCATGCCTGCATGTTAACCCCTTCTATTCTCTGCAAGAGTCTGGACAGAGCAAAGTTCAGAGAAATGTGTGGAGGTCTCTGAGATTCTCTGTTGTCTTCCTCTTCCTTTCCCTTAGTGTGGAATACAGAAGCTGCCACCATGACCACCCACGTCACCCTGGAAGATGCCCTGTCCAACGTGGACCTGCTGGAGGAGCTGCCCCTCCCTGACCAGCAACCATGCATCGAGCCTCCGCCTTCTTCCATCATGTACCAGGTAATGGCAGTGGCAGAGCAGCTCTGAGCATCCTAGTTGGCTCGGCCCCGGAGGCCCAGAGGAGGGGAAGTTTGCATCCAGGAGGTGAAAGGTCGAGAGCTGATGGAGTCCCTGTGCACTCCTGGAGCTGAGAGAGAGAGATGAGCTAGTCATTGTACACCAGCATCCGTCCCCTGCCCCAGGGAGGGCTTATTGATCTGTTTTGACCCTGAATACCTTCCCAGAGGTTCTTGCTGCTGCACTAACCAAGGTTTTGGCAGCTCTGACCTCATGAATTAAATATCGCAATTTAGTACCCCCTGGAGCCTGCCTGGGTGAATGACTTTCCCTTCATGCATTGAGAGGAGCACTCGGCCCACAGCAGGGTGGTCAGCACAGTAGCTTGCTGTGGCTTGAGACCAGATCTTCTGATAGAGAAACTGCCCTTCACTGCTCAATGCCAGGATCCCGTCAGCGTGGGGGAGGGGAGAATGTCCCCACCGCTGGAGTCAGCCTTGCAAGTAACCTCTGTCTGAGTGTGCCTGGCGAGTAGGCCCTGTTAGGAAAGGATGCACTACTGCGATTTTTCAGCTGAACCTGAAATTTTGAAGGTTCTTGGGCTGCTAAGTTCCCTTAAATGTAAGTCCATCATACGGTACCAGTCTTAGTCTGTGGTTAAATGTATTAAACATGTGCTGGAAGGTTCAGTTCATAAACTCGGCATATTAACATCTTCTAACTTGGATTCACTTGTTAATTATATCTTGCATGTTAATACAGAAAAGTAGAAATCAAAAGTACAAACTAGAAGTATACATAAAGGTGTGAGTGTGTTTTTACCAAAAGGGAATTAGATATATTGATCTTTGTGTTGTCTTTTGAATTTAAAACTTACTATAGATTTGTAACTTAAAACATATTATTTATGGCCATGATAGGTCTGCAGTGCTACCGCTTTGTATTTAACCACCTCGTGGTTGTGAGATGGGAGTGAGATAAGGGGGGACGGGACAGTCAGTCTCTGCAGGGAGCTTACAGGGGTTGTGGGCGGTTGGTTGCTCTCTGGCCACTTGGGCCTGTTTTCCAGCAACCAGTTACCCTTATCTTCCAATTCCACAGGCTAACTTCGACACAAACTTTGAGGACAGGAATGCATTCGTCACAGGCATTGCAAGGTACATTGAGCAGGCTACGGTCCACTCGAGCATGGTAAGTGCCTGTGAGCCACGTGTGTGGAGCACTCCCCTCTGGGGTGGGAGGACTCCCAGGCCGCTGCTCCTGCCAGGACTTAGGCTCGGCTGCCAGACTCCCCGTCCTCATTCAGACCCATCCGACTTGAGCCCATCCTCCAGCCCAGCTCCACCTCCTCTGCGTGCCGGGGGCGGGGGGGGGGACTCACTGGTCTCCTTAAGCTTCTGCCTTTGCAAATCCTGCTCCTTGTGAGGACCCTGCGTAAGCCCACTACTCACTTCCCTGAGCATCTGTGGCTTTGGCAGTGAATATGTGATTAGATCCTAATAGATGGATGATTGGAGAGTGGAATTTGTCTCTTGAGTACAGCAACAGTTTCCTCAGAGAAGGGATTGTAGCTTCACCTTCGGAATGACAGTGATGGACTTGAAGAAGCTGGTGACCTAAATCTTGCACAAGTGGGGCTGATAATCCGCTTTCTGTCACCCTTCTGTGAGGAGTCATCCCCTTCCCTCTTGGGATTCTGTTGATTTCACTCTCAGGTAGCACTGAAATTTGGAGAGCCCCAGCTGCTGCTTTCAAGGCTCTGCCTGTCACTCCCTGGACGCTTCTCACTGCGTCTGTGAACTCTTCTTAGCAAACATACTTCATTGATTCAGAGGGTCTCGTGTTGGAGGGGCTGTGTCAGTGCCAAGGTGGTCCAGAAGGACAAACAGACATCAGTCTGAACTCTCCAGGAGAGAGGCGGACGATGGACAAGCTTGCTGGTGACTGAACAACTTTCCTGTGCAGATGTCTTGAATTCATCATCGCATTTGGTCCTCGTATAAGCCCAGACCTTTCCAATAATACGCATTTCACGGATGGACCCAACCAGAGCCCAGCAAAGTTAATGCACCCAGGGTCCCGCCACTGACATGTGACCGAGCTAAACCCAGGTCTGTCTGACGACAAAACCTGTGCTCTAGACCATTCTTTCAGACAAATCGAAATGTAAAAGGGTAGATGTCATGATCAAAATTCCTACTTTTTTAAGAGGCTTTGAAAAAGACCAAAGTTTGATGAAGGAGGTGGCTTCTGAGTGGTACCTTGTAAGAGAGAAGGGATGCCTTACATATCCATCACATTTCAAAATGAACAGAAGATATTCTCACATGAGCTCGGCACAGCCTTGTGATTTGCAAAGGGATCATTATACCCATTTTAGGAGTGAGAAAACTGAGGCCTTGAGAAACCAATATAAACAAGTTGTTTATGGTCCCGGGATTAGTAGCTCACAGGATTGGGCCTGAAACCTAGGGCTGTATGCTCACCCTGGTGTCTCTCCACTGTAGTCTGCTGTGTCACCCAGCTAGATCTGTCAGGTGGCACGGGGAGGGCATACCAGGTGAGACAGTCAGCATAGGCAACGCATAGGGGCAGGAGTTTCCAGGGACTCCTGGGTATGGAATGAAAGGCTCTTTTTTGTGGCATTTCTGCCAAATCAGGTAAGGGTTAGTACGCGGACAAATGTTTATTAGTTGCCTAGGGCTTCTGTAACAGAATACCACGGACTGAGCAGCTTAAAGCACAGAAACTTATTCCTGGACAAATCCCGAGACCAGAATTCCAAGGTCAAAGTCAACAGATTGGGTTTCTCATGAACCTCTCTCCATGAATTTTAGATGGTTTCCAGATTTATTTATTTGAAAGAGTTACACAGAGAGAGAAGGAGAGGCAGAGAGAGAAAGAGGTCTTCCACCCACTGTTCACTCCCCAATTGGCTGCAATGGTTGGAGCTGCACTGATCTGAAGCCAGGAGCCTCCTCCGGGTCTCCCATGTGGGTGCAGGGACCCAAGGACTTGGGCCATCCTACACTGCTTTCCCAGGCCACAGCAGAGAGCTGAATCAGAGGTGGAGCAGCTGGGACTTGAACCCATGCCCATATGGGATGCCAGTAGTGCAGGAGGTGGCTTTACCCGCTATGCTACAGTGCCAGCCCCCCTCATATGTTCTTTGGGCACCCAACCCTATGTCTCTGTCCAATTTCCTGCTCTTAATGAGGGTACCAGTTGATTTCGATTAGGGCCCACCAATGGCTGCGTCTGAACTGGATCACACCTATTATTATTATTTTTAAATTTACAAAACAAATTATGAGGCAATATTATGGTGAGTTCCCATATACCCCTACCCCATTTCCCCTATTAACATATCAGTTTATTTGTCATAAATACTGAACCCTAGACAGCTTCCCTTTTTTTTAATCCAAACTCCTTTTATTCCTCCAACCCCACCCAGCCTTTCCTAATAAGCTTTCCGTGTTCAAATTAAGTTTTTTTTTAAGATTTTTATTTGTTTGTTTATTTGAGAGATAAGAGCCACAGAAAAAAAGGAGAGACAGAAAGAAAGGTCTTCCACCTGCTGGTTCACTCCCCAAATGGCCACAGTGGCCAGAGCTGAGCTGATCCAGAGCCAGGAGCCAGGAGATTGTTTCTGATCTCCCACATGGATGCAGGGGCCCAAGCACCTAGACCATCTTCCACTGCTTTCCCAGGACATAAGCAGAGAGCTGAAGTGGAAGAGGAGCATCCAGGACACGAACTGGTGCCCGTATTAGATGCCACACTATAGGCAAAGGCTTAACCTACTATACCACAGCACCAGGCCCCAGATGAAGTTTTTTAAAAAAAATCACATCAAGAGGCTGACGCATGGAAAAAAAAAAAAAAAAAAAAAAAAAAAAAAAAAAAGAGGCTGACGCATGGCTCACTAGGCTAATCCTCTACCTGTGGCGCTGGCACACCGGGTTCTAGTCCCAGTCGGGGCGCCGGATTCTGTCCCGGTTGCTCCTCTTTCAGTCCAGCTCTCTGCTATGGCCCGGGAGTGCAGTGGAGGGTGGCCCAAGTCCTTGGGCCCTGCACCCGCGTGGGAGACCAGGAGAAGCACCTGCCTCCTGGCTTCGGACCAGCGCAGTGTGCCGGCCGCAGCATGCCAGCCGCAGCGGCCATTGGGGGGTGAACCAACAGAAAAGGAAGACCTTTCTCTCTGTCTCTCATTGTCCACTCTGCCTGTCAAAAAAAAAATCATATCAAGGAAGAAATCCCATTCACAATAGCCACCACAAATGAAATATTTAGGAATAAATTTAACCAAACAAGAAAAAGATATCTACTATAAAAATTATAAAACACTGATGAAATAAATCATCAAGGACATAAAAATATGACAAGATATCCCTTACACATGGATGGGAGAAAATATTATTAAAATGTCTATACTATCTAGAGCAGCCCACAGATTCAATTTACTCTGTCCAATGACAATGATATTCTTTACAGAATTAGCAAAAAAAAATCCTAAGATTCATATGGAATCATGAAAGACCCAGAATAACCAAAGCAATCCTGAATATCAGCAGGTGGAGGCATCACAGTACTTGATTTCATAGCATACCACAAAGCTAGAGCAATTAAAACAGCTTAGCTTGGTACTGGCATGAAAACTGGCACATACATCAATGAACAGAATAGAGAGCCCAGAAATGAAATCCAAGTACATATAGCCAAATGACGTTTGATAAAAGTGCCCAGACAATACATCGGAGAAAGGATAATCCCTTCAATGAGTAGTACTGGCAAAACTGAACGTCTGTTTTAATCATGTCCCAGAAGGCCCTATCTCCAAACATAGTCACCTTCTCCGATCCTGGAGCTAAAGCTCCCACATAGGAATTGGCAAGAGTGGGGAAGACCCACACTCAGCCTGTAACAGGGCTTTCCGTCCTTTCATAAAAAAATCAAAAGCAATGGAAAATTTTCATCTGTGGGAAAGGGGAACAGGATTCTACTTGGAGAATAAGTTTCATTTGTGAGATTGTGTAGGATGAGTTGTAAGGAGGAGCTACTGAAGCAAATAAACTGGGGAAGATCATTACTAGTGTTGGCACTCGTCGGGCAGTGTTTGGCCCAGCGGCTATGACACTGTTTGCAATGCTGTATCCTGTATTGCAGTGCTTCAGTCCACGTCTTGGTCTGCTCCTGGCCCCAGCTTCCTGCTGATGCACATCCTGGGAGGTGATGCCTCAAGTAGTTACAGCCTCTTCCCCCATGTGGGATAGCAAGATTGCATTCTGAGCTCTTGGCCTCAGCCTGGCCCAGTCCTGGTTATTGTGGGCATTTGGGGACTGCATCAGAGGGTGGGAGTGCTCTAATGGGCAGGCGATGGCTGAGAGGGTATAGATAAGAAACATCCTAGGGGTAGTTCCTCCTAGCTTAGCAGTCAGCTGGAACTGTGCTGACCAAGGCTTTCCAGTGCCACAAGGTCAGGGGCGCCACTAAGGAAGCGGGAAGGACAGGCTGGTTTGAATTCATTTCCTATGGCTGCTGTCATAGATGATCACAAACAAACTTACTTGCTTACAAAATCTTTTTAAAAATTTTTATTAATATAAAGAGAACAGACTTCATGCATTTCATAGGTATAATTCTAAGAAAATAATTATACTTCCCTCCCTCCCCCTCTTGCTGCCTTAATCCCCCTGCTTTCTTCTTTTTCTTTAATTTTTTCTGACACATAATTTCAGTCCACTGTATAGTCACAGGCATATTGCCGCTTACAGATTCTTTAGGTCAGCAGTGCAAGATGGGTGTCATTGGGTTAAAATCAAGATACTGTCAGGGCTGTACTCCGTCCTGAGGGATCCCCAGGGAAAATCTGTTCCCTTTTTCCATCTTCCGGAGGCTCCCTGCATTCCTTAGCTTATGACCCCCAACCCCAGGCCAGCCAGCAGTCACAGCCTCTGACCTCGGCATCTCTCTTTCACTTAAAGGGCCACTGTGATTACCTCGGGCCCACCAAGGTTCTTAAGCCCATCTTCGCAGTCCCTCTTGCTATGTGAGGTCACATAGTCACCAGTTGTGGGGATGAAGATTCTGACACCTTGGGGGTACCTTGTCTGCCCAAAAAGGGATGGTACTGATGTGTTCTAGACATGAGTCAAGGGTAGGGTGCACTGGGGCTAGCACTGAGGTGCAGGAGTTAAGCACCTTATGGGTGCTGGTTTCAGTCCCAGCTACTCTGCTTCTGATCTAGCTTTCTGCTAATGTGCCTGGGAAAGCAGCAGATGGTGGCCCAAGTGGTTGGGTTTCTGCTTCCCACGTAGGAGATCTGTATGGAGTCCCAGGCTCCTGGCTTTGGCCTGACCCAGCCCCAGCTGCTGTGGGCATTTGGCAAGTGAATAAGCAGGTGGAAGACCTCTGTCTGTCTGTCTGTCTGTCTCCTGTCTCTCTCTCTCTCTCTCTCTGCCACTCTGCCTTTTAGAGAATAATTTACTTATTAATTTATTACTTATTAATTAATTCAATTAATTAAATCTTAAGGGTAAAAGAACAAGGTTAATGTTGACATGCCTGGATGATGCCAAAAGCTTACACTGGTCAGCAGTCTCCACCTGTTACCTCGCTCAGTCTTTCAGGAGCTGCTTAGCAGCAGAAACTTGATTTCACTCAATGCTCCTCTTCTGTCTTTGCTGCCCGAACTTGAGCAAGGTGGCCTCTCGAAGGGCAGGATGGCCAGAGAAAAGGGAAGGAGGACAAAGCACTCAAACCATACTATCAACAAACTTTGTGGAAGAATTGAGGGCTCATTGCAGTGGATGAGATGAGGGCTACAGAAGTGCTGGGTGGTCGTCTGCCATTGCCGGATCTGAAATCTGAGCTGAACTCACACTGTAAGTCATTGACTTAGAGGGTTGGAAATGTCGAGCTCTTTGGGGATCCTTAATCGTGCGGTTGTCAACCTCGGCTGCATGAGTATCTCCTGGAGATTTGTGGAAAAAAAAAATACCAGTGCTGGACCCCACCCCCTGGGATGAACATTCAGTTCATCTGGGGCATGGCCTGGGCTTCACCCATTTCCAGAGTTCCCAAGTGACTGTGCCCAAGGATTGAGAACAGTGGTTTACACTAATTCTTTGCCTCCAAAGAAGGAAATCGTGATATTTTTAAGTTAACTGGTAGCTCTGAATAGAGCCAGGACTGGAACTCAAGGCCCTGCCTGGTCGTCTTTCCACCACAACATGCTAATATTACATTCTGATCAATTATGTGACAGATCTGGCTGATGGTCAGCCAAACAGGACACAGGACCAAGTACATCCCCTTCTACTTTTTTTAAAAGGCTTATTTTATTTAGTTGAAAGACAGAGTAAGAGAGAGAAGCAGAGACAGAGAGAGAGGTCTTCCATCTGCTGATTCACTCCCCAATTGGCCACAATGGCCGGAGCTGCGCCAGTCCGAAGCCAAGAGCTTCTTCTGGGTCTCCCACGTGGCTGCAGGGGCTCAAGGACTTGGGCCATCTTTGACTGCTATCCCAGGCCATAGAAGAGAGCTGAATCGGAAGAGGAGCAGCTGGGACTAGAACCGGCACCAATATGGGATACCGGCGCTTCAGGCCAGGGCTTTAACACATTACGCCACAGCACCGGCACCATCATCCCCTTCTTTAAAGAAAAAAAAAATGTAATTATTTAAAAGGCAGAGAAAAAGAGAGATCTTCCGTACACTGGTTCACTCCCTGAAATGGCAACACAGCCACAGCTGCTCCAGGCCAAAACTAGGAGCCTGGAACTCCATCCTAGATTCCCACATGGGTGGCAGGAGCTCAACTCCTTAGCCATCATCTCCTGCTTCCCTGGATGCATTTGAAGGAAATGGACTGGAAGCTGAGTAGCTGGCACTTTAATTGAAACTCTCATATGGGAATTGGGCATCACAAGCGGTGGCTGAACCTGCTGTGCCACTGGCCTGCCCCGCATTCTTCTTGTTCATTATCCTGTTCCCAGGCCAGAACCTGGTACCCCTGAGTGTTCTAGAGGACTTGAGTGAGTTTGAATTACTCACACCAGCTGGAGAGCAGTTACTTTGGTGCTGAAAGTTCCCTGTGCACTGTCACTTGCCTTTTTAACATGAACAGCAGGGCACCATGGGCCTGATCTTGGTTCTCTCTGGTCTTCAGGACTCAAGTCAGTAGTGTTGAAAAGGTCTCTAAATTGAGAATTAGAAGTATGGTTCACGGATGACATTTGCTTTAAAATCAGAACTGTAATAAGTAATAAACTCCGAATTAAATCCGATTGGATACTAATCAGAAATTATGAAATAGATTTGACATGTAGATTTAAAAATAAACCTTTATGAGTAAATTATCTATAGAAATGTTTAAAAAAAGAAGTAGTCTAGTAATATTTCTGTTGTGTTTTTTGGGATACAATTTCCATAACATGAAACCATTCCAGGTATCCAATTCAGTAGTTTTTAAGCATATCTGCAATGTTATACAACAGTTATCACCATCTAATTTCCCTTACCCAAGAGGTACCGCAGACCTGTTAGCAGTCACTCCCAGTTCCTCTCTGTCCCCATTCATTGGCAACCATTAATATGCTTTCTGTTTCTATGAATTTGCCTATTCTGAACTTTTCATCTACATGAATCCCCCAGGCTGTGGCCTGTCACTCAGCTTGTTCTCAATGTCCATCTGTGTTGTTGCAGGACTTCATTCTTATAGATGAGTGAGATTCTATTATAGGGATAGACTGCACTTTTTTTATCCATTCATTAGTTGATTGGCATGTGGGTTATTCCAATTTTGGGTCCATTGTGAATAATGTCACTGCAAACATTTTATGTGCAAATCCTGAATTCACGTAAGTTTCTGTATGGACATATGACTTCAGTTCGTCTGCATAGAGATCTAGGAGTGGAGTTGCTGGGTGAAATGGTAGCTCCACAGTTGACAATTTGTCGTGCTAGTACAGTGTTTTCTGAACATGCTTTATAGATTACCTAGTGTGTATACATGTGTTTCGGTGTGTCTCCTGTCCTCATGCTGCTCTAGGAGAGAGTGATCATCATCATCCTTTAACAGATGAGTAAATGGAGAGCTTTAGGCTACGTGTTTACTACAGCCTGAAGAGCTAATAAGTGATGAAGCTTATATCTAGACTTAAGCTCAGATATTTGGACTCTGAGTTTCGGGCTCTTTCCACAGAACCAGTCATCCGGTGGGATGAGTCATCTCTGTCTTTTTCAGGTTCCTGTTCATGCTGTTGTTGGTTTTGCCATCTGCTCTGCTTATTATTTTTAAAAATTGACATTAATTGTTTTCCTGCTTATGAAATCTAAGGAGTCTTCAAAAAGTTCATGGAAATACATAATATGAATAAATTGTGCTTGGCATCAAAATAAAGTGATCTTTTTGTTCCATTTTTCCATGAATGTTTTTGAGATACCTTGCTAGTAACCCTGGCTCTTACAGAAGTGCAAACATTATAATACTGTTCTGTTTTACAGTAACAAAGGTTATGTATAATAGTACTAACATAGTTCTATACCATACATAAAAAGCAACAGACGATAACCCAGCTCCACAGAGAACTTGCTACAGATAGCTTGCTGCATATTCCACCAGCACTTTTTCAATACACAGTGATGTGTATTTATAATTGTTTGCTAACCTGTCTACTGAACATGCTGTCTTGCTCCTTGTTTATTTTCTTTCTAACATTGTAGCTGGAACACTTTACTGGGGTGACATAGAGATGTGACTGATACTTGCTAAGGTGGCCATCCATCTGTTTGAAAAGTGTGGCCCAGTTATAGAACCTGTGAGTGTCGGATGAGGATGATTCAGTCTGGTTTTTCACAAAACCTTGTGCCTGTGAGTCATCTGGGGATCTTGCCGAAATGCAGGTTCTTATTCTGTAGGCCCAGGGAGGGGCCTGAGACTCTGCATTTCTAATAAATCCCACAAGTGATGCTGCGGTGAGGATTTGGAGGCCGCTGAGAAGCCTTGGGACACGGGCATCATCTCTCCCTGCTGAGGGTGTTCTGCTGTTTCAGAATGAAATGCTGGAAGAAGGTCACGAGTACGCCGTCATGCTGTACACCTGGCGCAGCTGTTCCCGGGCCATTCCCCAGGTGAGACTCCCCTTGCCAAGTGCCTCTCTCACCCTCCAGGAGTCTTTACTACTGCTCCCAGAGAGATGAGCTTCTCCACGTGGCAGAGAGTGAAACAGGGCCTGCCACCCAAGGAAAAACGCTCAAGTCGATCAGAGAATTTCCTATAAAACTGATGACAAGGACCCACCCACCCCGCCCAGGCTCTTGGAAAATGTTATCACCATGTTCCATCTCAAAGACAGAGTATACTCACTGTGTGACACACAAACTATTGCAGAAAGGTGTAAAGACAAGACATTCGTGCCTCCATACCCCCACCACTGGAACGAACCTCCCACCATGGTATGGTCACCGTCAGCAGTGTACTGCATAGTCTTCTGGATCTTTACTCTGGCATGAGTGTTATTTTGTAAATTTTTATCATTTACTAGTGTTTCATTTCTTATTTACATTGTCCTGCCACTTGCTTTTTTTCCTACTGACTTATTTTTTATTTTGACATACAGAGATATTTTTATTACCTTTATTGTCATTATCATATCTTTAATGGAACCCATTGTAACAAAATCAACAAACTGTAAGTGTATAAAGTAAACAGAAAATTCCCCTGCCTCTCCTCCTAATCCTAGCCCTCAGGGGTGACTACTATTGACAGCTTGATTTGCACCCTTTTGGATTTTCTATGCCTGTATTGTAGAAACATATACATAGTGTTGGGTTTTGCTTAACAAAAACGAGACCTAATTATACTTACTGTTCTTTGAGCTTTTTCATTTGTCACCCTTATGGTATCTACTTTTTCATATCAGTACACATAGATCTGATTCTTTCTAATTGTTCGTGATGTTGTTGAGTGATTGGTATTTTACCTATTTAATCATTGGATTAATGGGTATTCAGTGGGTTGCTACCACTTTAAGAATTTCTGGACGGCATCCTGAGGAGTGTCCTTGTGCTCACCTTCACTCCTTCTTCACACTCCTTGAGCTGTTGGCAGTGTTGGTGTTGAGAGAATATTACCGTGTGTTTCTAATGTGCACACTGGTTGCAGCCACGAGGCAGGCTAAATGGGTTTCTTGATGGGTACAACTTATATTGGCCAGCGTTGGTCTGGGATGGACACAGGATCTCTGCCAAGCATACCCAGAGCAATGGACAGAACATTCCTCTCCGCCTGGCCAGCCCCAGTACGGCAGAGATAGGACAAAGCTCAAAGAAGCGATACCTTAGTACAGGCGCGTGTGTGCTCACAGTCAGGGAACAGAACCAAGACAGGGAGGAGGGTTCTGTTCTTGGGATCAGCTGGTTCCTTTTCTGTAGTCCATCTTGGGTAGCACTTCTGTCCCCTGCCAGAGAGGTCAGATAGGGGCTGCCCCAGCCTCCTCTCACAAAGATGACCATATCGGTCACCATCCAGGGACAAGGCCTGTTTCTGTGACTCCAGGTATGAACCTTGACCATCTATGCAAAGCAGAATGTGTGAGCACCACTTCTCTCATCCCTAGGTGAAATGCAATGAGCAGCCCAACCGGGTGGAGATCTATGAGAAGACAGTGGAGGTGCTGGAGCCAGAGGTCACGAAGCTCATGAAGTTCATGTACTTTCAGGTGAGCAGGTGGGCTGAGTCTGCACAGGAAACTCCTGGACGCTGGGGTTTATGGTTTTATACCATGTTATTTATTCTTTCAGCGAATATTTTTTATTATATACTACACACTCTGGGTTGAGCAAGGCAGGCAGATACCCTGACCCTATGTTTGTCAAATACAGCATGGAGAGCAGGTTTTGGGTGGAGGGAGAGAAGACCATAGACAATACTCCATGATAAATGCTGCAAGTGTAGGAAATCTTGCAAGAGTTCTGGGCTGTGGAATGTCTGTGTGTAGGCGCTGCTTTAGGACAGGCCTCTCAGGAGGTGCTGTGTGAGCTGGGATCTGCGCAGCGAGAGAGGCTGGAGTGTGATGGTCAGGAGGAAAAGCATTTCAGATGGAAAGCCAAGGCCACGGTCTGAAAGAACATGACGCTTGTAAAAACAAGAAGGAACCTGTGGAGGCCGTGATGCCATGAGAAGGGGACAGTGGTTAAAGGTGAAACCAGGGACAGGCTGTAGTGCAGTGGTTAAGACCCTGCTTCGGGTGCTGTATGTATGCTGTATATTCTTGTGCCTGGTATCGAGTCTCACCTCCACTTCCATTTCCAGCTTCCTGCTAATATATACCCTGGGAGGCAGCAGTAATGACTCAAGCAGATGAGTCCTTGCCACGAGCATGGGAGAGCGGGATTGAGTTTCTGTTTTAGACCTGGCACAGCGAAGGCTCTTGTGCTGATTTTCTGTCTGGTTGATCTGTCCATTGCAGAAAGTGGGGTATTGAAGTCCCCCATTACTAATCCCTTACTATTCCCTTTAGATCCTTTAACATTTCTTTTAAATACCTAGGTGCCTTGTAATTAGATGCATATACGTTTATAATAGAGATATCTTCCTGCTGAATTGATCCCTTAATCATTATATAATCATTATATAGTGCCTTTCTTTGTCTCTTTTAATAGTTTTTGTGTTAAAGTCTATTTTATCTGATACTAAGATGGCTACAACAGCTCTTTTTTGGTTTCTGTTTGCATGGAATATCTTTTTCCATCCTTTCACTTTCAGTCTGTGTGCATCTTCGTTGATGAGATGTGTTTCTTGTAGGCAGCAAATAGATGAAATTTATTTTTAATCCATTTAGCCAGTATATGTCTTTTCACTGGAGAGTTGAGGCCATGTACGTTCAAGGTGACTATTGATAAGTAATGACTTTGCCCTACCATTTTCCCATAAGTATTTCTATTTTTTACTTTGGATTTCTTTTGTATTTTTACTGGGAGATTTTCTTCCTCTACCTTTTTTTTGTAGTGATATTCCTGTTTCTGTGTTTCTATGTGCAGCACATCCTTAGCATCTTCTGTAGGGCTGGAAGGATGGTGACAAATTCTTTCGATTTCTGTTTGTCATGGATGGGCTGTATTTCACCTTCATTCATAAATGAGAGCTTTGCAGGGTATAGTATTTGGAGTTGTTCGTTCTTATAAGACTTGGAATATATCTCGCCATTTTCTCCTAGCCTGTAGGGTTTGTGATGAGGAAGTCCACTGTGAGTCTAATTGGAGATTCCCTGAAAGTAATCTGGTGTGTCTCTTGTGTACATTTTAGAATCTTTTCTTTATGTTTTACTGTGGAGAGTTTGCTTACAATTTCTTGGTAAAGCTCTTTTCTGGTCATGTCTGTTAGGAGTTCTGTGTGCTTCCTGTACTTGGATGTCCCTTTCTTTTTCCAAATTAGGGAAATTTTCTGTTATTATTTCACTAAAAAGACCCTCTAATCCATTTGTTAGTTCATTTATTTGCTTTTGATTGCTTCTAAGTAATCCTGTGATCAGTTTTTTGAATTCTATTTCTGGCATTTCTTTAATCTCACCATCTTCACAACCTAGTATTGAATTATTGTATTCTTTTAGAGATGTCATGTTGTCTTCCTTATTTTTGTTTATGGAATTGGTGCATTTGTTATTCAACATTTGTGGAAATACTTGTTGCTTTCTTCTTTTTCTGTTGTGGCAGTTTTTATCTTTGTACTATTCCTCTGTAGATTAGTGGAGTGTCTGATTTCAGGGAATATCTAGAGGTGTGTGCTGGGTGTGGCCGGGAAGCTCTGTTCAGCTTTCCAGGATGAAGAGGGTGTCTAAGGTTATACACCCAGGTTTGGCGTGGTGAATTTCCTCTTTTCTTTTCACTTCTTTTCTTTCTTTCTTTTTTTTTAAATCAGAGGGGATGTTTTCTCTTGCCTGTTGGTGTATACTCAAGTGATCTCCTGTCCTCAAAGGAGACCGGAGGGCACTGATTTTATTCGTGTAGGAAGCTATTAGAGGTTTTCAGTGACAGGATGTGATCTGAGGTTTTGCCACATTGCTCTGGCTGCTGTGTAGAAAATGGATGAAGGGAAAAGCAGGAAGATCAGCTAAAGAAGGAAGAGAAAAGACAGCAAGGGCTTCCATCAGTGCCAGGTGAGGGAGTAAGCCAGTTGAACAGAAATGACAGGAAGTGTAGCAAAGCAGGTAGACATGAGGGAAGCCAATGAGCAGTGCAGGTTGGATGCTAAGGCCAGTCTGCAGCTGGGATGGACGTCTGTCCCACACTGTGTGCCCCTCCACATGTCCTACTGTGAGCTGAGCTTCTCAGAAGACCCCTGGCACTGGGCAGTGTCCACCCTGTGCCCAGCACCATGCTGGAACCTTCAGGTGAGAGCTGGGACCATGTGGGCAATGATTCCGCTGGGGAGCCACATACACAGCCCTAGGCGAGGAGCACTGCCTTCAGAGGCTGAGAAACCTGAGTTAGAACCCGGCTGTGCCGGCGCCGTGGCTCACTAGGCTAATCCTCAGCCTTGCGGCGCCGGCACCCTGGGTTCTAGTCCCTGTCAGGGCGCCGGATTCTATCCCGGTTGCCCCTCTTCCAGGCCAGCTCTCTGCTGTGGCCAGGGAGTGCAGTGGAGGATGGCCCAAGTCCTTGGGCCCTGCACCCCATGGGAGACCAGGAGAAGTACCTGGCTCCTGGCTTCGGATCAGCGCAGTGCGCTGGCCACAGCGTGCTGGCCGTGGCGGCCATTGGAGGGTGAACCAATGGCAAAAGGAAGACCTTTCTCTCTGTCTCTCTCTCTCACTGTCCACTCTGACTGTCAAAAAAAATAAATAAATAAAATAAAAATAAAAAAAAAAAAGAGAGAGGAGGTTGTGTTCTAAGGATAAAAATGCCCCTGGGAGAGCAGCCAAGTACGTGAGGAGGGTAGCAAGGTGGGCAGTGTGCCTCTCCAGGTAGGAAGGGCTCCAGGAATACATCATAGCCGCAGCACGCCAGCCGCGGTGACCATTGGAGGGTGAACCAACGGCAAAGGAAGACCTTTCTCTCTGTCTCTCTCACTGTCCACTCTGCCTGTCAAAAAAAAAAGAAAAAAAAAAAAAAAAAAGAACCCGGCTGTGCCTCTTTGATCATGCGTCTGTGAGTTCTTTAACCTCTCTGCCACCTGCAGATTTCCTTCCTGGGAAGCTACCCTTCCTTTGCAGGCTTGTAAAGGGTCGAGGAGAGCCCTGGGGACAGGCAGATGTAACACGTTGCCATTGTTCTTGTTAGTTTCATAGAACTGCCTTATAGCAGCCTGGAATCTAGGAGGTAGGTTCCTGAGGGAAAGAAAAAGTATCCAAAAACCTACTTCGGGCTAAGCTGCCAGCCTCCAGGCAAGAGGCTTTTATGGAAGAGGGTCTGGAGCCCTTTAGAAGTGTGCTGTCCTGTTTGCAGCCATTATCCACCTGTAGCTGTTTCTATTAATAAAGTGCAGCTGGAAAGTTAATTGCCCAGTGGTGCTGGGCACACCTCGGGCACTCAGGATCCACACGTGATGAGTGGTTGTCCTGTTGGGCCACACAGGTGGGGAACATTTCCATCCATGCAGAAAGTGGCATTGGACTGAGACCTGGTGGCTTGTCCCGGCTTTGCAGGAGAGCAGGCATGAGCTGGCAGTCAGCCCAGGCCCGTGGAAGCTGAGTGGAGCTCCCTCAGCTTCGAGCAGTCATCTCTCTTCCTGCCCTCCTCACCCCCCTCCCTCCACTCCTCCTCCTCTTTTTCATCTCTCACCCACTCTGGACGCCTACAGTAGCCTGTTTTGCTGTTGCTCTACTGCTTTTCTGAGTGGGTAACGGCTTAATGAAGATGCAAGTCACACACCGTGTCATTCACTCATGTGAGGTGGAGAACTCCTAAGTTTTTAGTATATCCGTAGAGTTGTGCATCCATCACTAAGATGTCACCCTGGAGCACCCTCGCCTCCTCCCACCTCCAGCCCTAGGCAACCACAAATCTGTGTGTCCCTGTGGATTCGCGTCTTGTGGACATTTCACAGAAATACAGTGGCACCGTGTGTGAGCTTGGGTGTCTGTCTTCTGACAGTAGGCATAATACTTAAAGGTCATTCCCATCGAATGCACCCAAACTTCATTCCTTTCTCTGACTGACTGCTGTTTCCTGTACTCACGCACCACATTGTATTTATCCATTCACCAGTTGATGGGCATTCGAGTTGTTTCCACTATGATCAAAGCTTGGACATTCATGTACAAGTCTTGTGTGGACTGAGGTTTCATTCCCTTGGGGTATATCTGTAGGAACCCTGGGGTAATGCCACCTGTAACTTTGTAGCCTCCTAGCTGTTCTCCCACTTCCAACCTTGCTTCATACCGTCTGTTCTCACTATGGTAGCAGCCACCGTCACCCCTTTAAAATCGAACTGAGACTGTCCTGTGCTGCTTCAGAGCCCTCCCCCTCCCACCCCACTCCATGTTGAAGCCCAAACCTTCGCGCAGGTTTACAAGAGCCAGTGACCCTGGGACCTGCTGACCCTGTTTCCATTTTTTCACTGCACTTACTCCACCTCAAGGAGGCTTCCCATGTCTCAAATATGTCTCAGGGCCTTTGCACTCACTATTCACACTCCCCTCAGTTAGCCTCGTGTCTTTATCCTTCTCTTTCAGATTCCTCTCCTGAAAATCACTTCTTGGTGATTTGTCCCCTGATCCTCCTCCCATCACTTCCCTCCCTTCTTTATTTTTCTCTGTTGAACCTGTTACATTGATTGCCCTGTCTCACCAGAACATGAGCTCCTTGGGGGAGAGTTTGTTGTCGGGTAGTTTCTATTTTGTGCCCTGCTACAGTGGTGCCTGGTGCACAGTAGACACTCAGTAAGTGCTGATGAATGAACCTCTTTCTGTCTCTCAATGTGTCTCTTACCCTTGGTCTCTGTCTCCCTAGCAGCTGGTGCGTGGCACTGTCCAAGGTGCTGGTCCTCCACACTTGATTGAGATGATGTGTCTCAGCAGGAGTGTGTGTGGAGCAATTCACAGGTCTGGGTGGCGTGGGTGTAGGTCCCAGGCTCACCACCAGAGATCAGCTCTGGGTGCCAGGCTCCTCCGAGAAGGACCACCTGACCCACTTGCCCTTCTCGAAATGTCCAGGCTCTGGCGTGGGCCCCCAGGGAGCCTTGACCCTGGCCCCCACTGGGCTGCCCCGGCCTCGCTCACCGCCCCTCTGCCCCCAGCGCAAGGCCATCGAGCGGTTCTGCAGTGAGGTGAAGCGGCTGTGCCACGCAGAGCGCAGGAAGGACTTTGTCTCCGAGGCCTACCTCCTGACCCTGGGCAAGTTCATCAACATGTTCGCCGTCCTGGACGAGCTGAAGAACATGAAGTGCAGCGTCAAGAATGACCACTCTGCCTACAAGAGGTCAGTGCCCCTGCCGTTCTCCCTGACCCCGGCGGGACCACTCTTCCATGCCAGGTGGAGGAGAAGGGCAGAGCCTTCTCAGGTCCATTCTCAGGTGCCTCCGTTGCGCACCTGCAGGGACCTTGGGGCTGTGGAAGTGTGACTTGAGGAACAGGGTCAGAGCTGGTCTCTGAAGAACTTGATCTGTGCAGAGCCGAGTGACTCCGAGGGAACCGAACCCTCAGTCCCCTCCTGCTGAGGCGGTGTCCTGTGCCCTGTGAGAGCAGTAAGAGAATCACAGGTGGTTATAGGAGTCCTTTTCCACAAGAGGCAGAAGGCCATCTCCAGCTGCTTGAGGACAGGCAGGAAGGGAAGTGGCCAGGGGACCTGGAAAGCCCAGGTGCACCTGCGTCCAGGTCCTCAGATGATGATATTAGCCTGGGTTTCTCCATCTCCGTCAGCTTCAGGCGGTTCCTCCTGTGGTCGCCTCTAGCAGCTTCACTCTTCCCTCCACCCACCGCAGCACCCCAGCTCCTGGGAAGGAAAGGGTACTCCTCCTTCCCAGGGAGACTGCAGTAGGGCAAGCGTAGGTGCTGTGCTGAGCCCTCCCTCCCTTGGTCACTATGGTAGGGGGCACGGGGTGGGTGCTCTGATTAGACAGTGCTCACCCTGGAGCTGGGCTCAGTGTCAGCTCACAGGAAGAAGGACTGAGAGTGGGAGAGGGGTCTGGGTGCTGCCACTCCAAAGCCGGGGAGGGCAGTGCAAGCGGCCAATGAGTGGGATGTGTCGGCTGAGGCCCAGGCAAGCTCCCCAGTGTCTGGGAGCATCTCTTGGGAAGGATTTCCTGTCACTGATATGGAAGGACCCTCTCCCTGAACCTCGTCCCCCTGGGACGCCACGGTCCCTAGGAAAAGCAAGAGCATAGACAGACTGGTTCTCACGAGTTTGCCTTTCTGGGTCAACTGTGAGACCTGGGGTGCCTGGCAGACAAAGCCCTTCCCAAAACTGACCCAAAAAATGACAGCTTCCGAAGATTTCACAGGTAGCTCCTAGTAGAATGCCTTCCCCAGAGTCTCCCCAGTTGTGGCCAACAGCTTTCATCTAGGCTAGAGCTGTCGCCCTCTGCTGGTCAGCGAAGGGCATGAGCGAGGCGCCTGCCTGCTCACAGTTGATGGGGACGGCAGGCTTGGCTGCATGTGCAGGTGGCTGTGGCCTCTGGATTCCTGTTGGGTCACACAGACATTTGCAAGCATTGCTTTGCTTTAGAAACAGAACACAGACCAAAGAGCAAGGCCCCTGCCTGGGACTCTGGTTTGTAAGTTTCGCGGAGGACCACTAGGAGGGATGCTCCTCTCACAACCTAACTCAGCGCTCCTGCCTGGGCGAGGGGACGCTGGTCGCCCTTGAACTTTGAAGTTTGAGTTACAGAGGTTGTCAGTACCTTCTTGCCTTCAAGTTGCAGATGTAGGTATCACCAGGGTGTCGGCAAACCCCAAGGAGATGGCTCCAGAGGCACCTCCTTCTCCATGAGAGTGGCCTGTGACACTCAGAGCTCGTTGCCCTAGGGGTCAGGTTGGCACGGCAGCCTGTGCGGTGTGGTTCAGGCTGGTCGCACGGGACAATACCCGCCGCCTCACTCTTCCTCCTGCATTTCAGGGCAGCCCAGTTCCTCAGGAAGATGGCAGACCCCCAATCTATCCAGGAGTCGCAGAACCTCTCCATGTTCCTGGCCAACCACAACAGGATCACTCAGGTGAGGGCAGGCCCCTAGTTGGTTAGTCCTGCCAGCAACTTGGGGGTGCAAGCAGGGGCCTGGAGGCAGGGGTGCTGGGCAGTGCCCAGAGGGCAGCAGGCAGCCTAGTCCCCCAGTCCGTGTCCAGTGTCAGTGTATCTGCCCCTCCCCACACAAGACTGACCCAGCTGCAGGCTGAACAGCCCTCTTCCCACTGCAGCCGGCCCTTCCTCTCATTTCACTCTTGTCCTCTGGAAGCCTGGCCAGTGCTCTGGCCCCACCCCAGTGCAGAGGTTGAGGTCATGGGGTCTGCAGCCAGACTGACTGGTTTCTAATCCTGGATCCCCTCTGACCCACTGTGAGCTCTTGGGCAAAGGCTGAGCCTCAGCTTCCTCCTTTGTAAACTGGGTCTGCTCTGTGGAGATCTGAAAAGGGTGCATCTCATAGGACTGTCGTGGGCAGGGAGCTGGTGAGTGTAGAGCCGTTGGCACGTGGCCCCTGAGAAATGGCAGGGCCGTAGGAAGGCACGGCTGTTGTCACCACATGCACTTTGTCAGGGCACCCCTCCTGTCCTGCCCAGCACACTGTGACCAGCAGTGATCTCTGTTGGCTCAACCAAAGCAGGCAGCAGCAGGAAGGTCTGCAGGACCCAGAACAATGGGGAGAGGGCCTGTCTCACCCGGGGAAGTGTGGCCAGTGGTCCAGAGTCCAGGTTTCCTTTCCCATTGCCTGGGGAAAGTGGCAGCACAGTGCTGTCCTCAGGGCACGCCACAGGACCTGGGGCAGGGACCTGCGACCCTTCTCCCACAGGAGCTGCTTCTGTACTGCTGGGTCCTGCCTGCCCAGCTCCCCCCCGTGGCTGGGTCTCTCTGGCCTTGTCTGTGGAGATGGGTCCACACCCGGTGGTCCAGGCTGAACTACTGCAGGGCACTTTCTGACCATCAGAACTGCGGGGGAATAAAGTGGAGGGGGCCGAGGGGCTGAGTTCCCTGTCCGGGGAGGCGTGTGACAGCTCTGAGCAGCCACCATAGAGATGAGGGGAAGAGGACTCGGAGCTCCCCTCCCCCCGGGCAGTCAGTGGGGACCACCGCCCAGCTGTGAGCCTTCTGGGTGGTGTGGGTGGCGCTGCCCGAGGAGGCTGGTGCTGCCTAACCGGAGGGCGCCGCCGTGCAGTGTCTCCATCAGCAGCTGGAAGTGATCCCCGGCTACGAGGAGCTGCTGGCGGACATTGTCAACATCTGCGTGGATTACTACGAGAACAAGATGTACCTGACCCCCAGCGAGAAGCACATGCTCCTTAAGGTGAGTGGAGGCACGCGCCAGCGCATGCCCCGCCCCCACAGCTGCCCTCACACCGCCATCTTGTTGGAAATCATTGATTAAAATTGTATTTCTTTTCCTTACTTAAAACACGCATCCCCATCTTACTACACACAGTGCTTTGTAACCATCCTCCTTTACTGTGCCGCATTCCTCTTTAAAATGCCATTGAAGATACTCCTTCAGTGTAGTTTTTCATGGTTACCGAGTATTCCATTGTATTTAACCAGTGCCCTCTTGTTGGATAATTGTTTACTAAACTGCCGTGAACACCTTGTAGCACAGCCTTTATGTGCCTGTATTGATCAAGTTACAGTTGGAGGAGGAGAGAGTCCCAACTCAAACAGAAGGCAGAATCTTCAAGCTTTTGCTTTGTTTTTCCAAAACGATCACAATTCTTTGAGACTGTCTCATTCAAGAATTGTGGCATTGCTTTTATTATTGTGGAAAATCTGGAATATACAGAAAAGCACAGGGAAAAATCTTTTCACCCAGAGATGACACTTTTTACAATTTTAATATATGTCCTGATTTTTTGATGCTTATTTTCAAAACATATACTGAGAATAAGCATGTATGAGTTCCATCCCCTGTTAAAAGTGTGTTTGGAATATCATGCAGGCATTAACACTGTCACATGGATGAGCCTCCGTTTCTTTAGGTATCATGTTGTTAACTCTTTCCATTGTTTCTAACTTCTCTCTGACAGCTGAAACATTGGAATGAGCAATCTTCGCCAGAGTCTTGACTTTTTTAAAATTTTTATTTGAAATTCAGAGACACAGAGATTTTCCATCTGCTGGTCTATTCTCCAAATGCCTACAACGGCCTACAAAGGCTTGACCAGGCCAAAATCAGGAGCCTGCACCTCAGTCCTGGTCTCCTACAGGGCTGGCAGGGACACAGTTACCTGAACCACTACCTGCTGCCTCCCGGGGTGTGCATTAACAGGAAGCTGGGTTGGAAGCGGAGGAGCCAGGACTCGAGCCAGTCACTCTGATATGGGGTAGGGGTGTCTCGAGCAGCAGACTAACTGCAGTGCCCAAGGCCCAGCCCTGCAGAGCTTTCAGACACACTACAGACCCCGTGTGGACTTTGTCTCCCTGAGAACCTCCCCATGAAAGTCCCTGTCGAATCCCCTTTCTTCCTCCTCTCCTTGATGCCTCTCTGTTGTTCTCAGCATCCTAGCCCTGTTGGTGTTCCATCTTTATGTTTCCATGGTACCTTGATAAGTCTGCAGGACACTGTGGCTTCATGAGTCATTCTCTGGCTCCTCCACACCATCAGAAACTGAGAGAAGTCACCCAAAGTTTGGTCACCTTTCACCCCCAGTGCTAGCCTGGATTGTTCTGTAGCTGCCCCTCAACTTGCTGCTTGGATACTGAATTCCAGTCCACCAGGAAGCCTCAGGTGCTGCCTGCAAGTTCTCATGCCCTCCTTTTTCTTTTGCATGTCTGACATCCTTCTAACCCAACCTCCCAGCCTTCTTCCCTCGATTCTCCCCTCTTCCATCAGACCTTCTCTGAGCTTGAGTTTGTGAATCCATATGCCACCAGGGGGCGCGGTCCACCCTTAAATGGAAAAGACTTGCTCATCTTGCAGAACAAAATGCTCTCAGCCGGGTGAGGGAGAGAGGGTTGGGACCCAGGACCTCAACAGCCTTCTAGTGCAGTCCCTGCATGTCAGATGAGGAAATAGCGACACAGAGAGAAGGACTTTTCCCATGCCCCATGGCTGCTCGGCTCCTTGAGCTGTACGTTTGACCCAGGAGCGTGACAAACCTGCATTCAGCTGTTACACGGACTGGGCTATCAGGAATGTGCAGCCACTTACAGGGTATTTTCAAGAAGAGATTAGTTTTTAAAAATAAAGTCACCATCGGCTCCTGAGGAACTTCATCATTGTCGTCCCGTTGGAGAAAGAGGTGGGATATTTTCACAAGTATTCCCTGTTAACCAGATAGTCAGTCAAGAATCAGTGAGGTGCTACCCCCCAGGAACTCAACAAAGCACGACTAGTGTCTTTTCTCTCAGGACTGAACTTTGAAGTGCAGGACCATCACTCAGCCCAGCAGTTAAGATCCCGCACCCCCTATCAGAGTACCTGGCTTCCCTACTGGCTCCCAGCTCCAGATTACAGCTTCTGCTCATGCACACCCTTGGAGGCAGTGGTGGGCGCTCCAGGAATTGCATCCCTGCCAGTCAGGTGGGGGACCCAGATGGAGCTCCTGGCTCCGGGCTTCAGCCCAGCGCAGTGCTGGCCAGGGGGGGCATTAATGGGGAGTAAAGCAGCACTTAGGAGGCCGCTGCCTTTCTCCCACCCCTCACCAAACAGATGAACATGCAGGATTTGGGGACAGATCTCGGTCCCCAGCCCATCCAGATGCGGGCTCTGCACCGTAGCTGTGTGGTCTTGGAGTCTGTTCCACCTCTCAGTAGCTCTCACCCTCACAGGTAGAAGGTTATTGTATAGAATCTGACTCGCAAGATTGTGGTGAGAATTAAGATTTATTCCTGACAGTGATACTTGTGAAAGTACTGCACATAGGCTGTGGCCAGTGGTGGGGGCTGCCTAAGCATCCCTTGGCTGTGGTCTGTGTGTAGTTGAAGGTGTGTGGATTGTTGTACTAGAACATGTATCTCCGTGTTGCAGGGGGGAATGGCACACATACGCACAGTTGCGCGCGTGCTCTCTTTCTCTCTCTCTTTCTCTCTCTCTCTCTTTCTCTCTCTCTCTCTCTCTCTCTCTCTCTCTCTCTCTCTCTCTCTCTCTCTCTCTCTCCTTTTGCAGCAGGTGTGACTGGTGTCTGTGCTCTGTCCCTTCTCATTCCAGGTAATGGGCTTTGGCCTCTACCTGATGGATGGAAATGTCAGTAACATCTACAAACTGGATGCCAAGAAGAGAATCAACCTTAGCAAAATTGATAAGTTTTTTAAGGTCAGCAGCTGATGCGGGGGCTGGGCAGGGGCCAGGGCTACCAGAGCCCAGATCGTTTTGGGCAAAGGAACAAAAGTACCCCCCAAGGACACTTTGGGATTTGTCAGTGGAAATGTAGCTCTGAAGACCCTGAGATGGGGAAGGAATGGGGGCCTCGAGCTGCCACTAGGACAGCAGTGAATGCTATTGGAGGCAGCCCCACAAAGGTGCAGCGTGGCTCTGAGTCTGGGGTTGAGCTGGGGCCAGGCTGGAAGGCCCTGTGATGCTTTTTGCACGCTGCTTTTTCCCTTGGCTGAGATCCCGGTCATGGAAAGAAAGCAGCGCGTGCTAGAACACGGCACCTGCTGTCATTTTCACCATGAACACAGCCCCCAGAAGTAGGAGCGTTAAAGACTGGCTTTTAAATTGATTCAAATTTTCAAAAGCAGCCTCTCTCCCTGCCCACCGGAGGCTCCCTCTGATTGCCCCCACGTTGGGGCAGGACGCCTCATCAGCATCCCTTGAACTCTCAATCCATTCCAGCGCCTTTGAGACTGGATCTTCTGGCCCTGAGTCTTTCAAAATAAAAGCTTCCAGTTAGAGCAAGCCTCTGAGTTAGATCAAGCCTTTGAGGGGTCTGCAAGGGGATCTCCTACTTTGGAATTAAATTCTACGTTCCCAGTTTATTCTAAGGTTGGGAACTGCAGACATGAAGCTGGGCCTAAGGGCACAGACACGGGAAGCCCAGCTTGAAGTTCAGATCGGAACCCCTTGAAGGTGTGGCATGGAGGGCACTGGGCTGCACCTGGGTCCGCCTGGCTCCTCAAGGCTAAGGGGAGCAGAGCCGCCCGCCCGAGGAGTCCTTTGGCTTGGCTACACTTGTTTCTAGGACTGAAACTTCGCTTTTTCTCTGGAGCTGCCCCCAAATAAAAACAGAGCTCATCTTGGGAGACCCTTGGAAAATCTGCCTCAAGTCAGCATGAATGAGGTGGGGGTGAGCAGCAGGAGCAGAAGCCCCTCCGTGGGCTGCCCTGGATTTCTGACTCACTCTGCTGCATCCTAACCGAGCGGCTTGGGGATAGTCACCGCCTCTCCCCTAGATGTAGTTCTCCAGGCTAAGAAAGAGGAGGGCTGAAGCTGTGTGCTCTGGAAGGTTCCCTAGCTGATTGATCGGGGTTTTGTAGCTGAAGCAGAGCCTGCATGGTTATAATCCTCGCTCCTTGACTTTTTTTTTTTTTTGAAGATTTATATATTTATTTGAAAGGCAAAGTCACGGAGAGAGACAGACAGACAGATGGAGAGAGATCTTCCAGTACTGGTTTATTCCCTAAATGACTGCAATGGCAAAGAGTAGGACAGGACAAAGCCAGAAGCCAGAAACTGCATCTGGGTCTCCCATGTAGGTGGCAGGGGCCCAAGGACTTGGGCTGTCCTCCACAGCTTTCCCAGGCCATAACAGAGAGCTGCATCAGAAGTGGAGCAGCTGGGACTCCACCCAGTACCCATATGGAATGCTGGCGTCACGAGTGGCGGCTTAATCCCACTGTGCCCTGACTTCTAGCTGGTCTTTGTGAAGAATGCCGTCAGCAGCTTACACTTGCGTTTCTCCATATGGACGTGGGGTGATGCTAGTGCTGACCTCACAGTGTCTTGGATGGCGTGTTTGAAGTGCACCTTCTGAGTGCGTGAGAAGCAGCAGAACACACCAGCCTCCTTCAGTGCACAGCCTTTGAAGGGTGCTGTCTGCCCCCTGCTGTTAGCTGTTATGGTTTGCATTCCCTTCCTGGTGTGGACTTTCTTAGAAAACCACATTCATTCAGCCAGAGGCACTCAGATGGCTGCCCCAAGCCTAGAGTTCACAACAGCCAGGATCCTCTGAGCTGGGACCCTGTGCCATTCATGCTTTCTAAAGGCTGGGTGACCTTGACCAAGTCACTTTGCCTGTCTGGGTTCAGGAGCTGGGAACACAGAGTTGGTTGGAGACAGCGAAGGACCAACCACTAGCGTGGGCTCCCTTTGGTCCCAGGGTCCCCCGGGGCCCGCCCCGCCCGCAGGGTCTCACGCGCTCTGTTTGCTTCCTTTGCAGCAGCTGCAGGTGGTGCCCCTTTTCGGCGACATGCAGATAGAGCTGGCCAGATACATTAAGACCAGTGCTCACTATGAAGAGAACAAGTCCAAGTGAGTGCCTGCCGTAATGTCTCTCGGCTCCCGCGAGGCCGCCCAGCCCGGGCAGGGGGCCGAGGGGCCGCTTCAGCCCCTCCCCCCTCCCCAGAGCCCTGGGCAGGTGCATCACTCAGGACACTGGTGCTGCTGCAGGGTGCAGCGGAGGCTGCTCTGAGCCCTTTTGCATCCGCCCTTTGCTGCCAGGTTCAAAAGGGCTCAAAGCACAGCCCTGCTCCTTGTCCGGCTCGGCGGTGACACACGTGTCCCCTCAGTGGGGTGACAGGAGTCCTCCTTCCCAGAGCAGTGGGCAGGAGTGGCCGCTGCAGGGACTCTGTTCCCTGGGCAGTGAGTGTCACGTCCTGGCTATGGTTTGCTGGCTTCCAGCTGTGCAGCAGGTGGATGGCCATCCCTAGGTCATCATGTAGAACCCGTCCGAGGTGATTTGTATGGAAGTCTGGGGTGTCAGTGGCTCCCTGGACTTGGGGGCCACCCAGCTAGACCCTGGTACTTCCTTTTAAGGCTAAGGAGCTTCCTTCTGTGAGTTGTGGCCAGCGCTGAGTGAGCAGAGCCCGCAGCCTCCGTAAGGGCCAGGTGGTGCTGTCTGAGAGCCGCCGGTGCAGTGCTGGTGAGCAGGCGCCACGGGGCTCTGCGGGGCAGCCCTCGCCAGGGAAGCTCCTTCAGTCTCCAGTGAGCACTAACCGCAGCCTGGGAAGAACCTTGAAAGAGAAGCACGGGGTCAAGACCCGCAAACTCTGCCTTCCGTGTCCCTGTGACCACCCAAAGTTGCTTGGAAGTAGGGCTGGCGGGTGAGCAGGGCGGGTGTCAGGGGAGCAGTGGGGCCATGCCTGCCCAGGTGACTCAGAGCGTGCGCCTGCGCACGTCTGCGCCCTGCCCACTGTGCAGCAGATTCCCTGGGGAGGAACGGTGGGGGGACCTCTTTCTCCTAAGAAGTAGAGTGAAAGTGTTCATGCATTCACTTCCTCTCCAGTTCAGGGTGGTTTTCCTAATGACATCTTTCAAAATGGTGTCGCCGGGAGAAGGGGGCGACAGGAAGGAAGAGAGGGTGAGCACGGACGGAGAGGGGAGGTGGGGGAAGGAAGGGTGTAGACCACGCACTGCACAGGGATCATAGCTTCCTGCCCTGAGAGGCGCCTGCATATTGCCTGGTCACCAGTGGACAAGAGCCACATCCCACCCAGGCTGCCCCGGCCCTGGTCCCGCCACAGCGAGTCGGTGCCAGCGGCTGGTAATCGGGCTCTGGAGCATGGCCCCTCGCTTTTCCTTTGCGGGGCTGCCAGCTGTTACAGTCCTCCCTAGACAGCCTGTGATTCCCTCCCCAATGCAAAGAGCGGGTAAGTACTGCAGAGCAGGTGTTGTGAAAGGGTCGTCACTGGGTCTTAGCGGAGGCTGGCTCCCAAGTGGAGGAGGAGGAGGAGGAAGGACTGTCCAGCATCGTGCTTGTGCTCAGATACCTGTTGGCCTCACCCAGGGGAGCTCGCCATGTAGGCTGAGCACCAGGAGCACCTAGTGCGTGGAGGAGCCCGTCCTACTTGGCCCCAAGGCCAGGGCCCACTCCCACCCCGTGATTTTCTGTCCAGGTGGACGTGCACGCAGAGCAGCATCAGCCCCCAATACAACATCTGCGAGCAGATGGTTCAGATCCGGGATGACCACATCCGCTTCATCTCCGAGCTGGCTCGCTACAGCAACAGCGAGGTGAGCACACCCTGGCTGTGGGATGGAGCCTGTGTGGGCCCTGGGCCAGGAGCGGGTGGGAGCTGCTAGGAGGGCAAGGGCGAGAGCCAGGTGATGGAGCAGGAGTGAGGGAATACTCCTAGGGGGCAGGAGGGCAGAAGAGCCAAGAGCCACACAGAGCTGGGATTAATGCCTGCTCTGCCGCTGCACTTCACAAGTTATTTGACATCTCTACACCTCAGTGTTCCCATCTGAGAAATGGGGGTCATAATAGTATCTCTCCTGATAAGTTTATTGAGAGGATTGAACATTCTGGTGCCTAGAACATGGACTGTGCCTGGCAGATGGTAAGGGCCCAGTAGTGGTTCATTGTACTTGTACTTGATCCAGACCTCCTCCACCCTGGTGAGTGAGAAAAACAGCATTCTGGACATTCCTGCTCCTAACACCATCTAAATATTTTCAAACTATAGCATAATAAATGATTATTATAAAAAAATCATGGATACAACTAGGGACAAGAGGAGGGCCTAAATATTTCCTGTAATTCCAATAATTATATTTCATTGACTTTTCCTTTTGGATATGGACACATGATCAGAGCAAAGACTTTACAGATATAAATAAGCAACAAGGAAAATCAGCCACATAAATCCTACCATCTTAGGACCAGCTGTGATTAGTGTGTGGGTGTGTGTGGCTTTCTGGGTCTCTTTCCAGAGCTCCCCTTCTGATAAGTACATGCACTGTTCTGATAAACACAGGTGCTGGGTTTGAATTCCCTTATTACCTGGCTTCCATGGAAGACTCTGCTCCACTTCCCATCAGCTCATGGGCTCCACCATGTGGCCAGCAGCCACAGTGATCTTGTTTTTCCAAACCCAGTCTACCAAATGTCTTTGATGGCAGACCAGTGTGTTTGCAATGGGGCCAGTCTGACACATGCAGGTAGTGTAGTCATTAGACTAGTGACCCATGGAGGCCAAGGTCAAGCTCAGACCTCCATCTCTCTTAAGCATTTGTGCAAATCAACAGGAATCCCTTCTCTTCAGTGCCAGGGTACCTTCGATCCTAGCAGTGTTTTGGTATGGTCTCAGAGGAAATCTGTTCAAAGATTTTTTTTTAATTAAATGCTTTATACCTATAGCTTATGCATGTAAAAGTATGGTCAAAGTTGTTTTAATTGACTGCTTTATACATGTAGCTTTTTGCATGTAGAAATATGGTACAGCCCATCAGCCATACTTGGGGACTATTTTAGGTTGTGAAATCGCTAGTAACAAAGCACAAAAATGTGTGTGGCCCTAACTAGCCCACCAGAGGGAGACCCCTTGTTTAGAGTATGAGGCTGAAAAGGACAGAAGGGTCATCTTGTTTGACTGTAGCTGAGACACACGTGAGCTGCAAGTCACTGAGACACGCCTGCGAGTATTGACTTGGGGATTCAGAAATGGATTTTAGCAAGTAGTTGTGCTTTGTGCGTGTAGACCTGAGTACATAAGTGTTACATTCCCTTCTGGAGCACTACACAGAGAGACTGTGAAATCAAGTCAAGGGTTTGTGATGAGCATCTTCAGAGGGAACCCCATGTATTGACGTAGCTTCATGACAAATCTCATTGCGTACGTGCATCGTATGTACGCAATTCTGTGTCCTGACTCATTGAACAGCATGCATTTCCATGCATTTCTACTGTGAATGCAGTCAGAAACGTTTGGAAGCCACTGCTCTGCCAGGGTGCCTTTGAGTGGAGCTCTGGATCACGGCCCCAAATTGGAACCCTGCATGGTTTACCAACCATGTGGCCTGAGCGCGGTGCTTATCTGAGCCCCGTTAATCTTCACGGGCACATAGTAATAACCCTATAGTGTTCCCGGGGCAGTTGGTGAAATGTGTACCAGTGCCGGACATGTGACACTTACTGTTCCCCAGGTGGTGACGGGCTCCGGGCTGGACAGCCAGAAGTCAGACGAAGAGTACCGGGAGCTCTTTGACCTGGCCCTGCGTGGCCTGCAGCTTCTGTCCAAGTGGAGCGCCCACGTCATGGAGGTGGTAGGTGTCCCGCCCGCAGAGGACCTCACGCCAACCCATGCTGCCTTTGCGTCTGTGGGGCTCTGCCCATCCCCTGCGCACATTGTTAACGACTTCATGTAGATACAGTTAACACACCATCCGACTCAGCCACCTAATGTGTAGGTTTATTGGTCTTCAGACCATCCACGGCATCGCATAACCACAGTGAAATTCAGCACATTGTCGTCCCTTCAGCAGTAAACCCTGTGTATCGTGACCACCCATCCCTGCAGCCCTGAGCAGTCTGCTTCCCAGCTCTCTGGCCGTCCCTCTTCTGGGTGTTTCTTACAGATGGAGTCATAGAATCTGTGGTCCTTTGTATTTGATTTCTTTTTTACCCCACATTTTCTGACTCAGGAGCTAGCTTCTTTTAACTTTTGTATGTGAGAGACAGAGAAGGACCTTCTACTTACTGGCTTACTTCCCAGGTGCCTACAATGACAGGGGAAGGTGAAGTCAGGAGCTGAACTCAGTCCAGGGGTTCCATGTCAGGGGCCGGGACCCAGCTACCGGAGATGTCCCCTGCTGCTTCCGAGAGTCTGAATTAGCGAGAGCCTGAGTCAGGGTGAGAGCCAAGTATCGCACCTAGGCACTTCTCTGTGGGACTAAGCCTCTTAGCCAGTGTCTTAATCACTTGGCCAAACATCCTCCCCGTACCCGGCTTCACCCATGTTGTAGCATGACTTGGTGCTTTATTCCCCCTCATGGCTAGATAACAGTCCATTGTGTGGGCCCATCCCCTCTCGTTGAGCCACTCATCAGTCGATGGTCATTTGGGTTGTTGACATTCCCCCCAGTACTCCTGGAAGCTGGTGCATCCCACAGACAAGTTCTGCAACAAGGACTGTCCTGGCACGGCGGAGGAGTATGAGAGAGCCACACGTTACAATTACACCAGCGAGGAGAAGTTCGCCTTTGTGGAGGTAGGTGCTCCTTCCTTGTATCTCCTCCTTCACCCAAGACCACTGCTCACTGTGGCCCCAGGAGTGGTTCTGAGCAAGGTGACAGAATGGAGTCTCCTGAGCTACTGGCCCCTTCTCCCACGCAGACCCAATCTCTTTCAAGAGTTACTACTTAGAAATGACTAGGAACCCTGCTCCAAAGAATCCAAAGGAAAATCTCCATTCCACTAGAATAGTGGGCAAAACAAAAAAGCCAACAGAAGAAACAAACAAAAAACTGGTTAAAAAAAGACATGGAAAGTGCCCAGACTAATGGGTGATCAAAGAACTACAGAGTGAAAGTAAGATTGGAGACAGAGTTTGCCAGTCAAGGTAGCAAAGATGTCAAAGTGTTGATGGCTATTGCAGATTGCAGTACGGGAAATAGACAATCTGATATTTTTGTGGCCAGGCTACACTATGGGCTTCCCACAAGGGCAATCTGATATGTATTGATGTTTTTATAGTAGGAGAACCCTTTGGCCCAGAAGTTCTAGGAATATATCCCAGGGAAGTAAGCCAACTCTGAAGGGATATGTGTGCACACATGTTCACCACAGTATTGTTTCTCATTCCAAAATATGTAAAGCTACTTAGATGTCTTTCAACATGGGATCAGGTACATAAAATAGAGCTGTATGGTTGAATACTGTGTAGCCGCTGAGAAGGATGAGAAGCTACCCACAGTAAATTGCTAAGTTTTGCAAATGCAAGCACATGAGGACAAATGATCCCATTTATACTAAAATTGATATACTTTTATGTATTTGCTCAAAATTGAGGGACCTACATATATATAGCAAACCATGAGCAGCAGCATTTTCCAGAGGGAGGACCGTTACTACCTTATAATGTTTTGAGTTGTGTTTTGTTGTTTGATTACACAGTAGTGTAGGAACATTCATTCCTACGAGGCTCTGAGTGGCAGCAACCCCTTTCATGAGCATTTGAAGCCCATGAGAGATGAGTAGAGACTGGGTCCTAGCCCTGACCACTGTAGGCACTTTACCTCTTTGAGACTTTGCTTCCTGTTCTGGAAAATGGGGCTAATAATTTCAACCGTTGCCCATCCCAGGGGTAGTTGTCATTGCTGCGAGTCGAACAGTAATTGTCCAGTAAAGTAATAAACATGGGCTGTCCAAGTGTCAGTGTTTAGAGCTGATCTTGAGCAGGTTTCCAGGTTGGAGAACTTTGGGGAACTGAGGCTCAGTTTCTCTCCAGGCAGGAGAGAGATTGTGATCACCCTTGACGGTGTTCACAGTGGCCCCGTGTTCCTGCGGGGCTTCCATTGCTAACAGTCACCTTGGAAGAAAGTGTCCCAGTTATCACCCCTGGGAGAGATCCTCTGGGTCTCCCACACGGTTCCAGGAGGCCAAGCATTTGGGCCATCCACAGCTGCTTTCCCAGGCGCATTAGCAGGGAGCTGAATCAGATGTGGAGCAGCCAGGGCTCGAGCTGGCACTCGTATGGGATGCTGGCACTGTAGCGCCAGCCCCTAAATTCACCCTCTGAAAGTGTTTGACTTGATAGTGTTTTATTTTATTCATGAAACTGTATAACGATTATCAGTGTCTAATGTTAGAAAACTTCTGTCACCTCCAAAAGAAACCCCTACTCATTAGCAGTCAGACCCCATGCCTCCCTCCCCCAGCCTCTGGCTATCACTAATCTGCTTTCTGTCTCTGTAGATGTGGCTGTCCCGGGGATTCTATAAAAATGAAATCATGCAATAAGTCATCCTTTGTGACTGGTTTCTTAGACTTTGCATACTGTTTTCAAAGTTCATCCGTGCTATATGTAGCATTTATCAATACTCCTTTCCTTTGTATTTGAATAATATTCCATTATAGTTATGCACTATATCAGTTTATGTGTTCATCAGCTGAATGTCTGGGTTATTTTGGTTTTTTGGCTGTTAGGAGTAATGCTGATGTGAACATCCATATGCAAGTTTTTGTGTGGAGATGTTTTCATTTCCCTCGGGTATATACTTAGGAGTGAAATCCCTGGGTCTCCGAGCAGCTGCGGCGTCTTGCAGGGCTCTCAGTGTGTCTAAGGGTTACAACTTCTCCCCTTCCTCTGTCACTTGTTGCTGTCTTCTAATTCTAGTCATCCTCTGGCCTGTCAATGTGATTCTGATGTGCCCATCGCTAATGATTACTGAGAGTGAGCATTTTTCACATGTTGCTTGGCTGTCTGCATATTTTCTTTGAAGAAATGTATATGTAAATCATTTATCCATTTTGGGGGGTCTTTTTATTGTTGAGTTGTGTGTTTTATGTGTTCTGGATGCAAGTCCATTATCAGATACATAAGTTGCTAAAATGTCCTTCCATTCCATGGTTTCTCTTCTCATCTTCTAGACGGTGTTGTTTGAGGCACAATTTTTATTTTGATAAAGTTCAATTTGTTTTTTTCTTTTGTTACCATGCTTTTAGTGGTATATCTGAGAAACCATTGCCTACACCAAGGTGACAGGTACTTCCTCCTGTGTTTCCTTCTCAGAGTTTTGTAGACTTAGGTCCGCGATCCCTTTGGGGTTAGTTTGTTATATGGAGATAGGTAGAGGTCCAATGTGATTCTTTTGCATGTGGATATCCAATTGTACCTGCACCATTTGTTGGAGAGACTATTCTTTGTCCATTGAATTGTCTTGGTAACTCAAGAAAATCAATTGACTAAAAGTTTGAGAGTTTATTTAAAAATTTTATGTTGTCTTCCATGGAGCAATATAGCTATTCTGTGCCCCTAACAGCAGTTTTGATTATTGTAGTTTTGCAGTAGCTTTGAAATCAGAAAATATGTCTTGCAACTTTGTTCCCTTTTTTCCTCTTAGAATTCTATTGGTTCATCTCTATCCCTGTTTTTCTGAAACTCCACTCTAAAGCACATTGAAGAAGGCCTTTGACATTCATTGTTTTGGATACTAAATAAACCATTTCATTTCAGGAACACAAGTATTTTAGGACTGAGAAATTTCCTTGTATTTTAGTTTTTACAATTTCCTCCTCTATTTTCTCTCCTCTCTTTCTGGACTTTTGTTCTGTTGGGTGTTAAGTGCTCTGGATTCAGTCTCTAATTTTCTTATCTTTCCATATTTTAGCCTACTTATTTTTTTGTCCACTTTATGGAATATTTTCTTAAACTCAAATTTCAACCCTATCAGGGTTTTGAATTTTGGACATAATATTTTTAATGTTCAAAAGCTCCATCCTGTTTTCTGTGTATGGCCTTTGTGTTAATGCTTTTGTGTCATGAATGGGATATCTTCATGAGGATGATACAGTTTTTCTAATTTTATTAAAATGTAACTTAACAAACCACATCCACTTGAAGTGTGTAACTGGAAGAATTCGTTTTGTAATAGAATGCTTTTGTGAATGTGAGAAGCTGCAAGCCCAAGCACGACCATCTACCCTTTGAGATTTCTTGAGTGGCTTTGCCTTTCACCCCTCCCTGAACCCTGGGCCCTGGCGATGCATTCTCTGTCATAGCCACTGTACACTTGTTTGTGTGTTTCCAGAATTTATGTAAGCGGAATCGTTACAGTATGGCTTTTGTGTGTTTGGCTTTTTGAAATTCACCTCCTTGTTATGTGTATTAATAGTTTGTTTTTAATGCTGAATTTTGTTACATGCACATAGATATACTAAAATGTTTATCCATTCATTTTTTGGTGAATACTTGGCTATTCCCAGATGTTGGACAATAAAAATTAAGTTGTCTTAAGTATTTGAGTTTAAGTATTTATGTGGGTATGAGTCTTTATGTCTCTCAGAATGGTCACACTGAAAATGTACATTTAATTTTTTAAGCAGCTGTCACAGAGCTAGGCAGACTAGATGTCATGAGTAGAGACTGGTCCAGGTTGAAGTTTCTACCAGCTGTGTGTGAAAGATCTATTTATTGCTCCATACCCTCACGGTGCTTGGTATTTTCAGTCTTATTAATCTGAGTTCTAATGGGAGCACATCAAATTTCATCGAGTTTTTAATTTACGTTTCCCTGAAGACATGATTCTGAGCATCTTTTCAGGTAGTATTGGCCATTTTATACCTTTCTTTGTGAATTGTTATTTGTTGAAATCTTTTGCCTAGCTTTAAAAATTGCATTTCTGGAGCCAGTGTTGTGGCATAATGGGTTAGGCTGCCACCTGCAGTGCCTCATCCCATATGGGCTTTGGTTTGAATCCTGGCTGCTCCACTTCTGATCCACTTCCCTGCTAACACTCCTGGTGAGGCAGTGGAGGATGGCCCAAGTGGTTGGGTCCCTGTTCCCCATGTGGGAGACCCAGAAGAAGCTCCTGGCTGCTGGCTTAGCCTGGCCCAGCCCTGGCTGTTGCAGCCATTTGGAGAATGAATCAGCAGATGGAAGAGCTATATATCTATCTATACCTCTCTGTCTCTCTAACTCTGCCTTTGAAATTTAAAAAACAATGGTTTTCTTATTATTGACTTAAGATAAGTCTTTCTTTCCATAGTTTAGATGCAAATCCTTCATCTCACATATTTTACAATATTTTTTCTCATCAGTGAGTTTTCTCTTTTTGTTAAGGATTCCTTTTGAAGAGCAACTGGTTTACATGTTGGTAAAGTTAAATGTATCAGCTGCCAAGATTTTCCGTCAGATCCCACTGAGCTGTGCAGTCTATTTGGCGTTATTCTGAAACATCTCCATGATCCGTTCTGTTCTTCGCCCAGTGGCTGCTGGTGACATCTCTAGCCCAGATTCTTAACGATCTAATATTCTCAATGCCTCCGTCCCATTATTACTCTGAATTAAAGCATCTCACCAGCTTGGCCCTGATGAAAGTCTCACCTCTGTACTCTGTTCTCACACACCTCCTCTACTTCAGGCATTGTTTTTCTTCCTTTGAGTTTTAGAAGGAGAGAGAGGCTTAGGGCCCAAGCCCATTCATTTGTTTCTGCAGTCTACTGACCCTGCATAACCCCAGGCCCTGCAGGGGACACGCAGAGCCTTGCTGGGCCTTGTCCCTGCTGTCCCTCCAGGCAGGTGCAAAAGGTCCATCCAGCATGTCATTAGGAGGGTGACAAGTGCAGTACTCATGTGGAAGCCAGTGTGGCAAATGCTTTACCTCTGACTCCTTAGCCCATCAAGAAAATAACACTTGAGGCTGTCAGGGTCAGAGGATCAGGTTGGTGGCTGGTAAAGCTGAACTAGAGAAGAGAGGGCTTCCACCCAGGCTACACCAGCTTCTGTCCGTCTCTGCTCTCATGAAGCTTGCCCACTGGGCAGCAGGCAGAGCATGTATACACCTCCCTGCCCCAGGATGGGGTGGGGGTGACGAGCGCAACAGGGGTGAGAACCGGAAGTGAGGGCACACACCTGCAGTCAGCCAGGTCTCCACAGAGAGAACTGAGGTTGGGCCAGGCTCTGCTCAGCACAGAACCTGTCTCCCCTTCTCCCCAAGCAGGGATGTGGGGTTCAGCCAGGGAAGAGGCAAAGAGAAGAGCACAGGCTCTCCCCTTCCAAGACTGCTGCAGGAGAAGCTTCTGTTCCTGCACTCCCGCAGCACCTAGTCTCAGTGTTTCAAAAGCAAAGATGTGGAAGTCATTTAGGAAGTGTTATGGGGAAATACAAGGCATCTGAAGGGTCACTTACTTATTTGAAAGGCAGAGCAACAGAGAGAGAAAGAGACAGAGACAGGAGATCTTCCCTCTGCTAGTTCACTTCCCAAATGGCCACAACTGTCAAGGGTGGGCCAGGCTGAAGCCTGGGTCCAGGAACTCCATCTGAGTTTCCCATATGGGTGACAGGGACCCAAGCACTTGGACCATCCTCTGATGCCTTTCCGGGTGCGTTAACAGGGAAGTGGATTGGAAATGGAGCAGCCAGGACTCCAACCAGCACTCTGATATAGGATGCATGTCCCAAGTGACCACTTCACCTTCCTCACCATAGTGTAGTCCCCAAAATGTTGTGTTTGACATCAGCTGTGGCTGCATGGTATGTGGACAGTAGCCAGAGTGCTCCTCAAAACGTGTTCCCTGGGCCTGCTGTCATTCGTCACCAGTCAGCAATAAATCAGGAGCTCATGCCAGCATGGGTGTCAGTGGTGTCAGGAAGTGCACGTCCAGTCGAACTGACGCCTTTGTTCTGTAGTGGGACTTTGTTGGTGAGGGCGCTGAGCCGCCTATGTTGTAGCTTGTTTCTCACTGGTCATGAAAAAGCACTTTAAGTAACCCTGGCCTTAAGCTTCTGGGCGCCTTACACAGCCCCCTCTGCAATGCGGCAAAGGCAGGGGATGGGCTGGGATGCAGATGCCTGGCGAGCCTGACCGTTGACCTGTGCCTGACCAGGTGATCGCCATGATCAAGGGGCTGCAGGTGCTCATGGGCAGGATGGAGAGTGTCTTCAACCAGGCCATCAGGAACACCATCTACGCAGCCCTGCAGGACTTTGCCCAGGTGACCCTGCGCGAGCCCCTGAGGCAGGCCGTGCGTAAGAAGAAGAACGTCCTCATCAGGTGGGTCTTCCCTGGCACAAATGAGGGGGCCGGGGCTCAGCCACGCAGGCAGTTCCTGCCTCAGCCAGCTTCCCGGTCAGCCTCTGCACACACATGGGTCCTTCCAGCAAGTTCCAGCAGCCTGGACGTTCAGGGTGGACTGAGCCTCCATGTCTGGGTTCAAAGCCCATACATAGCCCCTTCCAGCTGGGTGAACTTGGTCAAGTTACTTCCCGTAGTGAAAGCTCAGTTCTCCTTATCTGTGACCTGCTGCAGAGCCTGCTGGGATGATGAAGTGAGACAGTCCTTGTGTAGCCCAAAGCACATGGTCACACAGAATGAATGAACGTGCAACAAGAATAAGCTATTGTTAAGCTTCTAAAACACAAGGATTTGGTTGGGCTTGTGGGAGTCCCCAAAACCAAAAAGGGAAAAAATGGCCATCATACCTCACCCAGGTTCTGTCATACTGCATGGGCTCAGACATCAAGTGAGCACCAGAACCACGTGGAACAGTTCAGAATCAGCTCTTAAACCTTTCATCCACCGTCTCTGAGGCTGGGCCCCAGGAATGAGAATATATCCTGACCTGGCCAGGATCCCGTTGCTTGCAATGCCTCCTAAGAGTGGTGAAACCTAGCCTGAGCCGCCTCCTTGCTTCTCCAGCGTCCTGCAGGCTATTCGGAAGACCATCTGTGACTGGGAAGGCGGACGTGAGCCCCCCAATGACCCGTGCTTGAGAGGGGAGAAGGACCCAAAGGGCGGGTTTGACATCAAGGTGCCCCGGCGAGCTGTGGGGCCGTCCAGCACCCAGGTGAGTGGCACCAGGCACAGACCAGCTTTGTTGACACAGAGGCCAACTTGGCCACGGGGGAGCACAAGGCAGTGGGGCTGGGGGTCCTCGGTCAGGAGGGGCAGGGTCGAGCCACTGCTCTGACCTTCTTCTGCCGTCTGTTTGATGTAGGAAAGATCACTGGCTTAAGATTCAAGAGACCTGGGTTCTAGTTCCAGCTACCTGTGTGACCTCGGCATGTTGCACAATCTCACTGTGCTTCCGTTGTCTGACCTGGCCGACAGGGCTGATGCCACATCCACCCGGCCTGCCTCCTCCTCCCCCTCTGAAGTACAGACTTCCAAGTGTGTGAGGAGTACATCCGGCCCTCCCCCTACAGTGACTTCCTGGCTGGAAATTCTGACCTGCTGTGTGATCTTGGGCAGCCCCTTGGCCTCTCTGAGCTCTGAGGAGCTGCTCTGGAAAACTAAAACTTTGGATGAGATCAAGTTAGTGATATGATCTCATTCCCCGCATTGTTCCAGCACCCCTGCCCAAAAACCTCCGAGAATCAAAAGCCCTTGCTCCCTTAGGGAAAGTCTCATAGTCAGAAATACTCAGAGCTGCCTACAGCAGCTGTTGCACACAAGAGATTGCCCGTGGCCTGTCCAAAGCAGTTATTAAATTACAGGAAAAGAAGTAAGTACTCTGGGCATCGTAGTTACATCCATGCAACCTGCATGAGAATACAGTGGCTGGTAGGCTTTTGAGGTACCGGAAAAAAAGCAGATGGGTCCCATCGTAGTTCAAAGGGTCTTAGAAGCCCCAGCCTGGGAACCCCCCAGCTTCACACGACCTGTAAGCCCCTCGCCGCTCTGAATCCTCCAATGTGGGTCATCCGAGGCCCTCCTGGGTATGTGTGTCTGTCTGGCAGGGGCGTGCGGGCTGCAGCAGGGCAAGGTGGGTTCGCAGCAGAGTTGCCGTGACTTCCCTTGGCGCGCAGTCCTTGGACAGCGTGTGCTCGTCTGGCCTGTGTGCCAGGGAACAGCCCAGGGAGGCTTCTACCAATGCTTCTGGGAAATGCAAGAGTCGGGAGCCCTTCCAGTCCAGAGTGCCCTGGTGGGGCTCAGCAGGACCTAAAAAACTCAGTGAGCCAAGGGCTAGACAAGACCCAAGAGAGACGGGAAGGAACAGGCTGCAGCTAGCACTGGCAGGCAGAGGGAAGGCCAGGGAGAGAGAGAAGTGAGGAAGGAGTGTCTGCCTAGACAGTAGGAGAGGGGAGGTCAGCAGCAGTCAGACCCCTGCAGCTAGGTGGCGCGTAGGTATTTCATAGCCGCCTACACAGCCAATGGCAGAGTCCCAGTCCCTTACCCTGTTGGGGAAACTGAGGCCCAGAGAGGGAAGTGACTTGTCCAAGTCACACGGTGCGTCCCACGTGGAGGGGGGACAAGAACCCAGGTCTCCTGACTCCCCCGCAGGGCTCCGCTACAGCCGTGGGAGTAGCCCGATAGACATGGGGAGTAGCTGCAGTGCGGTTTCTTCCAGGAAATAACGTGTACGGTTACAGAAGTTGGGGAAAGCGTTCACCCTCTTAAGGATGCAACCAGGTTTTCAGACAGTTAAGAGTCTGGCGGAAGCAGCCGCACGCAGCAGCACACGGGGCTCGACAGCTCCGTTCTCTGGGGCCCCCAGGTGGTGGCTAGGAGAGGGCCTCTCGGCTCTCCCGGAGGAGAAGGTGCCGCCAGCAGCAGGGGTGCGGGAAGGGAAGCGCGCGCAGGGACGGTGTCCCGCGTGTCTCTGGCTGCACTGGCCCTGCAGGCCCGGCCATGTGGTGGGGAAGAGCCCAGAGAAGGCGAGGGAGCCCAGGTGAGCGTGGTTGCTGGGAGGCTGGAGCGGCTCGGCGGCGGCCCCTAGCAGTCGCGATGGCTTTCCCACCGTATGCAATACCTCTTGCTTTTCTCTCTCTCTCTTTCTCTCTCTCCCTCCTCCCTGTCTCTCCTGCCCTCCCATCCCCTCTTCCTTCTCTCCTATCTGTGTCTTAGGCCTGCCAGTGGTCCCCGAGGGCTTTGTTTCACCCCACTGGTGGCACACAGGGCCGAAGAGGCTGCCGATCCCTGGTATAACACCGCCTGGCGGGGTTGGCTTGGGTACTGCTCTCCAGGAGGCAGCGGGAATGGACTAGCCTGACTCCTCAAGGCCCCTTCCAGCCTCAGATTCAGAGACAGATGGTGTGGAAAGATCTAGATTAGCAGAGAGAACGAACAGTCCCACCGCACTCACGCCCTTGGCGCTTAGGGCTCCCAGTAAGCAGGAGTTAATTGTCCTGTAGCCTCCTTTGTAAGTACCGACGTGAGCCCACTTTGCACCCAGGGTTTCTTCAGGCTGCACCGTTGCACGCTCGCCACCAGAGGGCGCCTTCCCTCCTGTGATGGCTGCAAAATGCAGAGGATCAGAACTCTGAGCTGTGGGAGGGGAGGGGGGCTCTTTCGGATCTTAGCCCATTTCACACTTCCGCAGAAGGTTAGAGCTGCAAGGGCCTGGAGGGAGAGAACACCTGGTCCAACCCCTCACAGTATGTAATACCACTGAGGTCCAGAGTGGGTGCTTTGTTGCCTAAGGTCACACAGCAAGTCAGAGGCAGTGCCTGGCCTTGAACCCAGGTCTTTTGACTCCTAGTCCAGTGCCCCACCCACGACGCCACTGTGGCTGTCTGGGAAGGCCGAGAGTGACATAGGATGAGGTTCTCCTCTGAAGCCTGTGCCCTTGGCTGAGCAGGGCCGGCAGGAACCTCTCCCTGGGCCTCTTAACTACCACCGGTGGTGGCCAGATCCACCCACCCAGGAATGTCTCAGAGTTCTGGGCAGAGCTCCTTCCCGGGGTGGCCCGTCTCTCTCCTGAAGGTTTTCACAGTTGCAAATTCGCTTCTCTGCCTCACATGGTGCCTTCTCAAGACATTGTTTTTAAGAGCAGAAAGAAAACAAATACAGCGCAAAGCAAGCTTGGCCCAGGATGGCGGCTGACCCCTAACCGCGTCTTCCTTTGCCTTCAAGCTGTACATGGTGCGGACGATGCTTGAATCGCTCATCGCAGATAAAAGTGGCTCCAAGAAGACCCTGCGAAGCAGCCTGGACGGGCCCATCGTCCTGGCCATCGAGGACTTCCACAAACAGTCCTTCTTCTTCACACACCTGCTCAACATCAGTGGTGAGCTGCAGAGCCCAGGGCAGAGGCGGGGGCTCCTGCCTCCCGCGTGGCTGAGCCCCTTGGGCCGGCAGTGGCACAGTCTGCCTGCAAGGGAGGATCCCCACTTCCTGGTGGACTGCGGGAGCTGGGGAGGAGGACCAGGCCCAGTTCACCTCTTCTGACGTGGTCAGCTCAGCAGCTGTCCAGGGCGCATTTGTGGCGGATTTATCAGGACGTCTTTGGTGGAGCAGAGTCAGAAACGGGATTGCAAACGTGGAAACACACGAGGCGTTCACTGGCCTTTGGCTGCTAAGCCGCAGCTGGGAGTTGAGCAGTGCCCACTCTCCCCACAGAAGAGCCTGGCAGGCTGCAGCCCAGCCCCTGTGCTCTACCCGTCCTCTGCTAGTAGGGTGCACATCCTATAGGACAGGTGGCAGACCAGTGTCCTAGGGACGTGCGGTTGTCCTGTGTCTCTTGGCATTGAAGAGCTTGACTCACTTCAACAACCAGTCAGAACTTGTCCATCAGAGAGTTGCCTAGGAAGGGCCTTCAAGGCCTCTGAACCACACAGCCGGGGTCAAGGAGCCACAGCCCAGCTGGAAGTGGGTGCATGGCGACTTCTCTTAAAGGTGTGTGTTGTACACTTAAATCATGTTTTCACGATGGCTCTGTAGGGGGTGATGGAAATCTGGGGGCATCTAAAGTCCTCAAACACCACCGCCACTTCCACCACACATCTCTAAAGCTTAACAGATGCAGCTCTCCAGGCAAATATTAGTCTTGTCTGAAGTACAAGGGCACAGGATGTGCTACTCAGTATGTGTGAGGTACCTGCTGCATACTTAGCAGAGTGAGGATAACAATAACAGGAAGAAAATCAAGAACTGTGATTTTTTGTGTGCTGCCTATAACCCAAGGCTCTCTCCCTACACTTCCAGAAGCTCTCCAGCAATGTTGCGACCTCTCTCAGCTCTGGTTCCGAGAATTCTTCCTGGAGTTAACTATGGGCCGGCGAATCCAGTTCCCCATTGAGATGTCCATGCCTTGGATTCTAACAGACCATATCCTGGAAACCAAAGAACCTTCCATGATGGAGTAAGAGGCAGGATTGGACCTGTAAGGAGGTTCCTGGGATGCAGGTGGAAGGTGGCTTTCCAGTGAGCTCATCCTTTGCAGAAGGAAGGTCTGAGCTGACTGTAGGTCAGGTGGGGTGTGCCACCAGGGGTTAGGACACACCAGGTCTGGCTGCAGAAAGATCCGGGAGCGTCCTCCCAGCCCACCTGGCCATCCTGTGTTTCATCAGCCGCAAATCAGCGCTGCTTGGGAAATAAGCCCTCTTTTGGGTCAGGCAGCTGCTGCCCTTCCCTGCCACCTGATTTGTCTTAGTGCCAGACTTCAGCTCAGGCCCTGCTTGTCTTAGCCACTGGGGCTTTGGATTTCCGGGCAGCCTGTAGAGTAAGTCATTTCTAAGTGGTGGAGGCACTGGAAACTCTCCTCCCAGCCCTGAACTTGTGCCCTCTCTCCTCCGCCCTCTGTCTCTGAGTAAGGGGCCACCTGGCTGCCTTGCGAGACGCCCTCACCAAGCTGCTGGCTCTCCGTGTCCCCCTGCAGGTACGTCCTCTACCCTTTGGACCTGTACAACGACAGTGCCTACTATGCCCTGACGAAGTTTAAAAAGCAGTTCCTGTATGATGAGATCGAAGCCGAGGCAAGTGCTGAGCGGCCCCTGTTCCTGCAGTCCTGCCCTGAGATCTGCGCTTTTGCAGGGTTCAGCTGTGTGCCCTGAGTGGGAGGTCCATGGCGCGTCCCGGAGGGTGATCTGCCTGATCACCGGGTGGCCAGAAAGGACCCGTGTGTGACACGTGAGGGCCTGGAGCACAAGAACGAGGAGGCTTCAAGAATTCACGGAAAGTGGAATGAAAAGATTATTTTGGTGCAAAAAATGTTGAAATCCAGCCATGTGAGGGGTCTACAAGAAGTTCATGAGAATTCGTATTGTAAACAAACTATGCCTGGATTTCAAAAAATTTTGCAACAAAAATTTAATTTCATTTTCCATAAATTTTTGAGGTATCCTTATACAAACTGAGACCGCCCCCCAACCTGTGGCCTGCTCCCTTTCTCTCCCCACCCCTAAACTATTTTGCATCATGACGGACGCTGTGTGCATCTGTGTCAGTAGCCACGCTTTGCCAATCACAGGTTTATGCAGATGACGGCCCCTGGGCTGCCTGTAGTGTCTGTCTATACACACATAGCATAGAATAGTTTCAGAAGTACACCTTGGGGAAGAAGCCAACTGTGTTAGTAGCTTTTTGTTATGTAATGAGACACCTAACACAAGCTACTTGTGATGGAAAGAGGTTTTATTTCAGCTCCCGGGTTGGGAGGTTTGGGGTAACCCCCTTGGTTTGGGGTGGTCCCCTTGGTTTGGCATCTGGTGATGGTATTTTTGCTGGAAAGTCCCAAGGTAAGGCAGAGTGTCCATGGCAAGGATAAGAGCTTGTGTCCCATGTTGCCTGTGCACATAAAGCCACCATGATTCACTCGTGGGGCTCCCCCCTAACAATCTCACTGCTTCCCAAAGGCCTCACCCCTAGACACCATAATTGGATTAAATTCCTATTCTCTTAGTATCATTCACTTAAGACTTTGAGGACCAAGTCTTTAACATCTGGGCCTTTGAGAGAGACCCAAAGTAATACCCAAACCAGAGCACAAGGCAAAGACCACCTAGCCGTGCAGGGGCTTGAGCCGTCTGTGCAAGGCTCTTCAGAGTAGGTTGTAGGCGAGTATGGGGTCATAGTGAACAGCCCTGTTGTGACCTGTAGGTTCTTTGCCTGGGCAGGGGTGCACTGGGCACCTTGCAGTTCCAGAAAGAGGCCTCAGTTACCTGAGCAGGAGGACCCAAGTAATTGGACCCTCATCCACCGCCTTCCCAGACGCATCAGCAGGAATGCTGGATTGGAAGTGGAGCAGCTGAGACTCAAGCCAGCCCTTCTACAGGGGATGCAGCATTGCGAGTGGCAGCATAGCCCACTGCACCCCCAAGGCTTTGATTTCAATTCTCCGTGTCAGTTGTGAGCTTACCTTCCCACCTAAGCATCACGTCTACCATTGATATGACGAGATACTGAAATGGCAAGACTTCCTGCATTAAACAATAATAAACTGAAGTTTGAAGAAAGGGGCTTTTAAATGTCTAATGACTGTTGACGTATAAATAATCACATTTGCACAGCCAGGTAAAATACAATGAAAAGGCAAAAGAGTCTATCAGAAGAGACGGATAGGTTTAGTTAACAGATGTAAGTTATCGCCGAGTATGATGGAATGTATCTGTTGCATGCCCTGGGAAAAAGCGCCTTGATCCTCAACAGCCTTTTTGAACTTGGCTGTCTCTCTGTTGACTAACTGAAGACCTTGAGTGCAAGGGACCAACATCCCAAACTTACTTGGCCACAGAATCTTTTTATTTTTTCCTTTAAAATATCTTGCCCCAGGTCACACTTGGGCAATCCCGCCCAGCTGCCCTCTTGTCAGCTGCCTCAGTTTCTATGAAAAAGCTTAGTGGGCACCACTGACCTTCCTGCTTCCTCTTCTCCAGGTGAACCTGTGCTTCGATCAGTTTGTCTACAAGCTGGCAGATCAGATCTTTGCTTACTACAAAGCAATGGCCGGCAGGTAGGAGAGCCCCAGGGCCGTGGGCACCAATCTTTCCTAAGACTACTGTGTGGAGACGTGATGGGCTTCCCTTAAAAAACCTTCCTGCTTCTTCACCACCTAAGAAAAACTTGACAATTTCGTGGGCCTGGGGAGTGCCAGCCAATGGATGGGGATGTGGGAATATATGACAGTTAAAACTGAATTAGCATTTGGGGTGGGGAACTAGAAAAGCCACTTTGAGTAAAGAGCTTGTGGGAATTAAGTCAGACCAGGTCAAAGACAGGACAGGAAGTGGCCTAGAAGTTCCCATGGCAGAAATCCAGTACAGTCCACATGTCTGCCTCATAGAGTTGACTCCTGGGAGTTAACTGTGTGAGAAAGCCATGTTCGTGGCCACTAGAGGGAGCAGATCCTATGTGTGTGGTGAGACTGGAGAGAGGCGGGGCCAGATCTTGCTGGCCTTGCGGGTGTCTTTCTTAGGAGCAGTGGAATAGCATGGAACAATTTCAGAAGTACAGCTGTGACCTGATTCCGTTGTTATTTTTATTTAAGTTCACCCCTTTTTTAAAAAAAGATTTGTTATTTATTTACTTTAGAGGCAGAGTTATAGCCAGAGAAAGGGAGAAACGAAAAGAAAGGTCTTCTATCTGCTGATTCACTCCCCAAGTGGCCACAATGGCCAGAACTGAGCTGACCCAAAGCCAGGAGCTTCCATTGGGTCTCCCATGCAGGTGCAAGAGCCCAAGCAGTTGGGCTGTGCTCCGCTGCTTTCCCAGGCCATAGCAGAGAGCTGGATCAGAAGATGAGCAGCCGGGATATGGGACAGCAGTGCTGCGGGCAGAGGCTTAGCCTATTTTAAACACATAAACATGTTGAACAGATTGGAGATGATCAAGAAATGATGCATGAAAACCAGACAGGAGGAGTTGTCTCTGGGTCAGAGATGTGTCAAGTTTTAGAGATTCATTGCTGTTGCCAGAATACATAGATATAATGGACTGTTGTGAATGACTGGATTTCAAGAACTCATTATAGTATTGTCAAGAAACCCTCAAATTTTATGTATTTTTAATTCTTGTTAGAAATCCAAATATGCAAAGCAGTAATTTTAAGGATAGGTCTTTACCTTAATTTTTTTGTGTGTAAATGATTTACTTCATTTTGCTTTCACTAGCTAGACTTGCTCAGAAATGTTTGAAATAGGAGAGAATGTGCAGGGCACACAAGATGTGCAATTATAAAGTGAGTGACTCTTAAATGATGGAAATGGAGAAAATACATGTAATAGATTATCTCTTATCTGAAATGCTCAGATGTTTCAGATTTTGCTTTTTAATTTTGGAATATTTGCATACACATAATAAAATTTGGGATCCAGATCTAAACACAAAATTCACTTATGTTTCTTATACACCTTATATCCTTAAGGCAATTTTATCCTACATTTTTAGTACATCTGCATTTTGACTGTGACCCATCAGAAGGTAGAGTGTAAAATTTTCCACTTCTTTTTTTTTTTGACAGGCAGACAGAGAGACAGAGAGAAAGGTCTTCCTTCCGTTGGTGCACCCCTCAAATGGCTGCCATGGCTGGCGCGCTGCACCAATCTGAAGCCAGGAGCCAGGTGCTTCCTCCAGGTCTCCTGTGCGGGTGCAGGGCCCAAGGACTTGGGCCATCCTCCACTGCCTTCCCGGGCCACAGCAGAGAGCTGGACTGGAAGAGGGGCAACCGGGACAGAATCTGGTACCCCAACCGGGACTAGAACCTGGGGTACTGGTGCCGCAGGCAGAGGATTAGCCTAGTGAGCCACGGTGCCGGCCACAATTTTCTACTTCTGATGTCACATCAGCACTGAAACACCTTGAGACTTCAAAGCTTTATGCATTTGAGATTCTGAGATTAGGGATGCTCAGGTGGTACTTACGATGTCAGGGGAAGCGTAGACACAGCAGCCTTTGACGCAATAGCTGCCTAGGGGCCAAAGCTGTGGCATCACGGGTAAGGCCACCACCTGCAGTGCTGGCATCCCAGGTGGGCACCGGTTCGAGTCCCCACTGCTCCATTTCTGATCCAGCTCTCTGCTAATGTGCCTGGAGGGCAGAGGAGGATAGCCCAGTTCCTTGGGCCCCTGCCCAAATGTGGAAGACCTGGAAGAAGCTCCAGGCTCCTGGCTTCAGATCAGCCTAGCTCCTGCCATTGCAGCCATTTGGGGAATAAACCAGAGGATGGAGGACCTCTCTCTCTCTCTGCCTTTGCTTTTCTGTAACTCTGCCTTTCAGGTAAAGGAAGAAATCTTAAAAAAAAAAAAAAAAAAAAAGCTGCCTAATAGGTGTCAGTGGATCCAGTGGACAGTAATTGTAACAGTGAACTAGGCTTCCAGTTTCTGTAACACAACCCTGATTCCAGAAACACTGATCAGTTGTCCAACAAACTCAGGTTTACACAACTCTGAGTCCTCTGTGTGTTTAGTTTATAAAATATCCCCATCTGAAATCTGAGTGTAATTGACACCCTCCTCGGTAAGGTCAGTGGTTTCCAGGAGGGTGAGAGGTTGGCACAGTTGGGAGATTTGGAGAAGACGCAAGACTGGAGTGACCTGGGTGTCCTGACTCCTGGAAGAAGATGTTCTCGTGGAAGGAAGCACACATGGCGTGGGAAGCGTCTTAGTGCCCATAGTTAGAAAAGGAGAAACAAGTGAAATTAATTTTATAATAATATACATTTGCTTATATAATTATGTGAAATATGATAAATTATTTTATTTAACCTAACCTGGCCAAAATACCATAATATCAAGGAGGTATTCAATATAAAAATATTGAACAGGCATTTTTAAGTCTGTCTTTCACGTATCCAGAAATCAAGAGTGTGTTTGACAGCACGTCTCGGTCTGGCCCATCCTCATTTCCAGTGTTCCCTCGGCACCTGTGCCTGATGCTGCGACCCTGGTCGGTGCCTATTGAGATAATGCCTTTCAGAGGCTTCTGATCGCACCCAGAGCAGATCTTGCCTCTTCCTATGTGCTACAGCGCCCAGCCCAGCGTGCTAGACTCGTGCTTGCCCCGTGCTGCCCAGCACGCCTTCCCCGTGGTCCACAGTGGCCGACTTGGCTTTTCCCATGCACACCAACCTTACTGCGTCCGTCACAGTTTTCCCTGGACTGTTCCCCTGTCGTCACTCAGACCTCAGTCCTAGAAAACCTCTAGTGAGTGGCTTTCCCCGACCTCTTAACCCCACACGAACCCACTTCATTATTTCCAAAGCACTAATTATTCCGCAGTCTCTGCCAGAGAGTGCAAGATAAGTCCGCCGCACACTGGGGTTGGTTGTGAGATTAACAATGACTGTGCGTATGCGTGCACCCACGCACGTGCCTGGTGAGCGCTCCTGTCGGAAATCACTCTTCCTCTGCTCCCTGCGGTAGCAGTCTCTCTTCGCTAGAACGCCAGCTCCGTGAGGACGAGCACTCTGTGTCCCCGGTAGCTACCCTGTGTCCAGGGTACACTAAGCACCCACTCATTTGCCTTCATGGTGATTGAATAAAAGAGGAAAACGGCTTGACCGCTGTGCTGCCCACCTCTAACTAAAAATTGTTTCACACATGGAGCTTCCTTGGCCGGAAGGAAATTTGGAGGACTTTGTTCAAGAGCAGAAAACAGGTTTAAGACGTGGAGACTTCCCTTTAGTGGTAGATCCTGTGGTCTGACATAGATACCACTGGGCTGTGGAGAACTGTCCACCGCCACGTGCACTGGGCTGACTTGACTTTCGTCCCTTGCAGCGTCCTGTTGGATAAACGATTCAGAGCAGAGTGTAAGAATTACGGAGTCATCATTCCGTACCCACCGTCCAACCGCTACGAAACGCTGCTGAAACAGAGACATGTCCAGGTATGGGGAGAGAAAGCTACGGGGGAGGTGGAGTGGGCAGGCGGGAGGGGGAAGCGGAGGAGTTAGTGTGGGGTCAGGGATCAGGACGGGGCGTGTGTGGGTGGTAACGCAGCCTCAGGATCGTGCAAGCCGTGCAGAAGCTCCTTCCTCTGACTCAAGTGTGAGCCTCCTCACGCCCAGCTCCCCTCTGGCAAGTGGTGGCCACCGGAGCCTTTGTCTTGCCATCAGCAGCAGCAGCCGCCCACCTCTTGGTGTGGGGACCGCCCCCCACAGCGGGGTCAGTTTCTCCCCAAGCAGCACAGAGACGTAGGTGAAGGAGGGCTGCAGTGCCTTGAACTGAAGTGTGCCACGTCAACCCCAGGGTGGAGAGTGGGGTTCCGTTTTGTGGAGCTGCTTTCCATTAACATCTGACTCCAGACGTAGAATGTGAACGTGAGCCAGCCAGCCAGCGTTAAGGGTTCCCTGCAGACTCGGGCTTGCCTGTGGGAGCCCTGCACCCGCCACGCTGGCCGCAGGCTAGCCTCCGTGCTGTGCTTTCTGTCTGTGTCACGCGGTCCCCGTCCTCATGAGGGGCGAGCCTGAGCCTGAGGAGATGCCTGGTGGGATGGAAGGCGTTGACCCTGGAGGCCCTGGGTGTGCCTGTTGCTCTGAGAAATGCAAGGGAAGTAGAGACTTGCCCCTCTGCCACCTGCAGGGGCCCTGTGGGAGCGTGCGCAGCAGCCTCGGCCTTCAGCCATGATGCAGTCGGAATTAGCCACAGGTTACTAATACCCAGGGCCTCGGGTGTGCCTGAGGTGGCTGTCAGGGGCCCCAGTCAGTGGTGGAAAATGTATCCTAAAAGGGAAGTAGAAAAAGAAATTATAGTTAAGACTAATCACTTGGCCCTTCGCAAAGTACAGTGTGTACAGCAGGTATCAATAAATGTTTATGGTTATCTGCAAAGCACCTGCAGTGAGGCCCATGGGTGTCCCTGTGGCAGTTACCAGAGGCTGTTTTCCATCCTGTAATCACCTTTCATCCTCTTGCTCTTGAATTCGCCCCCAGAGAAGCTCCAAGGAGGCCGTGGCTAGGGTAGCTGCTGCTCCGTGGTGACTGAGCTGAGCGCAGGACGGATGCGGGAGCAACCTCAGGGCTGGATTTAGCGTTTATGGAGTGCCAGAGCCTCGCCTGAGCCTCTTCCCCCGGCCTGAGTTGGTCGTGATCTGCCTCAGTTTGTTCTATTTCAAGCCCACAGGGCAGTTGGAAGAAGGAACGCTCATGTACCCTGTAGCCAGACCCATGATGACTGATGTTTTACCACATTAGGTTCCCTTTCCCTCTCTCCTGTGCACCTTTCTCTCACACATGCACAGTGGGACAGGGCGGGGTGGGGGTGGGGCGGGGGAGGGTATTAACATCTATCCTCTTTGCATAACCATTTGACAGTAAGTTTTCAGTTAGCATGGCATGACCCCTGGGTGCCTTGGCCTGCGTCTCCTAAGAACAAGTTCGTTCTCTTATGAAAGCAACAGAGTCATCGTCCTCAAGAGATCTGACAGTTCTGCTGTTGACAAGAGCTGCTCCTATGTCCCACTAATGGCCTTTCTCATTTTAATCCAGTTCCCTGTCAATGCATTCCATTCAGTGGTCAGGTACCTGCGAATCTTAGGTAAATTTTCTGTCTCTGTTCCTTCTCAGCTGTTGGGTAGATCCATTGACTTGAATAGACTCATCACCCAGCGCATTTCTGCTGCTATGTATAAATCCTTGGACCAGGCCATCAGCCGCTTTGAGAGTGAGGATCTGACCTCCATCGTGGTAAGAGACTGGGGGCTGGTGGGGCTTCGGCTCTGGGCCTGCTCAGGCTGGAAACCTTGCGAGGATCGTTGTTGACAGTGAGAAGGAATGAGTCCCTTCCCCGCCTGACTGGAGCAGGGAGAGAGAGACCAGAACAGAGTGAGGATAACCTTGTGCTCCTGATTGCTGGGGGTGGGAGCAGAGGGCATTCTGCAGAGATGGGCAGCTCCTAGGCACGGCTGGTCTTGAGCATCCTGCCGAGCCCAGCAAGCAGGTGAGTGATAAGAAATTGGGGCAGGTTATGCAACAGGTCAGCTTCCTGCACATGCAGGGGCACAGGGCTCAGAAAGGCTCTGCAGGGGCTTGCACGGTCTGCTCTCACCATCCTGAAATTCTCAGTAGCTTTCTAACCTGGGACCCCACGTTTTCATTTTGTGCTGTACTTTGCAAATTGTGTAGCTGGTCCTCCTGATGCCTGCTCCACTTCTGCTGGACTCTCAGAGTGGGCAAATTCATAGAGGTGGGAAGCAGAATGGTGGTTGCCAGGGAAAGGGGAGCTTCATGGATAGAGAGTTTCCTCTGGAGATGGGAGTTTCTGTTGCAGAGATGGGTGCTGGTGATCCCTGCACAGCACTGTGGTTGCACGTACTACCACAGAACCAATCACTTAAAAGTGGTGAAGTTTATGGTTTTATATATATCTTAGCACAATTTAAAAATTACGTGGAGAAACAAATCAATTAGTTTTAAACTGTCTTCTCTGATATTAACGCCTAATGGAAGAATAGTAACTTTACAATAAAGAACAGTCACACTATGTTAACCAAGTATCAAGGTTGATGTTAGCAGTAATAAGATGCATGTATTTTGTTGCCATCATGTATTCTTACCAAAATGTGTAATCTCAATCTATCTTGATCTATTTATGAGAAGATATCAGATAAACCCAAATTGAATGCCATTCTTTAAGAAAAAATTTCAAAAGTGCCCAGGTCATTAAAGATAAGAAAACAGTAAAAACTGTTAGGAGCTGTGGGTGAATAAGGAAGTACCACTGAAGGCAGTGTGGGTTCTAGGATCAGCTGAATCCTAGAACAAAAGAATGGCTTTCGTGGCAACAGCTGGGCAGTCTGCCACTTAGTTAACAGTACTGAACCAAGGTGAATTCCCTGCTTTGAATAATGGTGCGATGGTTATGCAAGGCGTTGACATCAGGGACACTGGGACAAAGATATGTAGGACATGGTGTATTTAAAACATTTCTCTGAGTCTAAAACTATTCCCAAATACATAGTTTGTGGTTTGTTTTGCTTTCTAAAGGGGACAACATGGTAGAAATAAAATGACCAAGAACCAGGAGTACAGACTCACGGAGACCTTGGGCCCCGATCCTGCCCCTGCCACTCACTAAGCTGGGGGACTGGGCGCCTTAGCTTGTCTTCCTCACTGCAAGACATAGCAAATAGTGGGAACCCATCTCCTAGGGTTGTTGTCAGGATAAAAGGAGATACCGCCTGGAAGATTCCCCACAGTTCCTTCTGCTTAGGAAGCTTTTGATAAGTAACAGCTGATGACAGAGTTTAAAAGAGAGATTTGAGGCTGTGGTGCCCTGCACCCCAGTCAGCTTCCAACAGCCTTTCTGGGAAGGCCTCAGCCAAGTCACCCAGCTACAGCTCGAGCCTTGAATTCTAGAAACTGCAGAGCAGCGCTCTGCTAGGAAACCTTGCACCACCTCTATATTTTGATAAATCATGCTTTTCTTTGTTTCTGCAGAAACAAAGGGAGACTCTCCAAGTGGTGGGCGTTTTGTTTTCTTCCTTTTTGTCTCCATCTTTTAGTTTTCCAGTAATGAGCATCTCTTAGGGAAAAATTATCTGTATGTGTGTGTGTGTCTGCGTTTGCATGGCCACTTCCCGTTCCCTGAGAGGCACTGAATGGTCTTTAAGCTGAGAGCAAAGTCAAAGCACCCAGTGAGAGACCCTGTTTATCAGGAGAGGGCTGCCGCCCCCATGGGAGCCCCCACTTCCTGTGAAGCCCTGTGGGGGAGCGGGGACCCCAGGGGTGCTCTCCAGTGGATCAGGGTGTCCCTGCTCACCTGGCCAGAGAAGCTTCTGCTTCCTTCCAGAAGCAAACCCAGAAGTCTCTCCCCACAAGCTTTCCTCCACCTGAAGGCTCCGTTCTAGCTGGGAGGCAGCCTCATTAGCAGCAGGAGAGGTTGTAGTCATCTGGGAGTTGGTCACCCCCGTCTGCCACAGCTGAGCTTTAAACAGAGGCCGGGCAGGACCTGAGGCTGAACGTGAACCCCGGCAGACTGCAGGCTGTGTTGTGAGGCTGCATGGCCCGTGTGAAACAGGAGGCAGTGCTGAACGTTGGGAAGAACTCGCACAAAACTTCGGAAGCTCTGGCAGCACCAGCCTGGCGTTCTCAGATGGCTGGAATCTCCCAGGGTGACAGAAGAGCACATCAGGTGGGCTGTGCTTTCTTTAGCTGGCTGCAGGCCCTGTGGGCACACTTGACACCGGGGGTGACCTCCAGGGCCGGAGTTGAAGAGCCCATAGTCCACTCCTGCCCGAGCTTCCTAGCGCGGGTTAACTGGCACTCCTGGGGCCCACCGTAGGTCTCTGACTCCCCTGGGGAAAAGCTCTGGCCAGCACCTCTGAGAGGCGGCCCATGTGGCGTTGGCTGTTCCCATTCCGCCCCTCGGCGTGGCCCTGCCAAGCTGGCTGTCTCGTATCCTGCAGAGTGCTGAGCCCCTCTCACGGGGGCGCCGCTCCCGCAGACTTGCCAGCCCCGCCAAGCCTTGCAGCCCTGCGTGAGGCGGACTGACGCACTCTTCAGGCTCCAAGCTGGAAGCAGACAGGCAGGTGTGATGCCGAAGCACCGCTGGGGTTAGGTAACCTGCAGCCAGGGGCGGCCCCACGTCGGCAGAGTGGAGAGCTCCCCTTCCTGCTCGCTCAGGAGCACCGAGCCCCACTGCTGAGGCTGAACCGCAGAACAGACACCGCGTCCCAGGTTCTCATCTGCGCTTGTCTTCCTGGCGCCGGCGGCACCGTGTAGCACAGGGCCTGGGGATCTGAGAGATAAGCTTGTTCACAGTGGCTCCTTTTCTTTTTGAGCAAATAGGACCACAGAGAGCTAGGCCCCAGGAGACAGAAGCAGAAAGTCGAATCTGAATTTCCACGCTTGGTGACTGCGCAGTGTACAACACCTAAAAAGCTGCCCTGAGGCTGTCGTTCTGGAGCTGAAAGCCAGATCCTGAGCTCCTCCTTTTGAGAAACTGGAGGAGCAGCCCTCTCTGAGCCCAGCTTCCAGCGCCACAGCAGTTGGGTGGGGTATCTGAAGCAGCAGCTCGCGCTCTGTCCGGGCAGGGACTCCCCAGTCTGGCACAGAAGCCCACCCTGGAGACTTGCTCCCCACTTGAGTGCGTCTCCCAGCTCTGAAGCTGGGTTGCAGTGGAGCGGAGCTCTGAGACTATTAAGGCGTAGCCCGGTTCCCCGCTAGACCACCCTCTGGGCTCCAGCCAGGCCCTGCACCCAGCCTGCCTCCTGTGGCCGTGAGCGCCTGAGCTCCATGGCCAGCTGTTGCACTCCACGTGGCTGTACCCTTGTGAGCTGCCCTTGCCAATGTTCTTCCAGCCTTTGCCTTTCCAAGGACTTTAGCTCTAACATCTTTCCCCCAAAAAAACTGTTTATTTATTTGCAGGGGAGAGTGACTCAGAGAAGGAGAGAGCTCTTCCATCCCCTGGGTCACACCCTAAATGGCCACAATAGCCAAGGCTGGGCCAGGCTTAAGCCAGTAGCCCAGGGTTCTATCTGGGTAGCCCACATGGTGACAAAGGCGTAAGTACCTGGGCTGTCTTCTGCTTTCGCAGGCACAGTAGCAGGGCAGCTCTTGCATCTGTATTCCTCGGGGACCAAAAATACACGATTTACAACCGGAATTCCTGGATCGCAAGCCAAGCCCTGCTGTGTACTCCCTGTGTGACCTTGAGCAAGTTACTTAATCTGAGCCTCAGTCTTCCCCTTTAGGAAACAACAATAGTCATACCCATCTCCAAAGACTGCTTAACCAAGGCAGTATCACACCGTCTCTGCACCAGACGCTGCTTTACTTCCATTTGATAGCCATGACTGAGAAGCAGCAGGACAAGAGACCCAAGGGAGCCAAAATGGTCTCACTCTCCTTTTATTTCCCAGCAAATGCAGCGTGGTGTGTGGGTGATGCGCTGTGATCACACATTTTGCTACAAGGTGGGAGCCACGGATCAGGCCACACAGCAGACACCGGAGGGTCTGCCGACTGCGGACTGCATGCCCATGGTTTCCAGCCATGCTTTGCCCACCCCTGTGTGAACGAGGGCCCTGTGGTTCAGAAGAGGATGCGTACCACCCTTGTCTCCTCTGAGTATTTCTGTAAAGGGTGCAGTCAAGAACGAGCACTGGGAAACTGCCTCTGTTTCTATATATACACAGTAAGGACAGTGGTGACATGGACCCCTTAGGGTTTTCATGAGCTTTAAATGGCGTAGCACATAGGAAAGTGGCAGGCTTTAGGCTGCATCATATGGAATTGCCAAAATTTGGCCATTTTGACCTTACCAAAGCAGTGGCTTCCCATGGCTCAGCCCAGCGGCAACCACTGAACAGGTGGTAGCTCATGTTAATGCTTTCTGCAGGGTGAGGAAGTAGCCACTAGCGATGCATGTCACAGATTGCTTTCACTTTTGATTTTTTTTATAAAGGTTTATGTATTTGAGAGGCAGAGTTACAGATAGAGGGAGAGACAGAGAGGTCTTCCATCCACTGGTTCACTCCCCAAATGGCCACAGTGGCTGGAGCTGCGCCTATCCAAAGCCAGAAGCCAGGAGCTTCTTCCAGATCTCTCATGTGGGTGCAGGGGCTCAAGCACTTGGGCCATCTTCCACTGCTTTCCCAGGCCACAGCAGAGAGCTGGATTGGAAAGCAGCAGGTGGGACTTGAGCTGGCGCCCATATGGGATGCTGGCACCACAGATGGAGGCTTAACCTACTACACCACATCACCAGCCCCTCTTTGACTTTTCTGGTGACACCAAGGGAGCAGCTTTTTCCTTACCAGTACAGGAACTGGAAAGCAAGTGAACATACTTCCTACCTGAAGGGTGCAGATGGGATTGCGCATGACCAGCGGTCTCCTTTCAGGAGGTGGGCTTGCAGCCCTACCCACCAAGCCTCCACTTGCCCCAGAATAATCTGGGTGTTCCTTCTGCTTCTCAGAAGAAGGGGACACTGTCTCATGGCCCTGGGGGGGTGTCTAGTGCCCATGGAGGAGGTCAGGTGGCTGTCTGAGAGGCTCTCACCTGCACGCAAGGACTCAGTAAGATAAACGTGTGTGCATGCTTGTGTTCAAGGTTTGCACGTGGCCCTCAGCAGCTGCGGGCTCTCTCTCTCTCTGAGCAGGAGCTGGAATGGCTGCTGGAGATTAACCGGCTCACGCACCGACTGCTCTGTAAGCACATGACGCTGGACAGCTTCGACGCCATGTTCCGGGAGGCCAATCACAATGTGTCGGCCCCCTACGGGCGCATCACCCTGCATGTCTTCTGGGAGCTGAACTTTGACTTCCTCCCCAACTACTGCTACAATGGGTCCACAAACCGGTAAGGGAGTCCTGTGCAAAGGGGTTGGTGGGAGCCAAGGGAGCAGACGACTGCCTCCTCCACACCAGGCCCCAGAACACCTGTCAGTTTGTTCCTGTGACAGGTGTCTCTCGGGCCCCTGCTGGATACAGGCTCTGTACTAGAGGCGGGGGGCCATGGGGGACAGGAGGCCAGGGGTGATGGACCAATCATTACAACAAATGCACCATCACAGACAGTGAATGAGGAGATGAAGAGCCCACAGGGCCATGAGAGAGAGGACAGCACAGCCTGCTCCAGTCCCAGAAGTGATGCGAACCCCATGGGAGGCTTCCTCCTCTAAGGCAGTGATGCTGGAGTTGAGCCACAAAGGCTGAGTAGGAATAGGTAAGGCAGAGAGGTAGGAGCCAGATATTCCAGGCAAGGTTTCTAAGGAACCAAGAGGTTAGTGAGGACAAAACCAGCGGTGAGGGCTGGTGCCGTGAAAGATGACACAGTGCAGACATGCACTGCGCCACAGGCCGTGTTTGAATCGTGCATCCGTGAACTCTGAGAAAGCAGAGTGGTGTGGTCAGCTTGTCCATTTGTAGGAGCTTCCAAATCTGGACACAAAGGTGTGAACCAAACACGCGATTGCCTGCCACAGTGGGACTTGCCTCCATCCAGGAGCGCATAGTCCTGGGCTGGGCACTGAGGTGGAGACAGGGCCCAGTCCCCTTATTCCCACAGAGGTTTACAACCTGGTGGAAATGGTGAGAAAATGGGCGTGTCTGCTGGTCCTCTCGGTGTCCCCAGAGCTGGCTCAGGGCCGTGATATACTAAATGTGTTGAATGGACAGGGGCGGAAGGCATCCACAACGAGATCAGCTTCCAGCTTCGTGAGATGTAGGACTTCCAGTGCTCTTGACCAGGTGGTGTCAAACTAGGGGCCACAGACCAATCTAGGTGCCAATTGTTTTTATACAACCCATGAACTCAGAGTGAAATTGACCTTTTTCCATGGTTGCGGGGGTAAAAATCCAAAGACGACGACTATTTGTGGACAAGTGAAAATCATGAGAAATTCACCAGGTTTTGCTGGAGCTCAGCCACGCTCATGCATTTGCTGTCAGCTGTGGCTGTTTCTGTGCTATAGCGGCGGTGTTGAATACTGGCAGCACAGAGCACCTGCTTGCAAAGCTGGAAATACCTGCTGCTGTGTAGAAAGAGTTAGCTGAACCTGCTCTTGAGGAACCAAATAGGAGGTGGAGAGGCAGAGCCCCTGGTAGACCATTTTCAGACCCAGCTCTCGCTCCCTGTGCCCACTTTCTTGTCTCCTGTCATTCTGAGGAGCCCTAAGCCCATGCATGGAAAGGAGCCAGTGTTAAATGGGAGGATGTCAGGGAGTGTAGCAGCGGTATGTGCAGCCGACTAAGACACGGTGCACTTGCACCAGGGTGAAGGTAGCCTTGGCCAGGAAGGGCTCCTGTGTCTCCTGTACCTGGAGTAATGGCGTTAGGACCCGGTTCACCCCTTCCTCATCTCTTCTCTTCTGCTAGTTTTGTCCGGACTGCCATTCCTTTCACCCAAGAACCACAACGAGACAAACCCGCCAACGTCCAGCCTTATTACCTCTATGGCTCCAAGGTGAGTAGTCCTGTCTGGTCCTATCTCTAAGAGGGTGAGTGGGAAAAACCAAATAGGAAAGTGTTCCTGGAATGAACAAAGCCAGATGGTATGGAGGTGAAGAGACAGCAGTGAGATCCAGGCAGAAACAACTGCGAGTATATTCATCTTTATTTGCTCACCACAAGCAGAGGTGGGATGCACACAGACGGGCGGGGGCCGGATGCTGAGCCGGAGCTGTTGAACATGCATCAGAGTAGGCAGGAAGATGGGTCTGCGCGGCCTCTCGCCTTGGGCTCCCAGCTACTCCTGCTTCTCAGCTGATTAGTTGCAGTGTCATACTGTGATTCTTGGATTTTGTGCTCCGTGAACACAAGGGATTTGCAGACAGAACAAAGTTGGAAAGTAGAGCTTTAAAGGAAATCGCAGATGGCTGGAGCTAGAGCTGAGACAGGCCTGCTCTCGTCTCTCTGCTGCTCTTGTGCACACATGCACATCCTAAAGCTAACTACACCTTCCCAAACCCTCCCCTGGCCTAGACCTTCACTCCCTCCCATTTGTTAAACACCCACTGTAGGCCAAGCGCAGGGCTGGATTCCAAATGATGAAGCCACATCAGGGGCCAAACATAAGCTCTGCCCTCCTGGATTTCCATTTCTACAGCCATGGTGAGAGTGTGGAAACAATGTGCACAGTGTCTCACCAGAACCACAGGATGTGTAGGAGAGTTCTCCCTTACCTTGGGCTCTGTATGGGAGAAGAAAGAATGCCACTAAAGGGGTGAGATGTGTCAACAACCAAAAGCAAGGCCAACATGTCTCTTCCTGGTGGAATAAAAATAGCCACTTTTGATTCCATTTAAAAAGAAAAAATAAGCACAGATGGACCTAAAAGAGGAACTGACTCAGTGAGCACAACAATGATAGAAAAAGCCCTGCTATGGATAGACAGGCGTAACTCACCAGTGTGTGCTACCACTCGCATCCATAGGGGGCGCTGGAAGGCCTCTGGGATGCTGTGGGGAGAATCAAACATCTCCAGAGCAGCCAGTCAGCTCTTGGTGGTTCCTTCCAATCAAGGGAAGCTGACCGTGCATGCGGCACACACACACAGCACCTCCCTTGTTAATTCTCTTTCAAGCCTGACGAGACATCCAGGAGGAAGACTTAAGTGCTAATATGTTGTTAATACCTCCCCACCCATGGATAATCCCCCTTTTAATCAAAGACAAGAGACCAGAAGATCTTAAGCTCAGAGTCATTGGCAGACAGTAGCAGCTAAGTCACATTTAGTACTGTTTTGTTTTTGTTATATTAATGTTTATATCTCTTCCTATCTATAGCAGGCAGGTGGTACTCATTTTCATGTATGTAATAATACTACAGTCTAAATGAAGTTTACATTTTAAAAATGAGTCAGTTCAGAGAGCAGTGTTAATCGTCAGAGGTTGTTTATGGCTCAAAGAAGATACGGATGGGGTATGAGGTGGTGTGAGTTGCCTGGGATCTGGGAAATGCTCTAGAGTAAGTTTTACACTTTGCCCAAAACAGTGCCCTCAGTGGCAGAGAATGCGGAACATGAACTGCAGCCCTCTGAAACCCTAGCTCCAGGAGCCCATGTGCCACTCCAACACTTCCTCCAAGATTGGGTTTTTCCTAAGTCATGCAGGTTTCTATTTTCTACTCTAGGATATGTACATGTTTGTTCCAATGTTAAGATGATGTTTTCAGTTCCCAAGTGGGCCCCCTGCACGGACACTGCTGCAGAAACGCATGTCCCAGCCTTGGCACACGGGGCCAGGATAAGTGTTCTCCAGTGTGGGAAGCTTTCCCATCAGCCTTCCTCCAGCCCAGGGGACCCACGAGGCACTGACGTTTGAGGATAGAGATGGAGTAGTCTTTGGACACAATTTTTACAAAAGCCCTACGGTGCACAGGGCTTTGGGCTGCAAGATGAGGGCCGTCCCTCCCTACTCTCACTCCCCGCAGCGAGGTGGTACTACGTGTTGATCACCACCCTCCCCCCGGAAGTCTCCCCCATCCAAGGGGCCATCTTGGTTGGCTGCAGCTTCTGCGTCTGCTCCAGCGCCAGAATGCTTGTGTGGCAGTTCCACCAGGGGGAGCCCCGGAAGCTCGTCTTCCCTCTGACCAAGAGCTGGGGCTTCCTCCGGCCATCTCACCAAACCATTGGCTTCCTCCATGTGGCCAGCTCTGTAAGACCATCGAGGCTCATGGCAACGGATGCACCAAAACTGGAGGCAGATGAAGGCCAAGACAGCAGTGAAGCAAGCCAGCAGGATGGACATCAGCACCCAGAGGGAAATCTGGGGGTCCACCAGCGAGCTTCCAGCAGCCAGCGGACTCTTATCCAGGGTGTGGAACATGGTGCAATAATGCCTGTAGGGGAAGGCGACCTTCTTACAGCTGATGCACAGGAAGTACAGAGTGGAAGGAGCCAGGTGTTCCAGCACCACGGAGCTGATGGTTCGAGGCACCTTCTCCTCGTGGTGGAAGCTGTAGCGAAGATAGCCAGAGAAGATGCTGTTCCAGTTGGGCCTGTACATGACGTGGTAGTAGTCCTCCAGGCACGGCTCTGAGGACGACCAGGAGATGATGGCTCCCGTATAGGAAACGTTCCCGACCTCGATGTTCATCCTGATTCTGGAACCAGAATCGCAGTGAAGGGTCACTTCCCCATGTTTATGTATCATAGTCATAGTTAGCACATTTTGAGCATTTGAGACAGGCACTAATATGGCCCCCATTTTATAGACAAATACATGGAGACAAGAGGTGACATTACTTAGCTAAGCATAGCAAAGAAGTGGCAGATAAAAAATCGCATTGCAGTTGTCTTATGCCAAAGCTGGTGGCCCTCAGGCTTCATAAAATGTGCACCCACAGAACCCCAGCTCTGTCCACCTGGCTGAGATCCATTAGATACAACACTACTCTCCCTTGGGGAGAACAAAGCACATGTAATATCCCTAAGACCTCAGAGGCCCCACCTTAGCATATGTCTGTGACCTCCCCTCACTCGATTGCTTCATTTGTAATCACTCTTGTTGCCCAGCTACTTCTGCTGCAAATACTCTGAGCCCAGTTCTGGAACGTTCTTGCCTTTGCTTTTTTTTTTATCCTTCCCGATTCTTTTGTCCACGGAGTAGAGATTTGCTTTGTCATTCATTGGCAGTTGGTTTTGTTTTTTTTTTGTTTGTTTGTTTTGTTTTTTTGTTTTTTTTTTTTTTGACAGGCACAGTTAGTGAGAGAGAGACAGAGAAAAGTCTTCCTTCCATTGGTTCACCCCGAAATGGCCGCTACGGCCGGCATGCTGGGCCAATCTGAAGCCAGGAGCCAGGTGCTTCCTCCTGGTCTTCCATGCGGGTGCAGGGCCCAAGGACCTGGGCCATCCTCCACTGCACTCCCGGGCCACAGCAGAGAGCTGGACTGGAAGAGGAGCAGCCGGGACAGAACCGGCGCCCCAACCAGGACTAGATTAGCCTGGTGAGCCGCAGCGCCAGCCTGTTTGTTTTTCAAAACCCTAGGAAATTAGTTCCATAGCTCCTCAGCTGCTAGTACCAGCACAACTACTATTACCTGATACTCCCGATGCTGTGAATATTAGGAATGATAAGAACCACACAGTGAGCCAGTGGTGGCTGCGTCACAGGCCATGCTGGGTGCTTCCGTACAGTAACACATTCCTTCACCCTCCACACGTCCTTTCAGCCAGATCACCATTATACAGATGAGCAAACTGAGGTTAAACACAAAGCTGTTGAACCACTGCACGTCCAGACACCAGGCTGCTGGGTGTAGTAACAGAATGTGGTGGAGTGCACACACTAAGCCCCAGCTGCTGGGTGGTTGTTGTTGTTGTTGTTGTTGTTGTTGTTTTTCAGACCATTGTATGTACCGCTTCCAGATTGCCAGCCCTCTCACTTGTAAGGGAGAGCTGGCTTCATGTTTTGTAGTTTCTCTTTAATTATGAGAGGCACAGTTCCTGTCCACTGAACCTCCCCTGCTCAGAAACCCAGGGACAGCTCTGCCTCACCTGTGCATGTTCACAGATATGGACACTGCAGCTTTCATTTTAGCTGGCGGTGGCACAGCAACAAACGGTCAATTTGATTTTTAACCCCCACTAGGCATTGAGCCACACAGATTCCTATTACCACCTGCCTTTCTCTGCCCTCGGGGCCCCCCAGATTCCATTTGTGTGCTGGTGTTCCTGTGGCCGGGGGTGGTGGGGAGCTGCAGAGAAGTGGACTGCAGCTTGTAGCTTTCTAGTCCGTGTTTCCCTTCTCTCGGGATGACCGTGAGTTAAAATGCTAGGAAAGGGAATGGCGCCTTCCTCTTTATTTCTTCCCAGAGCCTGGAGAAGGAGAGCTGGGAGCCGGGTGTTCCTGGCCCTCCCAGGGAAGGCCACTGCGTAGGAGACTGAGTGTTTACCTCCTGCCCTTCCCGCACATCCCCGCAAACATACTTCCGACCACAGTGAAAAGAGCTTATCCATCACTGATACTGCACGGGCAGCCACCTCTGTCAGCCTTCCAGGGGTCTAATCAGCAGCCCGTTCCTGTGGCGCGCCATCGCTTCTTCCCTCTGCCTCGCAGCTGCTGCTGGCTGTCTTTGTGGACTGGATTCCCTACAGCAGACATTTTGAAGAGCTTCCTGCAGGAAGCTAGCAGCGTCCTCAGCTTTTCAGACCAAGTGCTTCTCCCTTAGGTAGTTTCCTTCCTCTGCCTCCTCCCTTCCTAGGACCCTCCCCTAATTTTTAGCTAACCATTGATCGTCAGCTGGCCCTTGCCTAGGCAGAATGTAGAAAGAGAAAGAGTTCCATGTTCATTTCCAAGAAGAGCCTCTGTCTCTTACCTGCTGCTTGCAGTGTATCTGGTGAGAGCTCTGCCCTCCGGGGCCGGGTGGACCAACGCGGAGGGAATGGTCCCTTCTCCCTCCTCCACTCTGGGCTCTTCTCGATGTCTCTCTCACCACTGAGTAATCCCACTGTCGCCCCCAACGCTCACGTTATTCATCTCTGCAGATCAGCATCATTCACCATGGCAACCAGCAGGCATCTGTACGCACGCACAGTGCTCTCCGTGACCAGTCTGGGAAGGCTTTGCCCAGTGACAAGAGCTCTCATTCCTTTGGCGGAAAAAAACAAAAACAAAAACAAAAACAAAAAAACTAACAGCCCTGCACCCGGAGCCCCAATGTGATTAATTTTTCCCGTATTCGCACATTTTCACACTAATTGACAAATTATTTTCTTGGCCCATCTGGATCCTTTTTGTGGACAATGGTTTCAGATGCAAATATGTTCTTCCCAAGTATCCATAACAACAGAACTGATCATCCTGACCCCTCCCACCCCCACATACCCTTCCCCACTTCCTACTCCACCTCTCCTTCATTCTTCCTTTATTATTGTTCGCCGTGGCCTTGCCTGGTTATATGGCACTAGCCATGGCCCTTTCATGGTCTGGAGCCCAGTTCTGTCTCCTGTGAGGCTGGATCAGGAGGGCAGGTGGAAGGCGTGAATACTATCCCTTGCCCCATCCCGGCGCTACATCCATCCATCAAGCTTGCCAAATCATCGTGCCACTTTACTGGGATGAATGGTGCCTAAAACCATGGCCACTCAGAACATCAGAATGTAATATGTTGAGGATTGGAGGCTTTGTGTTTATGGTTAGGTAAGGATCTCAAGATGAAATCTTCCTGAGTTCAGAGCCATCCCTAAACGTAATGACTGGGGTCTTTGTAAGAGAAACAAGAGAGGTTTATGCACTGATAGATGCAAAGGGCAGAAGCCAGGGGATAACAGAGATGGAAGTGGTGCTGCCGTCAGCCACAGAGCACCCAGGAGCCACCAGGCACTGAAAGAAGCAAGGAAGCGGTCCCCCCTGGATTCGGCGGGAGTGTGACCCTGCCAGCGCCTTGATTTCAGGCCGAGGTCTCCAGAGCAGCAAGGGACCCTGTTTCCGTCTTAGCCAGGTGCCAAGTTTGTGCAGCTTGGTCAGGCCTTCTCGCAGCCTCTCCCAGCTGGGCCCAGCAGCAGCCTGAGCTCTCTGCGTGAGCGTCCTGAGAAGCTGCCCAGCAGGCGATCCGTAACCGTCAACTCCAGAAACGGACTCCTGAACTGGACGATCCTCGATCCTCGTCGTCCCTTTCTAGAATCTGAGCTGCCTCCTTCCCCTTTCCATTTCCCACAAAGCTCGCTCTGCCCTGAGATGCCCTCCTTCCCTCGTCCTGGGAAGGCCCCATCGCCCCGCTCAGCTGAGGAGACCGCGGGGCCTGTCTGAAACAGCACGCGGCCGCTCAGATGCACTGTGGCCTGAATACGCGTGCACAAAGCGTGGGCTCGAAAAGGCAGCTTTGGTCTGCTTGCTTCTCGGTCCTTGTGGTCCACCCGAATGGTGACCCAAGTGCCAGGAAGAGCTGCCTGAGGAGGCCTGACCCATCCCCTGGCCATGGCCCTGGGAGGCGGGAAGTCTCGGCCGTCTGTGTCCCTCAGTCAGTTGCCTGGTGGCTCTCTGAGGCTTTCCATCTTCCCCGGGGTCTGTCTGCAGTCTGCTGAGCTGTGCACCACGCGCCTCTCGCCAAAGGCTGCTGGTGGCTGCCCATGGCACGGAAAGCATCCCCTCTGCAGAGAGGCCCATGCTGTGGTTTGCAGGCGCCCTCCAAAGCGGTTATCCTGAGAGAAATAAAAATACCAGAGCTCGGAAGCCTGGAGGGGTAAGGGAACCTTAAGCCCTTTTCCATAGAAAATGAGAATTTATTTTTAATGCTCCTGGATGGCATTTGCAGCTGTGAGGTTTTCATCTGCAGAAGTAGGACACACAGGGAGTGTGAGGTCTGGAAGCCCCCTAGTTTCACAGTCCCAGGAGAGGACGGCTTTCCTCGAGCTGCAAGGCGGCCCCTTGCAAACCTTCGCAGCTAGGGCTTGTCCTCCTCTGGGCTGTCACCATTTGTCAGCTGTGCCCAGAGAAGCCAGTGCAGCCCTTAGCAACAGGGACAAACTAGCTGAGGACCCCTGCCCCCGGGGATAGCACCCGAGCCAAATTTACTCCTGCTCTGTCGTCAGCAGCAACACTTCCACTGTACGTGCAGGTGTTCCTCCGTTGATTGGCATCAGTAGATCACTACTTGGGGGGGAGAGACGTCAGCGGGGTCCCTGCACCCTTGCTGAAGGCGGCAGTGAAGGAATGGGGTGAGGATCTGGCTCACTTCTGAAGCTGGACTCCCAGGGGATGTTGACTCCCAGGGGATGTTAGCTCCCCAGGCCAGGTGCGCATCCTGACTGTGGCCTTGGATGAGTTCCCTCACTTTCCTGTGCCTGGGTCTGGTCCTCTGTGAAATGGGAACATAAGGAACACCTGCCCCGTAGTGTTCCAGTAACAGTGCAATGAAGTGCCAGCTGAGGACTAGTCACTGTCATTATTGAGACAAGGCCAGTAGATTGGAAACATTTCCTGAGTTGGTTGTAGCTTTCTCCAGATGCCATAATGAGCAAGGTCAGTACCCTGTGTTGTGTTTCCTTGCTCTTTTCTTAAATTGGCTTGATTGTGTTTTTTAATGTAGATGTTCATGGTACATGAATTAAGCAATACAAACAAGGTAAAAGTAAGATTCAGACGATACAACCCAGAAGTAACCCCAGGAACATTTTGTGCGTTTTGCCTGTGCTTTCTGATTTTACTCACGTGACGACATTTTGAGATAGCCCTTCTTGTCGTCATTGGAGAGGGAGAAACTGAAACTCAGAGGGCTGAGTCACATCACTGCTGTGGCAGGGCGGTGCTCGGAGCCTGGGTCCGTTGGTCACCAGAGCCTGGGCTGTTAACCAGCCTCTCGTGTGCTCTGTGGTTCTGCCTGGGCTGTGCTCAAACTGGCTGCACACACAGGGTAGCTCCCTGTGGCTGTGTGCTCTGAGGAGGCAAACATAAGACAGAACAGGACGGTGGACGCTCGAATGATGAGAACAGGCCAGGACCTGAAAGACCTCGCAGAGAACATTCAGCCACCTGACTGCAGCCACAGAACAGGAAGACATCAGCTCCTGTGGAGCACTGGCTCAGCATGTGTTTGCTGTGCTCTGGAGCCCAAGCACACTTGCCGATGAGCTCTGTCACTTAGGGAGGATGTGAAATACAGACACTTTAGCGATGGTACCATAGCTAATTTGTGAATCAAAACTTTAAAAACATATCCTCTAGATAAAGTAAAATCTGTAGAACATCATAAAACTCCTTTCCAGTGCCATAGAGTGTGGCACAAATCGTTCATTCGATGATTCCACTCATTTCCCAGTGGTTTCTTCGGCGTTTAGAAATCGTCGCCTTGATCTTTGCTTTAGCACAGTTGTCACCGCCTGCAAGCTGCTCCTGTCTGAGCCTTGATTTGACCTCAGGGAAATTCCTCCTGTGCTTGGCACGCCTTCCCCCACAGCCCTTACTACCCAAGATGCAGTGCTTGGTTGCAGCAAGTTGGGGACATCTCAGCAGGGCACCTGCCTGGATGCCAACACCTGCCACCTGGGCTGAGCAAGTGCATCTCCCTTGGCCCAGTGACAACACCAGCAGGAGCTCCACCTGCTTTACCGCCACCATCCACCCTGTGTCTCCACTCCTAGCCACCATAGTGCCACGGATTCGCCAGTCCAGGAAGCTGTTGTTCCTCTTCCAAGTGGTGCCTAGGGCAGAATATCGTCTTGGATCTCGGCTGAGGCAGGTCGCTTCACTTCCCTGGGGCTCCAGATCTCTCCTCTGCTAAATGGGGATCACTGTGCTGCCTTCCTGGGGTCCCCAGGGAGATCAGATCCTAACCTGGAACCTTTGGAAGAGTTGTTTGCGATATGGTTAAGCAAAGGCTCTTGAGATAGGAAGATGATCAGGGAGGGACCTAAGTGCCATCCAGGTGTCCTCATAGGAGAGAAGCAGAGAAAGTCATCCACTTAGGAGAGCGGGTGAGATTTGAAGATTGGAGCGGTGTAGCTGCAAGTTGGGCAATGCCGGCAGCCCCTGGAGGCTGCAAGAGGCAAGGAGCAGATTGTCCCCTGGAGCCTTTGGAGAGACTTTAGCTCTGTGATAGTGATTTTAGCTTTATGGCTTCCAAATGTACTAGAGAATAAGTTCTGTTTTTTTTTTTTTTTAAGATTGATTTATTTATTCAAAAGTCAGAGTTACACAGAGAGAGGAGAAGCAGAGAGAGGTCGGTCGGTCTTCCATCCACTGATTCACTCCCCAGTTGGCTGCGCTGATCTGAAGCCAGGAGCTGCTTCCGGGACTCCCACGTGGGTGTGCAGGAGCCCAAGGACTTGGGCCATCTTCTGCTTTCCCAGGCCACAGCAGAGAGCTGGATTGGAAGTGGAGCAGCCGGGTCTCAAACTGGTACCCATATGGGATGCTGGCGCTTCAGGCCAGGGCATTAACCCGCTGTACCACAGCAGCGGCCCCCCCAGTTCTGCTGTTTTAAGTCACCAAATTTGTGACAGCAGCCACAGGGAACTACCTAGGCAGTTAGGAAGGAATTAGTATATGAAAACATTCAGAGAGAAATGTTGCAGACTGCGGCACCTGTGCCAAAGGGAAGTGACGACAGTGGTTTCCTCCAGCCTGTTAGCATCTCTGAGTCCTCTCGGGTGAATTACTGGAGGGCCAGCTGCTGTTCTCCTGCCTTCTCCAGAGCACCAACTCGTGGCTCAGAAAGAAAGGGACATCACTTCTTGAGATCACTAGAGTAAGTGTGAGCGGAGAAGGCCAAGAAGGCCCCAGAGGTTGGAGACCCAGCCCTGTGGCTCACCCCATGTCCAGAATGGACAGACACCTCTGCAGTTTTCCCAAGCTGTGAGCACCTTCCTGTGACCTTCCCGCCAAGGACAGTGGCACTATTGTTTTCATTCACCCGGCTCTTCATTTACCTGCAGTGTTTAGAGAGCTGGGCCACAGCTCCCTCAGCTGAGTTAGAGAGCTGTGTTTGTGTTTGTGGGCTGGTGGAGTTCATTAGAGACATTGTAATAAAAACAGGAAACTAGGAATGGTTTTAATTCCTCTTGGGATCTCTGAAAACAGCACTTGTGGTTCCAGAGAGCAGAGATGCAAATTGCTCACAAATTTGGTTTGCCAAAAACACGAGGCTGTGTGTGGTGGCTGGCCGCACTTACCATCCGGTCAGAGAGAGGCCTGATGAGTAGAAGTCCACATACAGCAGAGAAAGACAGTTCAAATTATCAATTTCATAGTATGTAATTTTGCCTCAATTTTTTAAAAAGTGCATCTCCAAATAATATTACAGTGGTTAGGATCTACCAGATCATGTCCTACCCTTAAAATATTATTTTGTATCACTTCTCAGCCTTCTAAGATCAAGTATAAACATTATTTTGCTTTCTTAAAGATCAATGTCACAGTAATAATACAGCTTTGATTCCTGATTCAGGATTATTTATTTCTTGAGGTCTCAGGAAGTTATCTATTTGGTGTGGTGTGGACGTAAGCAAGCTTGATTTTAAATGTGCAACGGTAAACAGATTGACCAAATAATTAGTTTCCCGCTCACTGCTGGTTGTCACGTGAGTCAGTGAGCAGAGTTGCTTCAGGGTGTGAGATTTGTGGCAAGTGTCCAGTGTCTCAAGTCATGTTGCCTTCCTGTTTTTCTCTGCCAAACCTCAGAAAATGCCCAGGCTCCCCTATTCCCACATTTTCTCAATAGGGCCCAGCCTCCTATTGAGCCAGCAGGTCAGACGGGTGCCCTGCGGGGGTGTGTGTGCATGACTTCTCAGCATGCGTGTGTTTCCTCTTGCATGTGTGTGACGTATTGGGGGCTTTCCGGGGCTGGGGGTGGGAGCGTGTTTATTTAGAAGAAGAATTTGAATTCTGCTCAGTTCGTGCTGGTCCTTCCTGCAAGAAACACAGCACAGACCAGCAACCAAGGCCTAAGCTTCCAGTCCAGACTGAAGGCCAGGACTGATGACAAGTGGGAGCCAGAGGCCTCCCCAGCACACCAGATGGGTCTGTGCTGGGATTCTTAAAGCTCTTGTGTGGCAAAACAATTCCAAAATTATTCTCCTGTGCCTAGAACTAGGATGGCCTGCTGAACAGTTTTTGTATGTCTGAGTGTATGTTCACAAGTATCTGTGCTTGCCAGGAAATTCTGGGGAGACTTGACTCTAGAAGCCCTTGGGTAGGGGGCAAGGCCAAGGGGAATGCTAGGAAGGCCGAGCATGCGGGGAAAATGCCCAGAGCTCAAGTGTCCACAGGGGGCATCCGAGCTCCTTTGATCCATCCTGCGATCCTGGGCAGGACCATAGGCGGCAGGTTCCCTGTTAACAGCCTTACGTGGTGTTTCTCACCTCTCCACCTGGACGCTTGCAGTAGAGAATGTACCCAGCACACAGGCTGTCATTAGAAACTCCCATTTTTGTAATTTTTTTATATTGAGCACAGTCTACAGTTTTGGGTGCATTCCATCAGCTGGCCCCTGCTCTGACCTCTGCCATGCCCCTGTCGGATACTGACTGACTGTGTTGTCTTAAGATTTTTCCCTCACACTTAGCGATATTCATAGAATCACAGCCGCTGGCAAAGCCGAGAGGGCAAACTTGACCAGGAAGCTGGATTTTCCCCAGCTTTTATTTACCACTGTATAAGACATGATATATTCATGGCTGTTACCTCAGTGTGCCCAGCACCGTGCCAGCTGCTTTATCCACGTTGTCTGATTTAAACCTGCAGCAATCCTGTTGCATCGGGTATTATGTTTACATCATGGAAACCAAGGCTCAGAGAGTTTAGGTAATTTGCCCAAGGGCATCTAATGTAGTACAGCTTATGGACTTGTTCCTGGATCTCGGTCCCTCCAAGTTACCTATACGACAGCTCGCTGCTACTCAAAAATGCCTTTCATGGGATTTTTGACAAGTGGACAAAGGAGAGTATGACGTGAGCTCTCCTGGGTTCAGAGAGGCCGAGTCCTCAGTGTAAGTGGGAACAAGAAGGCTGTTGGTCCAGTGCACGAGCTGAGTCAGAGCACCCCAGGTCATCATCTGCTGATGTCTGTGCAGGCTCCAGCTGCCACCTCTTTCAGGAGAGAGTGCACAGCATGGCTCTGCTTTTACATCTCTGAAAATAATTCTGGGCAGAAAAGTAGGCTATGATGCAACCCAGTGGGTTTTTTTTTTTTTTCCTTTTTTATTGAGGTCTAATTACCTGTGGTGAAATGAAATGTTCTGTGTCAGGCTAATTTCACAGAAGGACCATAGAGTGGATGACAGAAACAACAGACACACACTGTTGCATGGTCTCATCCCATGTTTGGCTAAATCATAGTCAGCAGTTCTTACACGTACAGGCTTTGCTGACCATCACTGTCAGTGAACACCACGTTTGAAGTCAGGTACACTTCTCTCCAGAGACCATTCCTGGCTCATATGTCTATAAACTACATAACACTTGTCCCTCTCCATGGCTCAGGCAGGGTTTACTCTGGTAGCTTCTCAGTGTTGAGAATAGAAGCCTGCTCTTTGTCACGCTGCAAGCCTCCTGGTAGGTGGGTGTGAGCTTACCCAGTGAACCATTATCCAGCCTGGTGAATGAGTGGGTGTGCAGTTCTTCACGAACTTGTTAGTAGTGGGAACTACTTTGTGTCTCCTTGTTACTAGAGGGTACTATTATCGTGAAGCTCGTGAAGTTTAGATTTGTGTATAGTAAGAAGAAGAAAACTCAAAAATTAGACTACAAATTTTCTCTTGATGACTATATAGGGATTCTAGAATCTCTCACTCCTCCAAAGCATCACCGTAGACCTATTGAAGTTGTATAAAATTTCTCATTAGCCAACTCACAGAGAATTTCAGCTAATAGAATATCAGAGGTGGTTTTCCCTCATTTTCACGTTCATGCACAAGATTTTTACAATTCCAGGTAGGAAAACTATACTCAGAACTAAGTTTTTGAAATGAAACTTTATCTGAAAACTGACTATGGTTTATGTAAGAATTCGACTTCCGAAGGTCACAGTTATGGAACAGGTTAAGACCATGGGTCTTGGAATTGGCCATACCTGGTTCAGATCAGAGCTCAGTTGTCTACCCACTGTGTGACCCTGAGCAGGTGACTCACCACCCTGAGCCTGTGTTCCCTCACCTGTTTTCCAGCCCCTCAACATTGCCTACAGCCACATCTACAGCTCCTACAGGAACTTCGTGGGGCCCCCGCACTTCAAGACCATCTGCAGACTGCTGGGTTACCAGGGCATTGCCGTGGTCATGGAGGAGCTGCTGAAGATCGTCAAGAGCTTGGTGAGTAAGGCTTGGGATGTGCCCGAGCTGGATTGACTTGAATAAGTTTGGCTCTTTTGGCCTGTGAAAGCACATCCCAGCTCTGCCTCTATAAATCACACAGGGAGTCCATTCCTGTATCCCTCGATTGTCCATAACCATCCTTCTGCTACGTTGCTGTGTACCCTTTGAGCTGTGGCTTTGTCGCCCTTTTCTGGACCCTGACTTATTTTTGATGAGTGAACTCAGCAATCCTGATTTTGACCTTCAACACCTGTTGCTGACTCCTCATGCTCTTCACTTGTGCTGCATTATCTAATTTGAGCATGGCAAATCCATGACACATGTGCTGCCATCGTCCATGCCCATACCCATGGCAGACATCTCTAATCAATCACCACACTCCTTCCCCTTGGGAGTTCTTGCTAAATCACTACCACCTGTACTGCAATACGTCAAGGGAGTTCTCTGTCCCTGTACCACCATGGTGTATCTGCCCAAAGCATGCTCAACTGAACCTTCATTTAATTCACTCCAAGACTGCTGAAGCAAAGCCAGAACCTTTCAACAAGACTTTCTTGAAAATTCCAGATGACAAAAGAGAAATAAACAAGGTAGTGTCTAACCAAGGCAGAGGAATAGCAAATAGAATTCATCCACAAACTCTGGTTCTTTGGCAGCAGCTATGTGGAGCCATGGATCATTAAGGATTATGAAGCTAAATCCAGATTTAAAAGGGAAAACATGATAATTGATTAAAGGTGTCTGCTGTGGATGTAGGAGGAATGAATGTGCCATGCATTTTCCATGCTTAAATTACATAATGTCTCTAAATTCCCAGGGATCCTGGCCCTATTTCCTTTGAGCTCTTAGTCTGTATCTCACATAAGCATCCGCAACCCCAGGAAGGACCCCATGCCTAGAAATGTGCGGCTCTTGAAGTGTGTAAGTCTGGGAGAGTAGTGAGAGCTGCCCTTTCTGTCCTCGGAGGCCCGTTTTCCCTGGTAAAGATCAGTGGGACTGTCCCCCGCCTTCCCTGCTCCCTCCTTGCAGGGGGCAGGGCTGTACTGGGATGTTTCAGCAGAGCCTGCATACCCCTGCCCTGGCATCCTGGAGACGCTGGCTGTGTACTGCAACAATGTTTCCCTTGCTCATCACTATTCTTCCTTTGGCAGCTCCAAGGGACCATCCTCCAGTATGTGAAAACTCTGATAGAGGTGATGCCCAAGATATGCCGCTTGCCCCGGCACGAGTACGGCTCTCCAGGTGGGTGATAGGAACGTAGTCCACCTGCACCCGTGGAGGGGAGGGGAGCTCTGGCCACACAACCTGGAATATTTGCCTCTCACCAGGCAGTGAGGAAGGAGAGCACTGGCTCTGCATCCCACCCCTGGCCAGATAACCTGGAACCCTTTGCAGTTCCTCTAAGCAAGACCATCTCCCATGCCCGCCTCCCAGGACTGCAGCCCATGTGATGGACGCACTGGAAGATGGACTTGCTGGAGTCTGCATTAGCTTGTCTCAGAGTGCTTTCCTGCATTTGCTCAGTTAGACACAGTTGTCCCAGGCCACTGTGCCAAGTAAGCTAAGGTGACTGAGCAAAAAGGCAGTCAGAAAATGTGTTTTTCCAAAAAAGCAAGATGTCAGGTGCTGGCTCGGTATGATAGGAAGGAGATGAGGCAGAAAGCTCTGTTACTGAATCCTAGCTGCCCACTCATGAGCTGTGTGACTATGGGCATGCCACTTACCCTCTCTGAGCCCCACGTGAAAACAGGCATAGTAGCATCTAGTTTGTGGATTGAGTCGGATATTGCAGGGCAGTTGTTTAGCAAGCATCCACTGCCTTTAAATAGACACTAATTCAGATTTTTAGAAGGACTGAGGGAGGTCCACAGATGTGGTGGGTGCAGTGTGGTTTTGTTTGATCAAAGCCCTGAGCCAGCCTCCTGAGCTTTTTCCAGCACTGGCCCTTACAGAGAGGGCTGCGCGGCTTGGTTCTCGCCATCCCAGAGTCAGGTCTGGGGCTGCTGCTCCGTCAGCACGTCCCATAAACCCTAGCGGGTGGGCAGTGTTCGGCTGCGCTGGACCATCCCCTTCCTCTCGCAGGGATCCTGGAGTTCTTCCACCACCAGCTGAAGGACATCATTGAGTATGCAGAGCTGAAAACAGACGTGTTCCAGAGCCTGAGGGAAGTGGGCAACGCCATCCTGTTCTGCCTCCTCATAGAACAGGCGCTGGTGAGTCCTGAGCCCGGTGCCAGCGGGGGTCTCCACGCTGGGTGTGCGCCCGCCCCTGCATTTGGTGCTAAGGCCCTGAGGCCTGGGAGTGTGCTCTCCCGTCCCCTCTTTCCCAGCCCTCTGGCCGTGGAGTCAGACGGCCTGGATTCCAGTCCTGCACCGCACTCACTAGCTGTACTAGGCCTGAGTGCAGTCATCCGCCTTTTCACGCAGTGAACATCACCACTGATTGGCTACCACAGGTAGCGCATGGTACTAGGAGGGGTTGCAGCAGCCAGGCCCCGCCTCGCGCCCTGTGCATCTTGACACAGAACTGATGTGTTTGCCACGACAGTATGTGTTATGGGGGATGAGAGCGGAGCCTGAAGCAGCAGCTGGCGTGTTCTTGACAGGGAAGGTGGGCTTCCTGGAGCAGGTGGCCTGGAGTAGCTGTTGCAGACTGAGGGAAAGGCCTGCCATGTCTCTTGTGATGGGAGATTTTTTTTTTTTTTTTGACAGGCAGAGTTAGAGAGAAAGGTCTTCCTTCCATTGGTTCACCCCCCAAATGACCGCTATGGCCGGGCGGTGGGGGGGCTGCAGACTTCTTCACAGGCCCTGGGAAGCAGGGAGGGAAACCAGCTGGCCAGGGAGCAAGGCTGGCTGCAGGCCAGGGCTCAGCCTGGGGCATAGGTCTGAGGAGCAGAGAGAGAAAGGAGATGGACCGAAGGCAGAGAGATGGAAGTGACAACAGGGACACGCAGAGATTCTTCTCCTCCAGCTGGCTGTGGGCCCTGGGTGGAGCCAGTGTGTCAGGTGCAGAACTGGAACCAACCCTTGTCTGCCCGAGAGGCGCTGAAGCGGAGTGGGGGTTTCCCATTCTTTGTTAGGAGTCACTGGCTCTCTCTGTAGGGTGTCAGGTTTCTAAGGCTACTCGGTGGGCCTGGGTTGCCATAGCAACGCAACCTGTAGAAGTCATGTGGACAAGCAGTAAACAAGGTCTCAGGTGTGGAGGTAGTGACAGCTGGAAGCCTCAGTGACACAGCTCCCCTTCGCGCCCCCTGCCTGCTGATTCATACCCCAGGTGGCCACAACTCCAGAGCTGCACCACTAGGAGCTTCTTCCAGGTCTCCCAAGTGGGTGCAGGGCCTAAGGACTTGGGCCATCTTCTGCTGCTTTCTCAGGCCATAGCAGAGAGCTGGATCGGAAGTGGAGCAGCCAGGACTCAAACTGGCACCCATATGGGATGCTGGCGTGGCAGGGAGAGGTTTAACCTACTATACCATAGCACAGGCCGCTTGTTTTAAAATAGAAGCTATGCTAGCTTTAGAAAAACTAGGAACAAAAACTAGCAAAGGGGAAAGCAGGAATTCTTTTGTATGTTTTTCTTTCATACTCTTTGATAGATCTGCAGAGCTTTTATCATAGGTTCCGAGTTCATGGACTCATGTGCTAGAAATACCTTCTCTTCCTGTTGTTTGAGTTTTTAAAGCAGATGAGTAATAAATCTTAATATCTTTGTCCATGACCAGTCTTTTCAGTGGATGTAATCTTTAAGTACTGACATTATTTCTTAAAATTCAAGGTGCGATATTAGTATGGAAACCCATGTGCTTGTGGGGTTATGTTTCTGGGTGTTTGTATGTGTGTAAGCTTATTTAAGGTACAAAATACACAGTCAGATGCATAAACCCTCAGTATACAGCCTGATCAAGACACCCACACATGTAACCCCCACCTAGGGTCTAGATACTTTCAGTTGCTTTCTGCATGCCACCTTCAGGACCTCAACAGAAACCGTGACTGACTTCTGTGATCACAGGTTAGCTTTGCTTGTTTCTGCACACTGTATAGGTTAAATTTTCCTCTGTGGCTGTGTCCCTTGTGTTAGGGATGGTTCCTTTTCCATTGCTGTATAGTATTCCTTATTGTATGAACACACTAACTGAATCATCCGTTTGCATTATCCATTTCTTATTTGTAGGCATTATTAATGTATTAGCTAACATATATTACCAATATTACTATGGCTTATCTTTTGAAAAGTGAACGTTTTTAGGGTTTAGTGTTTGTTTATTTTGCGCTGTGGTTGCTGCTCTTGTGAATTGTTGAGAAAAATCTAAAAAGTTAAGGCTAACCAGAACTGTAAGTCTATTGTTCATCTTGAATTCAGGCTTGTGTGTAATTTATTTCTTCCCAAATTGTCTCAGCCCTGTTAACTTAAAAGACCATCTCCTTCTGCATCTGCAATGTTAGGGGTGTGGTCAGTTGTTTATAAAGTGCCCATAAATGTTTAAAAAATTACTAATAGAATTTCCTTTAACATTTATTTATTTATTTGAAAGAGTTACAGAGAGAGAGGAGAGGCAGAGAGAGCGAGCGAGGCGGCGGCGGCGGGGTGGGGGTGGGGGGTCTTCCATCCACTGATTCACTCCCCAAATGACCACAACAGCCAGAGCTGCACCAATCCTAGTCAGGAGCCAAGAGCTTCTTCCAGGTCTCCTAAATGGGTGCAGGGGCCCAAGGATTTGGGCCATCTTCTGCTGCTTTCCCAGGCCATAGCAAAGAGCTGGATCAGACGTGGAGTAGCCAGGACTCGAACTGGCACCCATATGGGATGCCAGCATTGCAGGTGGTGGCCTTACCTGCTATGCCACAGTACCGGCCCCTCTATTAGTAATTTTCCAGTGTTTCTTCCAGTATCTTCTACCCAAGAAGCCGTAAGGGGGTCCTGGTCAAAATATGTTTTGTTTTCTAGCTATCAGTCCACTCTGTGTTAGTGCAGCACTCGCCACCAGGGGTCTCTGTCTGCACATGTGAGCCATGGAAGGCATTCCTGCGAAGGAGACAGCCCTTCTGTCTGCCTTTTACTGTAGGGTCCCACGCCCCGGACTTCAGTGTTCTCTGTCTCTGTCCTCGTTATTTCTTCTCGCCTCCTCAAAGTGCAGGATGTGAGGAAGGTGGAGCTGAGCTCGGATTCCAATGTCATTCAATTCAGGAAAAGCCCTCAGAGGGAATTAAGGGAGGCATCCCAGCCTCAGCAGCGCTGACATTGCGATTGGAGGGGGTGGCCTCTGGCCAGGGGAGCAGAGCAGGCTTTCTGGGCTGTACTCACTCAGGTTAGGATCAGGGGACTCGCTCGTTGCCAGTAGCATCCTCGGTCATGAAAACTGACAATGTCTCTGATTGCCAGATCTGTCTTTGGAGGGGAAAAATCGTTCCCCAGTGAGAATCACTGTCCCGTGCAACCCTCCATTTGTAGATGGGAAAACTCGCATCCTCAGGACTACAGCTCGGGCAGGAAGTAGGGTACGAAGCAGACCTGTTAGCCCATGCAGGCACACAGAGAACCCTGGTGTGTGTGTGTTTTTTTTTTAATAGTTCCAACCCCACGTCTCTGACCCTCTGCCCCCAGCTTCCACTTTCTAAGTCTCTTCTCTAATTTTGTTTTCATTATGAAACAACTGAAATAATAAATTCACTGACAGAAAACTCAGAGAAGCAAGCACAGAGAAAAACAAAAACCACATTGTCACCCTAGGATCACCACTGTGTGCATTCCCAAGGATATTCCTCCAGATATGTCTGGGTCCAGTACAGTAATATGGATTTTTCTCATATGACACTGCTTGTAATACTCGGCAAGCTGGAAGGTGGGATGGGGTCAGGGGAGAAGGGTCTTTCCCTTTTTACTTCACATTCTAAATTATTGTCTGGCTTTATTGCCATAAACATTTGTTAATTTTGTCCTTAAAAGGAAATCCTTGCACAGGGAAGGTACTCAGTCCTAGGGCAAGGAAAGTAAAAGGTCAAAAGGCCACTTTGGACAGCTCATCTCAGACCCTCATGCCATGCCCCCGCCCCCCCCCCCACCCCCGCCCCCGCCCCTGCCCAGCCCCGCCCCTGCACTTGATGGAGTTATTTTGCTGTCACTCCAGTGCAGGCTCCTCTCGAAGCACATTCTGTCCACGTGCCTCTGGGCCTTTCTGAGTGTTTCTTCCTGCCCTGGCCGAGCTCTGTACTATGGGAGTTTCTTGGCTTTCACAGATACCCTTCCTTTGCATGGCTTCACAGTGTTTCAGCATATTTGCATGTGGACAGACGCGGCCTCAGCTGGCAGACACAGATGCTAGGGCAGGAACATATTGGGACCTGGCAGTAAGAGGTACGGTCAGCGGTTCCATGCTCAGGCCAGGCAGTAGAGGGGTGAGGGGGTGCCAACCCAGGAAGTTGCATGCATCCCCTGCCTGGTGGTGCTGCTCCCTGTCTACCCCCTCAGTTGTCCCCATGGAGGAGGAGTCCTCCCGGGCTGGGCAAGTTGGTCTCTAGAAACATAAGAAATTAAGCCCTACTCCTTCTGAGCATGTCACTTGGCCATGACAGCTATAGAGAGCTGATAAAGTAACTATGTCAGTGCAGTATTTGCTCAGAATTGTAGGATGACAGTTTGTGGTTAAAAAAAATGGAGACCACCAGTCTAGCTATACAACAGTGGAGTGAGAGGGGTCATAAAACAAGACTCTGTGGGAACAGAAGTGGAGGTGGGAGCAAAGATTTCTCTGGTAAGGTCACCATTGTCTCTGTGGCACCTAACACAGGGCTCAGAAACTGGCCTGAGTCAACAAGGGCAGAGACATTTCTGCTTGGGCCTAGTTGATTAATAGAAATGTACCTGTTTGTCTTCTGAAATCTTCAAAATTAGACTATTTATTCACCTTCATCCAAAGCCAGCTCAGTCTTGGCTTATTTCATTGGCTGTTCCAGCAGCCTCCAAGAACGCAGAGCCTGGGTTTTCTAATCCCCCTGCTGATGACTTGTGTTTGAGGAGGCCCTGGTGGGCCGAGCGCGCACAGCGGAAGCTGGGCCTGGGCCTGCTGTCCTGAGCAGTAGTGTACCATGGACGCCTGCAAAGAGTAGGGCAGCCCGATGTGGTGAGCGAGCCCAGCTGGGGCTGCTCAGGAAAACCACTAGAAATCCACCCCAAGGAAAACAAAATCTTCAGGAGTCCACCCAGATATTTTAAAACCTCTGCACTCGATTCTAAGGAACAGCCTGAGTCAAGACCCCTGATCTAGAACCAGTCAGCTTTGACCACTGTGCGCTGATGCTTGGCTGTCACTACTGTTCCCATTATTTGCATCTTTTTATTTAAATCAATTTACTTTTTAACTTAGGCTTATTTTAAAAGGAAACTACCACTTTTATTGAAAAAAAAAAATCTCCTGCCATTATTAGAAATCAACCAGAATAGTAAGTGCAATTAAAAAAAAAAAGGCAAAGTAATGTAATTCCAGCTACTGCCTGCCCAGGCCTCTGACCTTGGGTCTACTCCCTCTCTCTGTTCAAGAGTAGCAAATGTTACCTTGCACTGATGCTAGATGGAAACTTTCTAATTAAGGTTTTCAGAAAAGCTGATAGGGAATGGAGAAGGAAGCTTTGTTACTGCTAGCCCACTGTAATTAAGCAGCATTTCCCCGACCCCAGGTTCCCACTTTAGGAAACACTGCATGCCCTTAGGGAGAAGGGGAAGCCCCTCTGCTGGCCAGTGTCTTGACTGTAGACCTAAGCTGAACAGACATGGCTCTGATCCAGAATTCTATCTTTGACAATGCAGGGGACAGGGGATGTGGTGGAGGGGACACACAGTAATACACAGCATTATTCAAGTGAGGTCTAGACTTGTGGCAAGACCACATGTACACCCCCACAGAGTCAGTTAAGATGCAGTTACTGGGGGGGCCGGCGCCGTGGCTCACTTGGTTAATCCTCCACCTGTGGCGCCGGCATCCCATATGGGCACTGGGTTCTAGTCCTGGTTGCTCCTCTTCCAGTCCAGCTCTCTGCTGTGGCCCGGGAGTGCAGTGGAGGATGGCCCAGATGCTTGGGCCCTGCACCCGCATGGGAGACCAGGAGGAAGCACCTGGCTCCTGGCTTCAGATCTGCACAACACCGGCTGTAGCGGCCATTTGGGGAGTGAACCAATAGAAGGAAGACCTTTCTGTCTCTCTCTCTCACTGTATAACTCTGTCAAATAAAAAATATATATAAAAAAATAAAAAAGATTCAGTGACTGGTTTCCTTAGCCAGGGCTGCAGGGAGCTGCGAGGAGCTGGAGCTGACCTAGCTGATGGCAGGGATCTCCACTGCACCTGGAGTCCCAAGCAAGGCTGTGGAGGACAGGGCAAGCTTCATTGCCTCTTTTCCTTGGGGCCTCGCCTCAGGCGGCAGAAGACACTGCGCTCACAAGATGTGCTTCCATATAAGGGAATGTTTGGAACACTGGGCCCTGGGTGAGGCCCAGCCCCCGGCTCCCGCCCACCAGGAGACCCGAGTGGGGATCCTTGTTAGGCTTCTTGACCTCCAGCTCTTTTCTGTTTCTTGACAGTCACAAATGTGGTATTTAGTGCTACTGATCATTTTCTTGCCTAAAAAACATCCGAACAAAGCTGCCGATGAGAATACTGTTGTGAGGCTGGTTTGATGATTTCCTTTAGGAAATCAAGTAAGAATTGTAGTTGTGCACCCAGAAACAGAACCCAAAGGTAGAGTCTGATGCCATTCTACATAAATCTGACATCCTCAGGGCCACTTTGAATCTTGGGAAGCCAGGATCCTCTAGTGAAGAGAAATAAGTCCGCTGTTATTCTCACAGGTTAAGCGAGGTGGGAATGCTTGAGGGTTTTGCTGTTGATCGGAAATCCTTCCTGGTGCCTCAGTTTTAAACTAAATATAAACTGAAAGGAAAAATTTAAGACTGAAAGCCAAGCAAAATTACTAATAATCCCTTAAGGAATTTTGACTTTGTTTCCTTACAATAAATGCCTTCACATCCTGACTCTAAGAACCTTTTCACTTGTATTTGCTGTTGACAAAGAGAACAGTCTTAGAGTGGACCTTGGTTCTTATTGGTCAGGTAATGATTACATCTCTCAGGATCACAAGGTAAGCACTAGCATAATACTTGGTACAGGCAAAAGTCACACAGTAGCCAATTTGTTCTCCCTAACCCCTCCCAGGAGCTGTCAACAGGTGGCAATTCCCTAATGCTGGAACTATTAAAGTTTCTTTCTTTCTTTCTTTCTTTCTTTTTTTTTTTTTTTTTGTAGAGCAATTTGCATGTTATTCACACTTTTGAAAATCTTCATGGTTAGATCCTAGTTTTTAAGAATAAAAGATGGCCGGCACCACAGCTCATGAGGCTAATCCTCCGCCTGTGGTGCCGGCACCCCGGGTTCTAGTCCCGGTCCGGGCGCCAGATTCTGTCCCGGTTGCCCCTCTTCCAGGCCAGCTCTCTGCTGTGGCCCGGGAGTGCAGTGGAGGATGGCCCAAGTACTTGGGCCCTGCACCCACATGGGAGACCAGGAGAAGCACCTGGCTCCTGCCATCGGATCAGCGCGGTGCACCGGCCGCGGCAGCCATTGGAGGGTGAACCAACGGCAAAGGAAAACCTTTCTCTCTCTCTCACTGTCCACTCTGCCTGTCAAAAAAAAAAAAAAAAAAAAAGAATAAAAGAAACATTGAAGTAACAACTGAGGAAATCTTAGTCTGTTTTGCGTTTTATATGAAGAACTTTTCAGATGTAGATGGTCACAGCAGTTAGGTTGCCTAGGAAGATGCCCTTGGGAGGAGTTGTATGCCTGGGTGTTTAGGGCTGAAGTGAGTCAGTGTCTTCAGCTTACTTTGAAATGATTCAGTAAAAATAGATGTGGTACAGCAAATATGACAATATATTCATTGTAACTCTACATAGAATGTATAAGGATAGGCATTGTTCTTTCCAATATGTTTAGAATTTTTCATCATACATAGTTGAAGAGGAGGAAACCTCATCAGAGAGTCAAAAAGTCAAGAAAAAAAAGACGCCACTAAGCCAACAAGATCATGATGAATAAAGAAGAGCCATGCAAGTTTTTGTTTTTTCTAACTACTTGTACTCTTTGCTAAAATGTATTCATAGTAACAGATGCCCAGAGCTACTTCTGACCACATTTTTTTTTTACAGGCACAGTTAGACAGAGAGAGAGAGACAGAGAGAAAGGTTCTCTTTCCGTTGGTTCACTCCCCAAATGGCCGCTACAGCGGGTGTTGTGCCAATCCGAAGCCAGGAGCCAGGTGCTTCTCCTGGTCTCCCATGGGGTGCAGGGCCCAAGCACTTGGGCCACCCTCCGCTGCACTCCCTGGCCACAGCAGAGAGCTGGCCTGAAAGAGGAGCAACCGGGACAGAATCCGGTGTCCCAACCGGGACTAGAACCCGGGGTGCCGGTGCCTCAGGCAGAGGATTAGCCTAGTGAGCTGCGGCACCAGCCTGACCACATTTTTAAAACTGACGCAGGCAGCTGCTAGCACTGAGCGCAGTCATGACACACTGACCAGTTAGCCAACTTACCCCGGGACATATCAGCTTCGACCCATAGAAAGGCTGATGAAGCCAGGGACACAGACCCCTTGCAGTTGGAAAGGGACCTGTGAGTGGCCCTTGGAGAACATTGCCATGGCCACGGTGGCAGGTCTTGCCCTCTCTTCCCGGAATCCTGCAGGGAAAAACAACAATGCCTTCTTCCTCTAACTCAATTTTGAAATAACATTTCAATTTAGGACAAACAGCTCAAATTTAACTTCTTTGATGGTCACTGCTAAGGGTGTAATTTACTAGATGATAAAGCGTTAGGGGACAATAGCCATTTTCAGCTTGTAGCACCAAGAGGATCTTGGTACAATTATATATCACATCCTGTAACTCAGTTTATAATTGACAAATGCATTCTCATTGTACCTAAAATTCAAACTCCCAACTTTGACCTACAAAGCCTAGAAGATTCAGCCATGCCTGCTCCACCCACCTCATTTCCTATGACCACTCACTCCTCAGCTGCACTGTTCAACCATGGGGCAAGCTTTGGAGGTGAAGTTGTAGATAAAGGAACAGAGGAATGCTGCAGAACTGCATCAGGGCATGGCTGAACCTCGATGTCCTTGGCCCGTACCCAAATGCTTCTCGACATTTAGCACCTTGGTATTAGAATTTAAGGGGCACCATTAGGGACTCCCCTCTCCCACTCTAACCCGCAAGCAAAAGGACTTCCTTCACTTTCTAGCACAGTCAACGTCTTCTGAAGACTCACCAAATGCAAAGGCTGCTAAGACGAACTGGGACAAAAGGATCGCTGTTTCTGTAGTGGGCATTCATTCACCAGGTGATTTGAGGAGGGGAATAGTCACTGAGGACAGGATTTGGGGAACTGCAAACAGCCTCCAAAAAAAAAAAAAAAAAGGAAAAGAAAAGAACATGTAAATAGTAAAGGTAATGATATTATATGCTAAGTGACAGATTACAGAAAAGTAGATATATGATGTCCTATTATTTTATAGTATCTACTTAAATAGTAAGTGCATAGAAACTGGCTGAATAAACCTTAGAAGTTTAACAATGATGACCTCTAAGTGGTAAAACTATAAATTATTGTTATTCAACTTTTTTTTTTTTGAAAGGCAGAGAGACAGAGATCTTTTATCCCCAAATTCCCATAGCCACCAAGGCTGGGACAGGCCAAAGCCAGGAGCCAGGCACTGCATCCAGGCCTCCCACAGGGGTGGCAGGGACTGAAGTATGGAAGCCATCATTTGCCGCCTCCCAGGACGTGCAGTAACGGGAAACTGGATGGGGTGCGGAGTCAGGACTGGGTCCCAGGTGCTCCACTATGGGATGCAGGTGTCCAAAGCAGCAGCTTAACCTGCTGACCACAGTGCCCACCCTATTTTCAAAAATGAACGTAAAGACTTAGCCAAGTCAAGAAAAGGAAGTAGAGTAGCAGTTTAAAAACATGGATGCTGCTGTGGGCCTTTGGCCTCTCAAGGAACATGCCAATTAAGATGCCCGAGTTCCACATCAGAGTACTTGAGTTTGAATCCCAGCTCTGGCTCCTGACTCCAGCTTCCTGCTGATGCAAATCCTGAGAGCAAGGGTTATGCATAAAGCAGTTGGGTTTCTGCCACCCACGCGGAAAACCTGAATTGAGCTCCCAGTTTTGCCCTGGCCCCAGGCTGGAGTGTGGCAGGCATTGGAGTAGTGAAGCAGGAAATGGGAGCTCTCCCTTTAGGTCTCTGCCTATCAATTAAAATAATATGTATAAAACTTTAATAAACACACACACATTCTCTCATATAAAGTTTTTCAGAGGACAGCATTTGCCTGGAGGCTAACTTACATCGTTGGTGCCTTTCCAAAGGAAAACAACCCATGTCAAATCAGAGCAGCGAGAATATTGTTGTTGGCTCTTGAACATCAAGGGTAGTGAATCTGTAGCTCAAGTGCCACCGCCCCACTTCTAGCCCTGCGCAGTCAGTGGTGGTGGGACCTGCACATCCTGTCTGAAGACAAGCCCTGCCTCTGTGGGCACAGGTGCCTGGCACACACCTGGCCTTCTGGTACATCAGGAAGGCTTGTTACCTCCTTCTTCTAAAACATTATCCTAATATATTAATTTTCAAAACCAGAGTACATCCTCAAGCCAATGAGCAGGATGAATGCCCCAGGCTCTGACATCTGCAGCCTGGGTGGGGCCCACTGGGAGGTGGTTCCCCGGTGCAGTGCCCTGTCTCCTTACGGTAACTGTGGGTGACACTTTTTGTCCTCCCTGCTGGAGATAACCTTCTCCCCTGCTTCCCCAAAACAAGCACAAGCCCAAGCAGGATGGCTTCATTATCTCCCACTGAGAGTGCACTGCTCTGGGCTTGGTTCTGTATGGCTTCTGGGAGGCTACTGGTCTGCCATGTCTCCTTCCACTTGGCCAGATGCACAGTTCAGCACTGCCAAGTCACATGGGACCCTAACTGCATTCGTGTCACCAAGCCAGCTGTTTCTCAGGGCAGCATGGGAATACTATAGATCTGTGCTCCAATTAAATCCTAGACTTCATCGCGTTTCATTTCTGGACTATGACCTGCTGGTTTCACATCCTAATACTGAGTAAGGAACATGCTTAGATCCCCTTTGCTGTTGCTCTGGGTCCATAGCAGGTCCGCCTCTCCCCTCCCAGCTCCCAGCCTTTGGATTCTGAAGGAGATGTGTTCCACAGGCAGGATCTGTTGTGCTAACAGCCAGTAAGGGAAACTCAGAGTCTGGGGCCGACTGCCACCCATTAGGTTCTAATTAGCTACTTGGAGTTTTTTGGTTTTTGTGTTAAGATGTGTGCATTTTATTTGAAAGGCAGAGAGGATGAGACAAAGAGAGAGAACTCTTCGAGTCCCTGGTTCACTCTCCCAATCACTGCAATGGCTGGGGCTAGGCCCGGTGAAGCCAGGAGCCTGGAACTCCATCCAGGTCTCCCATATGGGTGTAGGGGCCTAAGTACTTGGGCCATCTTCTGCTGCTTTCCCAGGCTATTAGCAGGGAGCCATATGGTAAATGGAGGAGTCAGGACTCAAAACAGTGCCTATATGGGGTGGGGGCATCTTAGGCAGCTACATAACCTGCTGTGTCACAATGCCAGCCCCTACCACTTGGAGTTTTTAAAGCGGCAGTCACAACTTGTGACTTATTGGAGGCACAGGGGAATCCTTATGTCTCTGTCTCTGAAAAAGGTCTTTGTCCTACCCAGAAATGATGGTCCTGTTGGCCCAATGGCCACTTCTAGATGAGGCCCCACCTGGGTCAACGAGACAATCCTGATAGGCCATAGCTCCTGCTTCCCATCCATTTCTTCATTCAGTCAACAGTGTTATTGTTTACTTACACTCTGCCTGTATCCAAAGGAATGCCCAGTGCCTTCCAGTTAAAGAACTGGTATTCTGAAGACTAGAGACTACCGTATAGAATAAGGCAACAAGAGAATGGGGTAGGGGCCAATGCTGTAGAGTAGTAGGTTAAGCCTCTGTCTGATGCACCAGCATCCCATATGGGCACCAGTTCAAGACCCAGCTGCTCCACTTCCCATCCAGTTCTCTGCTGAAGGCCTGAGAAAGCAGTGGAAGATGGCCCAAGTGCTTGGGCCCCTGCACCCTTGTGGGAGATGTGTAAGAAGCTCCTGGTTACTGACTTTGGATGCATCTAGCTCCAGTCACTGAGACCATTTGAGCAGTGAACCAGTGGATGGAAGACCTCTTTCTCTCCCTCTCTCTGTGACTCCACCTCTCAAATAAATACCTATTAAAAAAAAAAAAAAAAAAGACTAGGGTAGGCAATAGGCGAATTCCATGAGGCAGGCTCCGCATGATTGCAAGTTGATTCCCAGTTCATCTGCTGGACCAGGCCTGTCTTTGAACAGAGACACCCTGATTCAAATCTTAGCTCTGTGCTTGGTAGCTCTGGGAACGTTACTCTGTCCTCTGAGCCTGCGTCCCCACACCTGACAATGGCTGGGGCTGAAGCTGTACTCCACAGAGTTCTTACTGTTAAAGGAGATGATGAAGTCAACTTGCCAGAGCCCAGCAAGCAGGTCCTCCATCACTGCAGGCCCCTTCCCTCCAACCAGGAGCCCCTGAACCTCTCCTGCGAGGACCCCAGGGACCAAGAGCCTGGCTCCCAACTGCCCACAGCCCTGCAGCCCACGACTCCGTGAGTCCTCACCACATCCCCATCGCTTTGGGACAATGCTTCTCTGGCAGCTCCAGACCCTGCCCGTCCTCTGCCACCCACCACACAGCCATCATCTCCTCGTCCCCCCTCCCACACCCACTGCTCCCTTATTCAGCTCCCACCTTATCAGATGCCTTGCTCTGTCCACAACTTGGTGCTGTCTCTCCCTCCTCCCAGTCATGGAGCGTGTATGGAGTCCTACCTGTTGTCATCTTTCCCATAGTGCCCAGGCCCCTCTCTGGCCCTGTGCTGCCCGTCATCCTTGTCACTGCCGCTGTGTTGCCCATCAGATCACAGAGCAAGCACTTGATACACAGGCACCCCGAATCAAGAGGAAAGTAGTAGCAGCAAGTGTCTAAGACTTTCGTCCCTCACCTGGCTTGAGAGGAGGCTCTTCACTCCCATTCGGATTTTGTGCCAGGATTTCCGTCTCCCCCTGACCTTGGCTGCTGCTTTGTGCCTTCTCTTGCCGTAGACTCAGCAGAGTTGAACTATCTGGAAGGGTCTGGTCTCGTTGACAATATCCACACACACGTAACACCCTCGTGTGTCCTTTCCCTTGGCACCGTGTCCATCCTCATCCTGACGGTTCAGATCTCAACACTGCAGCGGCCCAGACCTCAAGTCCAGTTGCATTTCGGAGTTTTCATCTGGGCTATGCACAGAAATGGACCTGGGCTCATGACGTCCTCTGACTCCATGAACAGATCTTGGCACGGGTGGCACTGTCATTTTCCTTTCTTAGCCCTGACTCCTGGCCCTGCTCGCTCTCTTTTTTAAAAATTTATTTGAAAGGCAGAGTGAAGGAGAGAGAGAGAAAGAGATCTTCCTTCTGCTGAATCACTCCCCAAATAGCTGCTATAGCCTAAGCTGGGCCAGGCCAAAGCCAAGAGCTTTTCCTGGGTTTCCCACACAGGTGCAGGAACCCAAGCACTTGGACCATCTTCTGCTGCTTTCCCAAGCCATTAGCAGGGAGCTGGATCCAAAGTGGAGCAGCTGAGACTCAAACCAGTGCCCAATATGGGATGCCGGCACCACAGGAGGAAGCTTAACCTTCTACGCTACAGAGCTGGTCCCAACCCTGATCTCTCTTGCACAGACCAGTCTAATACCCCTTTTGCCTTACCCCCATTTTTCCCTCCCTTGCAGCCAGAAGCTCAAACTGCAGATCTGATTGTGCCGTTTCCTAATTAAAATCATCCAGTTAGCATCCAGACATGTAAGCGATACTTACAAGATTCTTCCTACACTGCCTCCTGCTTCCACTGTGCCCTCATCTCCTACCTGTTTCCCCAAGTGCTGAAAGCTTCAGTCTGCTCCACCCTCAGCCCCTGTGCCACTGTAGTGGCTTTCACTTGGGGCCCTCTGCAGGTCTGTCCCCAGCACTTAGCCCCCGGTTCAGGTCTATGCATTTCCTTCTCCACGCCACCTTCCCTGCCATCGTCCTCAAAAATCCGGACTGGGTGCCCCTCTGGAATGTCCCCATAGCCCTCATGCATCCCCTTGCACTTAGAAGAGTCGCTCATTTGCTTGTTTTCTTCATTTCGGGGAGGACCGTGCCCCAGGACTGCCTCCCTACTGTTATATCTCCAGCACCCTGCAGACAGACTCGGCTGTAGCAGATGCCTGCTATCTGTTGTTTGAATGAATAAATGACTTCGTTAGTCAATACTGAGGCTCTATCCTAGTCAGAATTAATGTGTACATGATGCACTACCCCCGTGTTTAATCTCTAGCTCACATTATACCCACATTCTCTACCGTTCTCACTGGCCTCTCATATCACATAAGATGCAGGTCCTACCGTGGGTGGGCCCTCCGGGATGACACCGCATCAGTCAGTTTTTGCATGAGATGTGGGTCGCTGTGCTGGCCCTCCATCAGACATGGACTTCAGAACCCTGGCCTGGGGCAAGAGTGGACAACTCCATCAGCCAACAGCTTGGGGGTGAGAGGAGGAGGCCTGAATGAGTAAGGGCTGTGATCAGTTTTTTGCAAACAAAAGGCACTGTGGGCTGGTGGGGTCTGGAAAACTCCTGGAACTTGACTGTGGTTTTGTAGGACAGACAGGAGTGGGTAGAGAACTCTTGTTGGTGAGAATCCGGGAAGGAGGACTTCGGGTGTAAACTGAGCCCATGTATGGTACAGTACAGGCTTTGGGGTCACGTCAGCAGATCTATGACAGTTGTTTATCAAGAAATCATTTACTCACACTCAAGATAGAGGCGACTCTGGGAAGTGAGGGGAGAGATGTCAGCAGTTTCCTGTTTCTTTGACTAGGAAGGGGATGTGACTCTTTTCATTCTTCAAAGTATGTATTATGTCACAGCCTTTTAATTGTAAAGAATGTTTAGCTGCTGTGACCAAACCTTACTCCCTCACCCCCAAAAAATCAACAAATGACAATCCTATGAGTCAGGCTAAAAATAGTTTCCCAAGTGGTCAGATTTGAAGTCATTTCCTCCTGTTTCTATTTTTGATCATTTTGCATTTTCTTCATACTGTTTATGTATGGTGGGGGGGGGGCAGTCTTTCAAGCTTCCTGTCTTGGTCCATTTTCTGTTGCTACAACTGACTACCTGAGACTGGCTAATTTATAAAGAAAATAAATACATTTCTTTTGGTTCTGGGAGCTGTGAAGTCCAAGTTAAGGGGTTGAATCTGGGAAAGACCCTCGCACTGTCAGGGACCCTGCAAGGTCTGGAGGTGGCAGAGGGAATCCCATGGCAAGAGCTCATCCCACAGACAAAGCCACACTACACTGCCTTTCCGAACAGCCCCACTCGGGAGTCATCCCTTCACCTGGTACTGCATCGGTGGACTAGTGTGAGCATGAGGGCTCTGAAGGTCCCACCTCCGGATTCTACTAACATGACGTGAGGGTTGACGCTGCAAGATGCGTTTTGGTGGGGACAGTCAACCTCAGCACTTACCAAGGCTTTGGCTGCATGAGCGTCAGAGCGATGCAGTCCTAGGTCCCAGCGTCAGCTGTGTGGCCCTCATTAGGAAGCTTCACCTCACTGCGAGCCCTGGTGTCCTTGTCCCACGTGATAGGAACTCCACAGGAATGTTCTGAAGCACAAAGTAGACAGTGAGTACAGAGCACCAGGCACATAGTGAGTGCTTGGGGAATGCTCAGTCCCTGGAGAAGAGGGCAATTCTACTGTTCTAAGCTGTCAGTTCCAAGGAAAGACCCTCAGACACCATTCAATCCAGCCTCTTCATTTTGTTACATTTCAACTGCTCTTGTTTGCACATAGCAAATCAAATAATGCAAACAAGTTTAGGACACTCTGCTGCACCCCAGTCCTCAAGGCAGCCTATCTTTGTCATTTCTGTTCCCGGCTCTTCTACTTATCTGTGAGAGGATCACCTCTGCCTCATGATGAACAACTTGAGATGATCCCTACTGACCTCTTTGCAATGAGGAGATTTTAGTTCCTCTCCTCCCCTCCCCACCTCCCTCTACCCCTCTTGCTGTCAATATTTGAGTTACCTATTGTTTCTGTTGTTTCCCCCTGGTAATTGTAGGTAATATATTTCTACCTCTACTGCTTCTTTGAGTAGCATGATTTAGTATGTAACTCTTTTCCATGAAGGCCAAAAAAACCAAGGAAATAACACTGTTGGTACTTGCTTCCACCTCCTGTCTCCTGTTAGCCATATTTTTGTATCATCACAGATTTTTTATTTTGTGCCTTTCTGACTTGTCAAGTGTACCCTTAAAAACCAGAGCAAATTGTATTTGCATTTAGCCTATGCAAATATTGTTCTTTGCCAGACCAAGTAGCATGCTGGGATTTCATTTCCTTCCCTCTGATTCCAGCCACAAGACTCCAAAATCTCTTTAAAGTTAAGAATTACAGAGTGTCCCTAATCCCAAGATTTTCAGATTAGAGATGTTCAAAGGATGAAGTCTATAAAAATATTCAGATATGAAAAACTGAAATCTGAAACACCTGTGGTCCCAAGCATTTCATAAGGGATTCTCCACCTGTAGTTTCTTTTTAACCAAATTAATTTTGTAGAGTAAAGCATGTTCAATGGAGAAAATCAAGTAAACACATACAAGTAGAAAAATATGGGAAGGAACAGTGGTAAAGCAAATTTTTTAAAAAACTAAAAATCCCACAACATGAAGAATTTGTTAAAAATACTTCAAAGAAGTTTATTCAGAGTAATCAGTAGAAATAAAAATGCTTCCCTAACTGATAAAGAGAAACATCTGGCTCTTAAAAAAAAGATTATTTATAATTTATAAATCCCTTTTCCCAATTAGATGCATGCCACAACATTCAACTAAGCTCCACATAGGTGTTGAATGTGTATTGTGTAGCACACATTGTTCTCATTTATGGGAATAAAGTATGGTCAAAAGTAGACACTGTTCTTCACTTCATGGAGGTTAAATGCCAGTGGGGAGAGTCGATCTTCATCAAATAGTCGCATGTAGGAGTGCCTGGTACAGAGTTCATGTGCTAGAAAAGAAGAGAGCCTGCTTTTTGAAGTCATCTTACAGAGGAAGCCACGTCGGCAGAGAGTTACTGAGATCTCGAAGCAGAGGAGGAGCTTCCCAAGCAAAGTCACAGGGAAGAAGTGATGGACTAGGGAGCCGTCCAAAGGGAAAGTAAATATTCTTGGTGGCCACAAAAGGGCTCATTCGGTAACTGCGAAGCTCTTGTGGCTGGAGCCCAGTCAGGGACGTGAATGGGGAGGGGACTCCTGCTGGGTGAGCTTCACAGCCAAGTGAAGGGCCCCACCCAGCATCGAGTGTCTTGGTGGGTTCTGAGGCAGAGTGGGTGATCTAGTATGCAGCCGCTAAGATAAGGATTAGACAAGTGCAAGGGCGGCTGGCAGCCCAGTCTCCCACAATGGAAGCTTGTTTGCATTCCTCACAGGGGCCTTTGTGTGCTCAGAACTGGACATCTTTATCAGTTGCATGATCTCAGTTAATGAATGCCAAACAGATACCTGCCCCAAAAGGTGTTGCACAGTGTGGAGTGTCCTCATTATGCAAAGGGCCACATGGTTCATCCCCCAGGACCTTCCAGACAAATGCTTCCCCACCTCCCTTGGGGAAACATCCTCTCTTCCTCACCTTTGTCAGTTCCCAAGTAGAGGACATGCAGGGAGCCTGCCAGCAAAAAGCAGCCCATCCACCTCTGTTCTGGCAGTTTGCAGACTGCACTGGGGGCTTCCAGAGGGCAAGTGCAACACGGTTGTCTCAAAAAAGCAATCAGAAGTGGAAGCTCGTGGTGTACCATGAATAGAGCGGCATTTTCTGTGTGCGCCAAGGTGGCTCCAATCCATTTACCTGCTTAAAAAAATGTAAAGTTGAAAGTTCATGCATTGAGCCACCTTGTAGGAAGACGACATCCCTAGGAGCAACTGAAAGCCTTATAAAAAGACAAAGGAAGTTGGCAATGGGCTCTGTGTACCATGCTCTACTTGGAGCGACTTCAGTAGCTCCTCAGTACACTTAAAATAAAATCCAAACTCTGTACCATGCCTTCAAGGCCCCGCATGACCCATGCTGCATATCTTAAGAGTTTGATGCTATAGGTAGTATGATTCCATTCCTCACTATACTCCAAGCATATTCCTACCATAGGTCCTTTGTACTAGATGCCTTTACCCCCTATTTATATGGCTAGTTCCCTCTCTTCATTCCCTTCTCTGTTAAAATGTTACCCCCTTAAGATTTTTCTGAACTACCCTGAAGTAACCCTATCCCCACTTCCATTCACTCTCTAGCCTATTAACTCTGGGTTGATAACTGTCTGTTATTTTGTGGTTTATTTGTTTTTATTTGTCTATCAACTAGCATATAAATTCCATGAGGGCAAAGATGTAGTCTAACTTGTTCAGCATCATATCTACAAAGTGTCCAATAGTGCCTGGTGCTTAATAAGTACTTACTGAACTAACCAATGAGTACTTGCACATGTAATAGCAGAATTCTCAGACTTGGAGGACTGTTAGGTAGACAAATTCATTTATTTGTCCAAAAAAACATTTATAGGGTAACAAATATACACTCGTTAAATAAGCAATTACTTATAATAGGAACTATTCTATGCTAGGCAGTGGGGATCTGAGACCAAAATACAGACACTCTCCCCTCTCTTAGGAACTCATGGTGTTGTCGTCAGTGAAGAGAAACGGGCAATCAAGAGAATTAAGAGTCAACAGAACAGACTAAAGGGTCTTGGGAAGTGACCAAGAAAGGAGACTCACATCTTAGGCTTGAATGAGTGAGATGACTGTGCCGTTTTGTGAGCAAGGAAGTCCAAGTGACATAGGGAGAAGGCTTTAGAGGTGCTGAGCTGTGGTGTGTCCAGGTGGGGCAGCCTGTTTCAGAGTGCCTGTTTGAGTATCAGCTGCTCTGCTGCTTATCCCACTTTCTGCAGATATGCCTGGGAAGACATAAAAGATGGCCTAAGTACTTGGCCCCCCGCCATCCATGTGACAGACCAGGATGAATTTGTTTGGCTCCTGGCTTCAAGTTGGCCCAGCCCCAGCAGTTGCGGGCATTAGGGGAATGAACTAAAGAGTGGAAGACATTCACTGTCATTCATTCTTTCATTCTTTCTGCCTTCCAAATAGTATTTTTTTTTAATCGCAATATACATAAAAAGGATCACACAGAACCAGCAAGTGTGTTTTGTTTTATCGATACCAGGAGCACAAAGCTAGTTCATCATTCAAAAGTCAGTCAGTGCAACTCACCATATAAATATGAAGGAATAATCTGCATGATCTGAGCTTCAGGTTATGTGATAAGTCAAAGGATCTGAGCTTCGACACAGCAATGAAGACCAGGTTGTGTGATTCACAGGCGAGGAGAGGAACAGCTACACTAAGAAAGCTGCAGAGTTACCCCTCTGCCTGAGACACAGAATCACAAGCAGATCAGGAAGCCCCTCCCAGTCTCTGGGATCCTCATTTCACGACGGACCCACAGTTTGTTTTAAAGGCATCTGGAGCCCTGAGCAGCCAGCCTCCTGCACTCCCAGGACATCATTGTCCTTCTGTGCATGGCATGGTAGTAAGAAGCATGGTAGTAAGAAAATTCAGATTTTCTTAGATACTTAGAATCCCCAAGTGTGGGTTTTTGATGGAGCCTGGATCTTACCTTATTCAAATACTCTCAATGGAAAGGAGAGAAAGCAAGCCCCAGCAGAGTGTGGCTTCTGCAGGTCCCTTCCCTCCCCTTTGCTCTGAAAGCCATGATCGTGAGCTGGTCCCAGGGCAACAAGACCATTAGACTGTGTCTTCCATCTCGTCCTAACTAAACTTTCTCCTCCAACCACTGTAGTGCTTGCTGTTAAGTTTCACGTGTCACCTTCAAAACCTTCTGGCCTAGGTTCTAGTCCCTCCTCTCTTGCTAGTTGGTGTCTGATGTGGGAAACAACAGCCAGACACAGGCCTGTGAAGAATCAAACTGGATTAATTCAGGGGAGGATTGGTCCAGCTGCCGCCTGTGAGCCTGCAGGCATTATAGCCAACCACATTCTTCTGTTTGATTCCTGTTTTGTTCACTCCAATTCTTCAACAAATTCCTCCTAAAATTATACTAAGAATGCATTGAATTCTCATGCATGGGGGACTGTGTGATGAAGCTACAGATTCTCTCATCTCACCCTCACAGCAACCCACTGAAAGTACTGTTCTCATCCTCATTTTGCACATAGAGAGACTAAGTAATTTGCCTATGGTCAGATAGCTGATCAGTAGAAGAGTCAAGATTTGAACCCAGGTCTGGTCAATGCCCATGCTTAACTTTTATGCATGAAAATTCTTCATGGTTTAAAATGAAATCGGGTGTTCTCTTTCTTGCCCTCCGTCTCTGCAGTCCCAGGAGGAAGTCTGTGACCTGCTCCACGCTGCACCATTCCAAAACATCTTGCCCAGGGTCTACATCAAAGGTAAGAAACCACTTGGGTCCAGCTCAGGATCCAACTTGAACTTATGCTTCCAGTCGTATTTCCAATCAACTCAGATCTGCAGTCAACAAGGGAGAAGGCCTCAAGCTGTGACTGCAGATTGAGCCATCCAAGTCACAGAATTGGAAATGATACTCAGGCACTCTCCTTGTTCTTTTCATAATGGCTCCTAGTCTGTTGTGCTCTGGCTCCAGTTTAAATTCCTCCGGTGATGGAGAACTCACTACCTCACAAGGCAGATGCTTCCATTGGTGGACAGAGACCACAGAACATGCTTCTGCTTAGTAAGACTTAATCCTGCCTTCCAGAAGCAGAGCACAGCTCTGTACACTCCTTCCACGTGCTATACAGAGTCACCTCTAGGTCCCACGAGAGTTTCTTCTTACTACCTACCCAGTGTGCCTGCATCTCACTCCCTGCTCTGCTGCTCCTTTGCAGAGGGGGAGCGCCTGGAGGTCCGCATGAAGCGCCTGGAGGCCAAGTACGCCCCGCTTCACCTGGTGCCCCTGATCGAGCGGCTGGGGACCCCTCAGGTACCGACCTGCTTGCCCCAACCCTGAGGACCAAGAGTAACTGGACAGGGAGAGGGCTTCGTCCGACCCTTCTCCCCAGTGAGGGGGAGAGAGTGCCCAGTAGCACAAAGGCAGTGAGCGGGAATGGGGTTTTCTGACTGTCAGTCCTGGGCTCTGTCTTCCACAGCTGGATCATGTGTCCTGCTGAGAAAGGAAGTGGGAAGCTGTTCCAACAAGGAGCTGTTACAGCTGAGCCAGGTGTCAAGCATTCTGCTGTGGGTGGCATCTCTGCACATTAAGGCCCCACTCGCTCTGAGCCAGCTATCGCTCCTGCACACTGTGGCCAGACAAACTCTCTCAGGGATAGGAGAATCTGTGGTTATGGTGCTTGTTGAAGCAGAAGACTGGCAAGGCCCTGCAAGTCTGTCAGAGCAGTGACTAAATAAATTGTGGTACGATCATATTAGGGTGGAATACTCACATATGCATCATTCACGTAACACATAGTTAGAAAGAGGAGCACTTAGAGCTCACAGTATCGGTGTGGACAGATCTCCAGCACAGCATCGGGTGCATTTAAGCAGTGGTGCTACAGTTCCCATAGGATGATGGACGCTTTCTGCTTCTCTAAAAATATATACAACAGAACGATGTAAGTAGAACTTTTCCCAAAAATGCCTGGAATGATTCACACCTTCTGCATCATGGCGACCTGGGACAGATTGGGTAGGAAGTCAGAGAGGACTGTAGTGTTCTAACATCTTCAGAGGTCAATGAGCGTACGTGTTGATTCTGTAATCAAGATTAACGCATAAGACCCATGCCCCCGTGTTCTGAGCCCGGCCGAAGGACATACATGCTGAGCAAGGTGAGAGGTAGGCTCTGTGTTGGCACAGTGTGGGCCATGTTTCAGCACAGTGCAGAGCCACGTCTTAGGAAGTCAGCCCAGCAGGCCACTTGCCTGCCATCAGCCTCTTATTAACAACAGTGATTTACAGCTCGGTGGTCTTTGGGTTCTTTGACTCACAGCACAGAGACTGTAGATAATAGAGGGCATGCACATCTTCTTTTTTGGCCTTCAGAGGCCGAACAGAGGAGATCCTCTCAAATGATTTCCTTTTAGGGAGAAATCCCAAGCCGGCGACACATTCACGTGTCTGCGGGAGCACTGGTGTCATCCTGCAGGAATCCAGCCTCTTTTGCCCAGGGTCTGGCATGCGAGCATGTGTTTCCACTTAGAGGCCTTGAATTCCACCGTTTCCTTCTGATGGATAGCAATCCCAATCTGTCAAACGGTGAATGTTTAACAAACAAAAGCCTAGACGTTCTGGGAGGGAGGTACTGCCACTTTTAAGTCTCCCATCCTCCCAGGACTAGTCCAAAACTTAGCCATTGCATAGATGAGGGGAACATCAATGAAGCGCATCTGCACTAGCTGGGGTTCAGGGCACTCACTTAACACGCAGCTCGGGGCACAGCACCCCTGACCGGCTTTTAGATAGATGTTAGGGGAATGTTGCATTGTTTCCATTTGTTCCTGAGACAAACTGACGGGTCCTGTTTTCTTACCTAGCACTGTCCTGGAAAGAATACTCTAGGGATCAAAAGATAGGTGTCAGCGCTGTCCCAGCTGCGCCTCCAATTCTTACACAAATAGTGCCAGTCCTCGATTTCACCTCTGTGAAATGGCACGATAGCTGCCTTACTACCTTCGTTGTATTCCATCCTTTCTCGATTGTTAGGATGAACACACACAAGCATTCCCAGAAACCGAGGGCTGTGTAAAGAAGGAATGGTGAGACAGGAATCTCCTGCACAGGGTACAGCCCTACATGTAAGCCGAGTACCCTGGGCAGAAATTATTCCAGCATGGCTTCCAAATCTCTTCTCTCTTCCCTTCTTAATTCAGTAAGGAATGATAGCGAGAGGAGAAAAACCATCCCAGTAAGCGGAGTACAAAACAATTGAAAAAAATTATTGAACACACACACACCTGCCATATGTATCACCAACCCACAGAGTGAAGGTATTCACAATAAACCATCTGTAAGATACTCTTTCAGATCAGGAAGATGATAGACCTAGCAGAAGAAATGCACAAAATCAAACTGACAGCATGAAAAACACAATGCCAACAGAAAAGGTATTCAGCATTACCAGTAATCACGGACATGAAAATTTCTCAAATCAGGAACATTGTTTCATCTCAGGTTTGATCAGCACGTCTCTTGATGATAATAAGAGTCGACTGTTGATCTGAGTCCAAGCAATAGGCATCACACGGGCAGACATGGACAGAGGCCTGATGTTGCGTAGCCAAAGCCTTCAAAAATATTTATATTCTCAGAAATGTCTTGTTAAAGATTTATCCTAGCAAATTAATGAGGGATAGCTTCACGAAGTTTATGTAAAGGATGGCTGTTTTAGAATTGTGTATAATAGTGAAAATTGCCAACAGTTCCAAATAACCAGTACAAGCAGAGAGCTAAATAAATGATGGCCTAACAGCAGCCATCTTCTATAACCGTTAAAAATCGTGTTACTGAAAATATTTAAGGAAATGAACTTTTAATAAAATAGATTATATGATCCATATTTTCTTAAATATAGATGCACACACATATATCCATGTACACAAACAACTCACACATCAATATATTAAGAAAGTACATCTCACAGTAATGGGACTATGAGGGATTTTTATTTTCTTCCTTAAAACTTTAAAAAAAGTTTCCAAAACATTGCCCAGTGATCCTGTGTCCCTTTCATAGTTCACAGAACCAACTATAGGGTAACCACTGTTTCCAAGGAAAGAGCGTCAAGGCTGTTGGCCTGGCTCACTCCAAGTGCGGCTGCAGCTTTACAAACTCAGTTGCCAGTCCTTTCAGATCCATGTCTGGCATTGTCAGGCCCCGAGCACCGACGCAGGCTAACCAGACCACAGCAGTTCACTTACATACCAGTAACTCTGGCTTCAATGCCAAAGAGAGTATGTGTAACTTCCAGAACAAACTGGGGTCCTCTGCATACTGAGCTCCTGTGTACCCGGCACTGTGTACGAGTGAGCACTTGCAGGGGCCAACAGCACAGACTGAGAACAGAGTCAAGCACCCGAGTCTGGCAGCTGCGGCAACCTGAGGGGTCCCCTCTCCTCTCAGCCCCTCTGCCTATGGAATTGGCTCAAGTCACCCAGAGTCGGGGTTCCCTCTCCTTCGTGTTTAAGGCACACGCTAGCAATCTGTGCTTCTCCAGCTCATTTTCTGCATTTCTTCTGAAGGACAGTTGCCATGGCAACTACACTCCTGGCGAACACTCATACCAGGCTCCAGCATCAGTGTTACTGCTTTAGTGCCTCCAAGGATCATGCAGAAGCTGCTCTCTTTGTGGGCGAGGCCAGGCAGGCACTCCCAGCCCCCCTATAAAGTGGGCCCTCTGGGGAACCCCAGCCCCCGCCCAAGAAGCTGCTCCTAGCAGTGCTGTCTCAGCAACCAGCCCTCCATAGCTGTGTTCCCAGATTCCTGAGAGCCGCCCTTGACCTTAGATCTTAATATTTATCTTACTTTGCAGATGATTTGCGGGACTTTTGCGCTAGATATCGGTATTCAAAATGCATACAGTTGTGTGTTTGGATTGCCTGTCCGGGGCCGCTGATTATAGATATGCAGTAGCCAGGAGCCAGATTAAGTTACTGATAGAGAAGGTTTGTAGTTGTCCAAGGAGGGCCTCTAACTAAAGGAACTAATTCTGGAAGATCAGTGAGGAATTTTCAAAGATTCACATATGCTCACTGTAGCACATTCAGCTGTACTAACACACTTCATGAAAAAACTGAGAACCCCACTCAAGTCTCCAAGCCCATCAGCTCCCAAAACCAATACTGATCTTTCTGAACTGATCTCTACCTGTGCACTCCCCTCATCACATAGTCTTATTCATCTCTGGGACCATATGTTGAGGTTTTCAACAGAGTCATCCCTTTCGGCAACTTGCCCTATTTGCTTCACAGTTTACCTCATAGATCAACTCCCAGGAGTCAAATCCCTACTTTGTCACTCGCTGGCTAACTCTCCGAACCTGTTTGTGCATCTGTAGAATGGGTGCAATAATGAGACCTACACCCAATGGGGTAGAATGGAGTCAGGACTATCTGGGGCTTAGAACAGCACCTGGTGTATTACACACTCTTAGCCAGTGTGAACTAGCAGTAGAAATAGTATCATAGTACCAGTAGTACAAGCTGATGGCACTATCACCTCTGTCATTTTGCTGGCTAACCTAGCATTTCAGCATGTGGGTGCATCATAATGTTTTAATTGTTAACAAACTTCAGTTGGTACCTCTGGGTATGACTCATCACAGGTAAGACTTACCTGCAACTACACTCAGCTTAGCAAAGCCAGTGCCCGCTCTAGGCAAGGCATCGGCTCAGGTGAACGCATTCCCGGGACAGCCGGCTCAGCGTCGAGATCTCTGGCGAGAGGTGGCACAAGGGGTCTGAGATGTAGAGACGTGGATGGGAGGTTTCTGCACTTTTGTGTTCCCAGCAAATCGCCATCGCCCGAGAGGGGGACCTGCTGACCAAGGAGCGGCTGTGCTGCGGTCTGTCCATGTTCGAGGTCATCCTGACCCGCATCCGCAGCTACCTGCAGGACCCCATCTGGCGGGGTCCACCGCCCACCAACGGCGTCATGCACGTAGACGAGTGTGTCGAGTTCCACCGGCTCTGGAGTGCCATGCAGTTCGTCTACTGCATCCCTGTGGGGACCAATGAGTTCACAGCAGAGTAAGTTCCCCAGGGAAGGGGGCCACCAGCCAGCCTGTGTATACACCCAAGGGTGGCTGGGATGCCACAGTCCCAGAAGGGTGGGCCAGGGTAGCGCTGGGCACCAGCTGTTGATGGAGTTGCTACACAGGTGCTGGGTCCTGGCCTCGATGAGTTTACAGGACCAAGTGGGAAAAAAATGGAAAGAGGTAAGGGACATAACACGGGGTTGCTTGACAGCCAGGGTAGGAAGAGTGACAGATGCCAGCGAAGAGACATGAACGAGTCACCAGACTTTAATTCACAGGCTGCAACTAAGCCCTAATAGTGCGTGGGATTTGCATCTACAGAGGGAAGAAGCTGACATCCCAGGCAGGGTAACCACTGCTGGAGGCAGAAATGGAGCTTGGGCGTGAGCCTGCGTGGCAGGGCCTGGAGAGAGCTCTTGGGGCCTTGTGCCTCCAAGACCCGAAGCTGGTTGTACAGCAATGCAGGGGCCCTAGCTTAAAGAGCTTCACTGCCCATCTCAATCCCCAAGAGACTCTGCTCCTGCAAAGTGAGGAGCCTTCAGCCGTAACCCAGCCCCATCCTCAGTGAGGATGGAAGCAGAGCCCAGCTCATGCCAAGGACAGGTTGAGTGTGCCTTATGCAAAGAGGGGCCGGAAGCGTTTCCAGCCTCAGACAGGGGATGCTCAGCCTGCACAGCGGTGAAGCTGACCGCAAGGCCTGCCCTGCAGGAGCCATGTGTCTGAAGGGAACGCATTTGAGGGCCCGAGAAGGTTCGCAGTGATAGTGGAACTGCAGCAGGGAGGGGAGACAGGCGGGCTGCCCTGAGGCTTGTTCCCCCCAGGCCTGCACAGCAGTGGGGGGAGAGGGAGACACCTGTCCACTTGCTGCTGCTTGAGGACAAGGGAGAAGCAGCAGGCTCTCCCCGCCACCATCCGAGTTGTCTCAAGAGCTGGCAGCCTGCAGGCCTCCCAGTCTCCCCACACCCCATGCTGTCTCACTTCACTCCGAGCCACCTGTGGCCCGCAGGTCTCCCGGTTTGAAATGGCCCCTCTCCTCCCAGTCGTCCATAGATTCTCCTTTGACCCGCCCTGAGATAACCAAGCACAACAATCTCAAGGGCAGAATCAATTTTTTTTCTTGCAAACACTTAGCTTTTTCAAAGCTTTTTTTTTTGGGGGGGGTGGGGAACAGGTCTAAAGCTCTCTGTGATTCAAAGGGCTTATTCTATAACCACAGTCCCTAGAACCAATGAATCCACCCTCCCAACTCCCCTGTGCCCATTTTACAGATTAAGAGGCTTGGCCCAAAGAAAGGCCTGCTGGCTAGCTGTGCTCCTGGCTTAAGATGAGGCTCCCTCCCTCCCTCCCTGCCTGCCTGCCTCTCACTCCAGCTGCTTCCTCTCCCCACTCCCAGGCAGTGTTTCGGGGATGGCTTGAACTGGGCTGGCTGCTCCATCATCGTCCTGCTGGGCCAGCAGCGTCGCTTCGACCTGTTTGACTTCTGTTACCACCTGCTCAAAGTTCAGAGGCAGGACGGGAAAGACGAAATTATTAAAAATGTGGTAAGCAGGCTCGGGGCTGGTGCCTGGGAGCTGGGGCGGGGCCTGATAACCAGCTTTCATCAAAAGAAGAAAGGAAGCCAACGCCCTGCCCAGGTGGGTACGGAGACCCCCAGTGGCTGCGGACCTGCGTGGAGGAGACCATGAGTCACTGGGATGAGCCAGGTCACCTTCAAGGGCACAGCTGAGCTCAGACCTCCCATACACCCCCCAGTGTCCCAGTCAGACTCTGCCAATGCCAGTTCCTCATGCACTCAAGTGTTAGCTGAGCACAAAGGTTGTACCAAGCCCTGGGTTGGAGCAGGTGCTGGCCTGGGTAAGCAAGGTTGCTGTGGGAAGAGAAGAACCCTCCAAGCCCGATAAAAGCAGCAGGGGGCGGGGTGGAGTCAGACACCTCCCCATGATCCAGTGCTGGAGCCGAGTCAGGGGTGGCCAGTGCCCAAGAGCCAGGTAGAAAAAAAGGCGTGGGGGGATGTTCCAGGCAGCAGGGCTGGACAAAGAGGGTATCTCAGGGACCTGGATAGGAGCAGAGGGCAGGCCACCACACCCCAGACTTCATAAATTGGAGCAAAATAGACATGACAGAAAATGCACCACTCAACAATGTTAAGTCCATTCGGGTCGTTCAGGACTCATCGCCACTCCTCCCCCGAATTTTCCCTCTCCCCAGCTGACTGTGCCTGTTCAAGGGTAACTCCCCGTGCCTCACTTCCCTGCCCCTGGCAACCAGCATTCCTGTTTCTGGCTCTGAATCTGACTGCCTGGGCAGCTCACAGGAGTGGATTCGTGTAGTATTTGTCCTTCTGGAACCGGCTTGTTTCCCTTAGCTTCCTGTCCTTGAGGCTCATTCACCCTGTAGTGTGTGTCAGAGTGTCCTTCCTTTTGAAGACTAAATAGACTACAACAGGGACACTGTGGGATACACATGCACACATACCGTATTCAGTTTATCCCATAGTCTATCAATGGACGCTGTGTTGCATCACCTTTTGGACATTGTTAACAGCGCTCCTGTGAACACGGTACACAGATGTCCGAGTCCCTCCCTTCAGCTACTTCGTGTGTATACCCAGCCGTGGAGTTGCTGCATCACATGGGGATTAATTTTTTTCCGAAACTGCCATACTGTTCCATGGTGACTGTACCACTTTACGTTCCCACCAGCAGCACAAGGTCCCATTCTTCCACATTCTCATCACTGCGTGTTATTTTTTTAATAGCTATCCTAAATGGGCATGAAGTGGTATCTCACTGTGGTTTTGACTTACATCTTTCCATGTGCTTTGCATATTTGTGTGTCTTAAAGAAGAGAGATGTCTATTCTGAGTTCTTTGTCCATTTTTAACTACATTATTTTGTTTAGTTTTTTAGTTCTTTGTATATTATGAATATTAACCACTTATAACATATGTGATTTTCAAATACTGTGTTCTGTTCTATGGGATGCCTCCCCCCACCACCATGCTGTTGATAGAAGCCTTTGATGCACAAGATTTCAATTTTTATCTAGTCCAGTTTCTTGTTGCCTGTGCTGTTGGTGTTATAGCCAAGTATTCATAGCCAAATCCAGGGTCATGAGGATTTTACCCCATTTTCTTCCAAGAATGTTAAAGGTTTTTTTTGTTTGTTTGTTTTTGTTTTTTTGTTTTTTTGTTTTGTTTTGTTTGTTTTTTTGGACAGGCAGAGTGGACAGTGAGAGAGACAGAAAGAAAGGTCTTCCTTTGCCGTTGGTTCACCCTCCAATGGCCGCCGCGGCCGGCATGCTGCTGCCGGCGCACCGCGCTGATCTGATGGCAGGAGCCAGGTGCTTCTCCTGGTCTCCCATGGGGTGCAGGGCCCAAGCACTTGGACCATCCTCCACTGCACTCCCTGGCCACAGCAGAGGGCTGGCCTGGAAGAGGGGCAACCGGGACAGAATCCGGTGCCCCGACCGAGACTAGAACCAGCTGTGCCGGCACCGCAAGGCGGAGGATTAGCCTAGTGAGCCGCGGCGCCGGCAAGAATGTTAGAGTTTAACATTTACACTTAGCTCATTAATCTCTTTTGAGATGATTCCTGTATATAGTATAAAGTGTCCAACATTAATTTTCCTAGCACCATTTGCTGAGAAGACAGTTTGTTTCCTCCTCTGAGTGGTTTTGGCATCCTTGTCAAAAGCAATTTGATTATATATGAGGATTTATTTGTGTACTCTATTCTGTTCCATTGATCACAGCTCTTGATACCAGTACCACACTGTTATGACTATGGTAGCTTTGTAGCATGCTTTATAGGTCACACAAAGGCCTTAAACTTGATTTGGAAACTCTTTCCCTCAAAGCAAGAGATGCAAGTGATGCAATCCTAGAAGCATCAGGACCTTGATCCCCAACCTCGCTGAATTCTGTTGCTTTTCCTTTGTGTCTCTGCCTCCTCCACCCACACTCACTTGAACTTCCTTGTCCTTCTGCAGCCCCTTAAGAAGATGGCCGACCGCATCAGGAAGTACCAGATCTTGAACAATGAGGTCTTTGCCATCCTGAACAAGTACATGAAGTCTGTGGAGACAGACAGTTCCACTGTGGAGCACGTGCGCTGCTTCCAGCCACCCATCCACCAGTCCCTGGCCACCACCTGCTAGGCTGACGGTCCTGCAAGCCCTAATCCCAACAGAGGAGAAGCAGGAGAGAAAGCCACGGCCAGCCTGCAGCAGAGTCCGCCTGGACAGCGTGTGGGATAGACCTGGAAGTAAACATGAACCTCCCCAAACTCATCCCCACCACGCCCAGGGGCTGGGCTTGTGCATGCTCTCCCATGACATCTCCATGGCAGGTTTTCCATAGTGTAAATGAAAAACAAACACAAAGAGGCAGTGTGTGCTTTGCTCCTCTCTAACTGTCTTAGGAGCTCTTAGCTTCCCCCTTTCTCCGTTCCATAGTCCCAGGGTGGCGACCGCCTACCCAGTGTCCTCAGGTCATCCTAGTCTCATGGTCACACCTCAGCTTCCTGGATTCTGCATCTTCTCTGTCCATTCTTCCAGTTTCCCCGGTGCCATCTCCTCCTTCTCTGGGTGTTAGGAATTCCCCTGCCGCGAGTTCACTTGGACCAGAGGCTGGGAGCCATGGAGACCCAGAGGTCCCTGGTATTGGTGTCACAGAAGATGGTATTGGCTCTGGCCTTTCATAGGCTCCCAACAGCACCATCCTAACTCTCCCCTCAAAGCAGTCCTGGACACAAGGCAAAGATACTTCCCAGCTGTGCTGCATGGAGTGCAACTGGGTGGGGAAGATGGTCTGGCCCACTGTGCACAAGTGGCATTTATGCACACAGCCAGGAACTCCACATCTGCAGACACGACCGTCAGCCTGACGGTGAGGTGGTGCCTTTGCCCCTTCAGCAGATCCCTGGCGACAGCCACGCGGGGCAATGGACATGTCATTCTGGGCACGGCCCACAGCGTTCGCCAGTCACCAGATTTGGAAGCACTTCTGGAATACAGGACATCTCCCCCAGGAGACAAAGTATTAAAGGGTTAACCACAGAGGCCCCGAACGTCTTGGGGTGGGGGGGGGACAGGGAGGTAAGGAGTGAAAATTAGGAGTCACCCGAACAATCCTGTTGTTTCAGTCAATCGGAACTTTCCTTGTCCCAACTGTGAAAGAGCCTTTGAACATTTCATCTTTTGCTTTCAGCTTGCCATCCCCTCCAGACTTCTGAAGTTAGATGTTTGGGATACGGATTCTTGATGGGGGGTCTATTTCCTTGCATTTTCCAGACTGAATCAAAAATCATCCCTCTGCACAATCTCCCACAGGTATGGGGAAACCATTTGGGAAGACAGAGGCTTTGAGGTAAAAATGTCCTTTTAGAGAGCACATCTTCACAGGGAGCCTGTAGGCCTGAGCTTTTCAGAAGGTAGAAAGTATGACAGTTGCTACTTTTGCTCCAGCCCAGGGAGGAAGAGTAGAGAGAAAATGGAGAGAACAATGATGATCCTCTCCCTGTCCCTCTGGGGTGTCTCCCAGAGCAGACAAATGGCACTTGTTACCCTTCGTCACAGAGCCCATTTTTTAACCCCATGGGAAGAGCAAAGGAAGCACTGGGTGACGCTGTCTTGTTCTCCCTGAGCAAAGGGGGCATCCAGTGTGGTCCGAGGGCCACCCACATGTCCTGAGATGAGGACATTTCTGTGATGATTCCCGAGTGTCACCCCAACCCCAATTCTGAGTCCCTGGGAATAGGGCTAGGAAATTTGCATTTTCTACAAGCTAGCCAAGTTGAACACCAAAGTTTGAGAACCAGTGGAGAGAGGAATCATTCTGCTAACCTTGGGCTTTGAGCTACCTCCAGGCCGTGAAACAAAGTTATCTGTAGGCTAGAGAACGGTCTCCAAGTGCAAAGGGGCAGCTCCTCCCTTTCCAGAGCTGCCACTTCCTATTTTGATTTCTTACCTTTTCTTGAAACCCACAGATGTGTCCAAGAGGCCAAAGAGAGAGGTTACAACACAAGGCAGCACGATAGGGTAAAGCATGCCTTCCAAACCTGCATAACATCTCTAGGCTCCGGAGCCTTCTGTATCTTCCGTCCTGTCTTGGAATGAGAGCTGGCTCTTTGCAGAGATAGAACTGGTTTTTAAGTGCTAGAGTGCATCCTAAATGCTTAGCCATTGCTTTGTAGGACCACCCATTTGGTAAGATTGCCATTGATCAACCCACGCTTCCCACATTGCATTTCTAACTCTGAAGTTGACCCTCTGAACAGTCACATTATCCTGCAGAGCCCTGACCCCAGTAAACTCGAGTCTTCACATTCAAGAGGGAGGTTTCGTTTCCCTAGCAGCACTTATTTATCAATGCTGGGCAAGTTGACTTTTTTTTTTTTTTTCCTCCCTAGCATTGTTACTGCCTCCTTTTTTTTTTCTTTTGTGTGTGTGTGTGCGTGCGTGCGTACGTGTGTGTGTGTGTCTAAGACCCAGGAAAAAAAAAAGCTGAGGTTTTAAAGTTTTAAAAAATCCTGTTTCAGAAACTGTCAAATGTACCATATTTGTATTAAGAGTTGTTGGGGATTTTTGTACAATGAATTTACATTTATTTATGGTGACTTATATTTACGCTCGTGATCAGATAATGATGTTAAATTCTTAAATCATATTTGCTATGCAGCTGAAGATGATATTTTGATTTGTATTTTGGGGGTACCTGTGTTGAGTTGATAAACATTTCCATCTCCATTAAAACTGCTTCCAACCTAGTAAAACCAGCATCTCGGTCGTTTTTCAGTCCTCATTACTGAGTGGAATGCCACATTAAAACCAGTGACTAGGAAAACGACTAGAAAGAGAATCGAAGAGAATAAAGATAAACTGATGGCTTATTTGGCTTTCTCAAGTGAGGAGTTCTCTCTCCAGAAATTGATCACAACAGGCAAGACACAGGAAACAGTTCCCACTCTTGGGCATTCCACAGTCTCACTAGTGGAATACACACTCCACATCCAGAGTTAAGAGCCTAATTTACAGGCACCATACTCAATCTTATCCATCTATTCCTTTTTATCAACCACAATGACTGTGCACTGTATTCTGCATTTTACAGAACAGCCACTGAGTATACATACTCTCAGTGACTCTGTGACAAAACTGGAATCTGAACCCAGTTCCAAAGCTTGGGCTTCTGCTATCACATTATAATGAACTGACCAGATCCCTCAACTAGACTTGGGAATTGGTCACTGGACTGTTTGGGACTTGGGTAAGATTGGCCAGAGTCTGCTGTCAGGAGAGAGCCCAGCTTGGTGGCTGCAGGGTTTTCAGGCTGAAGGACAGAACTAATGCCTGGGATACTCTCACAATTGGCACTGCTGAGCTTTGATATGTACTCTCTCAACATCTTCAACCATTTCCAAAATTCGTCAGCATTAAGGTAACATAACTGACCCAGTGAAGTTTCAGTATTACTGGTCCTAAGAGTTGTGCAGTGAAAATAAGGTTCTGGAGTCACATCAATTAGAGCAACACTTCACATTCTTTCCCTTGAAAATCTGCAGTGTTGGAGCAGGGGTCATGGCAAAGTGGGTTAAGCCATCACTTTCAACTCTGGCATCTCACATGGGTGTTAGTTCAAGGCCTGGCTGTTCCCTTGTGATTCAGCTCCCTGCTAATGTACCTGGAAAAGCAGTGGAAGATGGCCCAAGTGCTTGGGCTCCTGCCACCCATGTGGGAGATCCGGATGGAGTTCCAGGCTCCTGACTTTGGCCTGGCCCAGACTTAGCTGCTGTAGCCATTTCAGGAATTAACCAGAGGGTGGAACATCTCTCTCTCTCTCCCTCTCCCTAACTCTGCCTTTCACATGAATAAAACAGATCTTTAAAAAAAACTATGCAGTGCTCTGGGGAGTCCTGCAAACCTCCGAGCAGACACAATAATCAATGAGTTTGAAGACAACTGAAATTATTAAGGGGGAAAAAATGATGGGAGGATACCAGCAAAATGATAGAAAAGGATGTCCTAGGCTTCTCTGATCCCCATAACAATTACATATGACTAAGCCACCTTGGGGAGAACCCCAAAACTGAGTAAACCTAACTCACCTGTGGGATCCACAAGAGGTGATTTAAGAAAGAATTGGGAAGGCTGAGAAAAAAGTTTCACTTCAACTGCGCTGCCCCTCCCCCTCTCCCAAGGAAGCACAGTACCACAGAGAGCTTTCCCTGGGGACCAGGGTTACTACAATGGGAAAAGAGAAGCAGAGACCGGCACCCAGCCTCCCTCATGCTCGGATGTACTTCCCACGAAGTCCACTCTAATCATCTCTCAAGAACACAGAGGAGGCAAGGCCAGTTAGACCACCTGATGTCAGGTGGAATCAAAGCAAGGAGGTAGCGCTCTGGATGGCAGATCCTCATGCACGCCAGGGAGGCATCCAATCAGTAGCACCAACTCAGCACAACCTCCCCACAAAGGCCAACTGACTGCTCTGGAAGTGCGGAGTTCTGCCTAGCATGAATGCCTACATAGCCCAACTCCAGACCCTGCCTCAAACCCTACTCTGGCACCCTGGCAAGGGAGCAAAATGACCACTGCAGCAAATTTTGGAAAACAGGGGTTCATTAGACCACACTAGGGGGTGCAGCGGCATTCATTATGACCCCAAACCCCTGCCCCTGCTGCTCTCCAGAAAGGAAGATGGTCTCAGCAGTTAAGTTTCAGCAAAGAGCATGGGATAGATGTGCCTTACTTAGGGGGTCAAGCAATACTCAGTCCAACTTCAAAGCCCACCCTAAGGTCAGACATAGGCAGGAAGGCGAACCTCAACCACACATTTCTGTGCATAGCCGATGGCTCCATCCATCCCAGTGACCCACCTGCTCCACACACTGACCCTGAGGGACGGAATTCAAGTATCAGCACCACCTGGCCAGGGAACTTGGTCTGTGGATTAACTCAGTCTTGAGCCAACTGCAATGCCCACCCCGCAGCTCAGCCTTATCGCAGACAATATTGACATTTCCAAATACTACAGCCCACCCAGCTGCCCCACCCAAGCTCAGAGCAAAGGCAGCAGCCTGTCACCTAGGGAACCCGAAAGCAAACTCAGCCTGCTCATGGTTATTACCAGCAGCCCATTCAGAGTTAAAGGGCAAATACTGAATGTCTGTATAGGACCAAGAATACCTGCAAAAGCTTGAAAAGAGAGTAGTCTCTTCAAATCTGCCATCATCCGTGCAAGGACACAAAGATCAAGTACTCAGGAAACTAAGCTCCAACAATGGACACTAATAGGATATCTATGAAGTGACAGAAAGTTCTGAATAATCCTCTTAAGGAACAGTGAATTACAAGAACATACAAATTAAAATTTCAGTGAAATTAGGAAAACATCCATCAAAAAGTCTGAAAGGGGCAGGTGCTGTGGTGTGGTAGGTTGAACCTACCCCTATGGTGCCAGCATCCCATATGGGCACCAGTTCGAGTCCTGACTGCTCCACTTCCCATCCAGCTCCCCACTAATGGCCTATCAAAGCAGTGGAAGATGGCCCAAGTCCTTGGGCTCCTGCACCTGCGTGGGAGACCCGGAAGAAGCTCTTGGCTCCTGGTTTCAGATCAGTGCAGCTCCGGCGATTGCTGCCAACTGCGGAGTGAACCTGCAGATGGAAGACCTCTCTCTCTCTGCCTCTCCTTCTCTGTTTAACTCTGACTTTCAAATAAATAAATAAATCTTAAAACAAACAAAAAATAAATTATCAGAGAAGCAAAAAAAAAAAGAATGAAGAAAATATATGGGAATTATGAGATATCTTCAAGAGTCTTAGCATATGTAAAAAATGAATCAAAGAGAAGGAAAAGGAAGTATTTTTACAAAAGAAATAATGAAAACTCCCCTAGCCTAGGAAGAAATGCCAACATACAGGTAACAGGAAGCATGAAGCTCTCCAATCAAATTCAATCCAAAGAGAAGTTCACTAAGACATTACAATCAAAATCAAGGACAAAAGAATTCTGAGAGCAATAGGAGATAAACACATCACATACAATGGTGTCTCATTATACCTATGAGCAGATTTCTCTCCTACATACAGGCCAGCAGAGAGCTGATAAACAGATTCAAGGTTCTATAAGAAAAGACTACTAACCAAGACTATTTTGTCTGGCAAACCTCTCTTTCCAAAATGAAAGAGAAGTGAAAACTCCCAGGCAAACTAAAGTTACGAAGGGTTCACCACCACCAGACCTGCCTATAAGGACTTGCTGAAGGAAGTGCTTTAAGTTGAAACAAAAGGCTGTTAGTTAATAACATAAAAAGTACAAACACACGAACTTCAGTGATCTAAGTAACAGTCATTCAGAATATTTGAGAACTACAACTGTGCTATGTAAAGCAATTTTATCCCTAGTATGTGTTATAAAATGTCAGATTCTGACATGAAAAACAAAAGGGGAGGGGCAAAAATATACAGTAGTATGCAATAAACTTCTTATCAACTTGAAATAGATTGTTATATTTTATAAAACTCACTGTAACCACAAACCAAAAATCTACAGTTGATACTATAAAAAATTCAACACATATCACTTCAAAGAACCCTTCAACCACAAAAGACACAAGAGAGAAAGAAATAAGTATTGATAAAACAACTATACAACAGCAAAATTGCAGTGTTAAGTTCTTATCTATAAATAATTATTTTGAATGTAACTGGATTAAATTCTCCAATAAAAATGCATAAATAAATATGAATAAATGGATAAAAACACGCCCTGGGGTAGATGTTTGGCACAGCACTTACAATGTTTGGGATGCTCTCATCCTGTATTGTAATTCCACAGTTTAAGTCCTAGCTTCCCTTCCAATTTCAGCTTTCTCTTCACACATACCCTGTGAGGCAGCAGGTGATGGTCACATGCTTGGATCTGTGCAACGCATATTGAGTTTGCAGATTCTACCTACAGCCTGGCCCAACCCTCCCTGGCTGTTGTGGGCATTTGGGGCATGAAAAAGTGGATGGCAGGTCTCTCTGATCTCCAAAAATATTTTTTTTATTTTTGAAATACCTAACTACCTGAGACACATTTTTAAAGAATAGACATGGACCAAAAGTGCAGGGATGGAAAAAGGTATTTCACACAAACGGAAACCCTAGAGAATGGAAGTAGTACACTGATATCATAAAAAATAAAATTTAAGTCAAAGACTAAAAAAAGAGATAAATAAAGAAATTGTGTAATGATAAAGAGATCAGTTAAAAGTATATAACAGGCCGGCACCGCGGCTCACTAGGCTAATCCTCTGCCTTGTGGCGCCGGCACAGCGGGTTCTAGTCCCTGTCGGGGAGCCAGATTCTGTCCCGGTTGCCCCTCTTCCAGGCCAGCTCTCTGCTGTGGCCCGGGAGTGCAGTGGAGGATGGCCCAAGTGCTTGGGCCCTGCACCCCATGGGAGACCAGGAGAAGCACCTGGCTCCTGCCATCAGATCAGCGCGATGCATCGGCCGCAGTGCGCCGGCCACGGCAGCCATTGGAGGGTGAACCAACGGCAAAAGGAAGACCTTTCTCTCTGTCTCTCTCTCTCACTGTCCACTCTGCCTGTCAAAAAATTAAAAAAAAAAAAGAATATAACAATTACATTCCTATATTATACATAGTATATAACATATATTCCAATATAGGAATACATGAATATAAAAAGTATCAATGGATCTGAAAGGAGAAATAGATTGCGATACAATAGTTACTATGAAATACAGTATTTTTTTCTTTAAAG